TTAAAAGCTACACTTAAACGACAAATAATACAATCATATGCTCCCCCTCTCTAAATTAGTATAACAAAACCGTGACTTATTTATTCTTTATCATGCAACTGCTCACTGCACCTGCACTTGCACCGCACCCTCTTGATCACTCAGTTTTTCGAAGAGAGTTATGTCGCCAATTATTTTTACGAGGCCGCCATCCATCTCCAGCCTAACCGCTCACGATGGTGGTCTCCTGCGTTCCGAATTACCTCTCTAATTTATTGAAAATATTTCATATTTCTTATGTTATTGTATGCTTCGTACATGTTTATCGAATGATATAATTGAACATGATTTTTCATTTAATTACTTTTGTAAACATTGTATTCATTGTATTTGTTATTGTTCGAAATTTTGTACTTTGACTTTGAATTTGTATATTTTTTGAACGCAGAAATAAAATCAATCAAACAAACAAACAAACTTACAAGCATTTTTGCTTTCTTAGCAGTCAGGTAAAATAACCACCAATAACCAATAACCAATAGTCTTAACTCTCTCTGTACGGCAGCCCAATCACGAAGCTCATGCTTTTAGAGAATCTTGCCTCCTTCCTCTAAATTTATAAACATTTCAACTTTTATATTGATTTGATAAAATGTATTGATACAATAATCTGTTTCAAATATTTAATCTTAAAGCTATACGAATTCGTGAGTAACCATACAAGAAAGCAAATTTCAGACTCACAATATTATTATTCATTAGGACGAAATTAGGACGAAAACCCCTAACAACAACAGATTGTAAATACCCGAGGATATGTGAAATAATGCAAACAATTTGACTAATTGGGACGTGTTGACATATTTTGGGGAGACAGTTGATATACGGACGGAAGCATTGGAGCACCGGATAATACTCTGCTAACAATAAACACTCCCGGCTTCTACTATCCCTTCCCGGCTGAGTACGCGCGATAAACCACCGTGAGGCAAAATAATATGAGATGGGCGTAGAGACTAGAGGTTTTTATTTCATAGTTATAGTTATGGATGAAATGATATGGTTTCTTATTAATTTTTGATTTAATTGATTTACCAAATTTGGTATGACTGAGGAGAACAACAAAGCCCGAATTGAGAGTCCCAAACGTATGTTGTATGTTTAAGAAATAATCTTTCTAAAGGCGGCTCTGTAAATTAGCTAGGTTGATCTTTGTATTGATGCGCTGTTAAAATATATATTTTTGGAGATATTTAATATTCATATTATCATTATTTCCCTCCCAAATTGTATTCAAATACTCTCAACCAATGGTCCGAGGCATAGTTACATAGAGAGATTTCTGTGTCATTCGCTCGAACATGGTTTGATGGCTTGATGTTTCGTATGTTATTCTTGACTGCTAAGAAACCATGTGTATATGTTTATAGGTAAGCAACCAGAGGGCTGCTGTTTTTAAGTCCTCTCCGAGGGACTTGGTAATGAGGTCTAATGCCTTAACAAAGGGCACCAGCGCATCGACTTGGTTTCGAACCCGTGACCTCTCGGTTGCGAGACCACTGCTCTACCATCGCGAGCTATCGCGTCTCCTCTTATGGGAATACTGTCAATAATTATATTTACTCACAAAGTATAGGGGCTGTATACGAATTCGTTGATTATCTTAAATTAATTTTGTTCTTAATCTAAGATGAATTTTTCATCTATTCTAAATGTCATGCAGATCGCGGAAATGATAATTGCTCGTATCAAGGGAGTAATAAACCCGTTGCGTTTTCTTTCAACTTGCAACTCCAATTGATTTGAACTAGACTATTTTGAGGCACAGTAAAACGCCTGGTTCGTATTCCATTTTCTCCCCGGTGTCCCTTATGGAGTTCCAGAGCTATTATTTCTCTCTCAATGTATCACAATTGTATACAAACCGGCTCTGTCCCCCTGATGCAATCTTATTATGACGTCATGACATCAATGTCAACGGCGTAACCGTAGATGAGGAACCTTCCTATGGATGTGGTGATGACGTCACGGCCCAGGGCTACACCAAGTCACGTATCGCCTGTCAGTTATCTATAGAGTTTAGTTGAGTACTTGCAGTGTCGTTCACACATGTCAGCGCTTATCCCATGGGCGGTGGATATAGGACATTAATACCTTTGTTTAGTTGCGAACACATCCTCACAATAAATTTCAATCTAACCAAATAAGTCTTGAGTTGAACCGATCGCATCTCAATCAACAACCTCGTTTAGAAGATCAAAGAGGATATTATTTTTCTTCTTCAAAATTAATAATGAAAAATAAAACAATAATATTCCAATCTATAAGCGGCAGAAATTAATATGACTTTGTTTCTCTCTGTCAAATTAAGTTTATCAATGGGCGTTATTCTAAAGGTGTGTTTCCTGTTTTCTTGCGTGTTTTTCCTAACGTCATGTGATAAACTTTTTAATTCATTGAAGATGAAAAAAAATATCGTGTTCTTGCTAGAGGGTTGAGGCAGAGATGGCGCTCCATAGGGGTGGGGTGCAGTGACTTTACTTTTTCAAACATAAAAATGTGCCCCTTTTCTTTTCTGATAAGTGTCCTTTTTCACTTCTGCTTGATATACTTTAAAAAAAAATATATACTTCAGATACTTCAGATAAGTGCCTATTATTACTAATAAATTTATCTTCTTAATACGAATGAGTGCACCTTGATACTCTAATAGGTATCCTTTATCACCCGTGTTTCTCCTGTTATGTTACAATAATTGTGTGCTCGCTTGGAGTCCTATAAAAATAAACTTAACTTTTGGGAATCGGAGCAACTTAGGTCTTCTTTTTACTACCACCAGAGTGCTGAGAGGTGGAGCTGGGGCAGGAGGGACACTATACCCCTACTTTTGCACGTATGAAACAGTTTCCCTTTTAAAAGCTAAATATCCCCCTTTCAAAAAATCATTTTTAACCCAGGATTTCACCTATCCCCGAAGTTCCCGATGTGCAGAACAGGATGGGCACTGTCCTGAAGAAGAAAGAAAAAAAAGGGGGGGGGGAGAAGCAAATTTTAGGTGCCAGTGCCCCTTTTTATTACAACCATCGCGTACCCTCGTCCCTGATATCAAAATACTTCTTTTTACCAATTCCAATGTGCCCTTTTCAAGATGGCCAAACTGCTCATGCAGTTTAAGCATCCATAGGTTCTAATTCAAATCCCCAAATTGACAAACGTGCCAAAGTGCCAAAGCTGCTATTGTAAGTCATTTAGAACCTATGAAAAATTACTGTATCCAAGATAACACATTTGTAATAAAGTGTCTCTTCGAAGCTTGACTCATCAAGTGCCCCGTTTTAGTCTAAAAGAAAAATGTTTAGACAAGTTAACATTTGTAAAATTTCTAAGCAGTTAACTGGAGGGAAATCAGATTGAACAGAGTTACTATTAGGTGTTATGACGAGAAGTTTACCCCCGCCCCCTCCTCCCATCTTAAAATATTCTGTTCCACTTGCTGGCACCTGCCCATATTAAATCCGTAGGATTTGAGGGTACCTTTCTAACCAACCACCCCCCCCCCCCCCCCCCGCAACAAAGCTCGCTCGCTACGCTCTATACCACAAGTATGTATTTACGTATTGTCATAAAAACAAAGCAGATCGCACTGAGTTAACGACGGTGTAACTTGCAACGTCTAATTGTCTTTTTGTTAATCATCAGCACGTACAGCTATTATCTAGGACTCGATGCATCCCCAAAACTATGTTTAGATCAATTTACGCATCGGTTTAAAAAAAACATAGAAGAGATCATGACAAATGTGATCATCGTACCAATAAACGTAACCACATAGCAAAATGAGGAGGCAATATATAGAACCAAGCAAGGCAAAAACCTTTTGTTCAAAGTTGATCCTTGATAATGGATTAATCTCTCTCACTCTGGCCTCTCTTTCACACGCACAAACACTCTCTCTGTGTCTGCATTTGCACCTTTCTCCCTTTCATCTCTCTTTCCCTCTCTCTCCCTCTCTTTCTCTCTCTCTCTCTCCCTCTCTCTCTCTCTGTACATCCGCCCCTTTCTCCCTTTCATCTCTTTCTCTCTTTCTCTCTCTCTCTCTCTGTCTGCATCCGCCCCTTTCTCCCTCTCTCACTCTCATCTCTCTCTCTCTCTTCGCCCTTCTCTTCTTATCTGTCTCTTCTTCTTCCCTCTCCTTCTCTCCCCTTCTCTCTCTGTCTGCCTCCCCCTCTCTCTCCCTCTCAACCCTGTCACGTCATCTCATTTAACACTCAGAACACAGTTCCCCCTTGCATATAATGTATTGATATTATTCCAAATAATTCACAACGAAAGATGGAGAAAAGAGATAAAGAACTAATTTTAAATATAAAGGCATATATCCTTGAGGTATTCCAATGTTAAGCACAAAAAGTGTTAATGTAATGCTTTCCAAATATATATTGTTTACTCGTTCACAACAAGAGTATGTGAATAGCCCATTTCCATGACTTCTACCACGGAATCAATTCGTTTGTACTAATCTTTTTACTGCTGTGTGTTTCTTTATGATAATATATTTCATGCAGTAAGAAAGAATAGAATATTTAGAAAATGAAGTAATGACACTACATTTGAGAATTTTGAAATGCTACGATTTTGCCATTGCCTATAGTCGGCCGTGAAGTAACGGATGTATTTTAACAAAAAAGTTACCTAACAACCAGATAAAATATAGGCATAATCTTTATCGTACTAATTATGTTTTTTTTTAAGTACGTTGCCGTTCACAAAACAACATCATAATGCAAAGGTGAGAGGGCAACGGAGACAAAAGGAAAGTGAGAGAGAGAGAGAGAGAGAGAGAGAGAGAGAGAGGGAGAGACACAGAGAGAGAGAAAGACAGAGAGACAGATATATAATTATAGAGAGAGAGAGAGGGGGGGGGGGGGAGAGGGTGTATTGGAATGGGAAATGGTGGGCCGGAAGCTGCATTACCCACAAATCTTTTTAACACGATAGTTAAATATAAAATTATTGTTTACCTCGGGAAAATGTCGATTACTGTAGTAAGTGTTCGGTTCTGATCAGTTCTTTTTTTGTCCCCGGAGATCCTGAATTTTCCTCCACTTGGATCGAGTCACAGATTCATTTGGTGGTCAGCTTCCACATGTCACGTGATGAGTTAACTTGATTGTAAACGTAAACAAACATTCGAGAGAATCAAGTCCATTATTGATTCACAGTTCGTTAATTAGGTTAATTAACAGCTCATAAAATTCACATTGCCTTGTTATCTCTTCACCTTGTATAAGTTCACCACTCAAACGCCAGTCCTCTCACATGTATTTAAAAGCGATTCATTAAAAATATTGCCCTCTTCTTGTTTCATTTCGTACTTCGCTCAGGTATGACATTGCCATTGAAGTCTGAGCGTGAAAGTCCGAGAGTGAGTTGAGTTTTGCGAAGCGCCTTCAAGACCAGAAGATGCTGGACCGAATAGCGGAGTTGCAGATGAATAAACCGGTGGAGGAATTCGCGATCATGTGGTTTTAAGTCTGAGTCTTCCATAACAAACACAAAACGATGGATCAAAGAACTGAAATCTCAAAGAAAAAACTTTGAGAGGCTGCGAAGCAATCCCCATCTCCTTCTAGCCGAAACTGTTGGATATGTGTGAGCTGAGCCGATCGCATCGAGTTTGAAAATAGAAACTTGGAAAGAAACCGGGTCCGAGGGCGAACGTTGACTGGAATATGACGTGACAAGCCAAGATCGTATTCATAGCGGTGCTTTTTAATGTCAATCAAAATTTGTGGCTAAAATTGATGTATCGATATCAAGAGATCGATAGGGGTTCATCCAGGGTAGTTGTCTGTCGTATGTTTACGTCATATCGTGTAAGATGAATGGATAAGAAAGAAGGTCAGTGTTTGTAAGGGTCTAAAACAACCGGCGAAAGTAAAACTAGACCCTTGGCCGAACGGAGTAGGGACAGCCCCGACTGCCTACGATGACATAATAATGATATAAATGTGATATGAAATAATATGACATTAAAACAATTACATTAAAAAAGACAAGGATCTGATATGAAGAGATAAAGATCATTCCCGAAGGAGAATATGGGTAGGGGATCAAGGACCTTTGCATGACTGTAACTTCTGTAAGTAATATGAGACAGTATGTCCATGGGCTCAAAACCACAAGTTTGTCAATAGACAATTTCAGGCAACTCTTAAAAAGATTTTAGCTAGAGAAAAAAAACACGATAAATAGACCCTCACGAATCAAACAAATAATAATTATAATTTGATTTATAAAGCGCATTTTTCAGAGGATAGCCTGCAAGGCGTTATATCACGAAGTAAAAATTCTAAACTAAATAAAGTGTAAGAAACATACCTGTACATGTTATTTGGAGATAGTAATAATTTCCCATTTTCTTGAAGATTTTCTTCAAAATTATTATAATGACTCCCTCCCCCCTTCCCTCCTCAGGATTCGTGAAGTGTTGTCGACTATACTTTTTCCTGTTTTGTTTAATATTGACCAATAATATCTCTGATTGCGTTTCTCAGTATCTATATAAAATATTTTTTAGACATGCGTAATAGGAAATGAGCTAAAAGTTCTAAAGTTGTACGGAATCTGAGACTATTGTATATAGGAATGAAATAGTATCAGCAAATGCTATTAATAAAACGTTTTACTTGTAATTGAAAAGAGATATTCGGGCACTTCGTATAAATAATGAACGCCTACTGCAGATCTCATGGAGCTGGTGAGTAACAATGTACGAATATTCAAACGCCTTTGCGGTATGCCTCTCAAATTTTAGATACATATTATTAAGGCGGTGCCGAATTGACACAAGAAAAATTCATGCTTTGTAATCCCCGATTTTTATTTTTTATTTAGCTTACATTTTCCACGTTACCTAACCATAACGTCTTTCTCAATTGTGATTATGAAAAAATGTATGAATAGTAATAGCGTCACCTTTATACATTATATACATGGGTGAGTGTGTGCGTGTGTGTGTGGGTTTGTGTGAGGGTATTTTGTGTGGGCGTGATCGCGTGTGTTTATAGGGAAGAAGAAAAGATTGTTGTACACTCTAAGAAAAAAGGGTGCAAAAAAGGGTGCAAAATAAGAGTTTGCACCCTTTACATAAAAATGAACCCTTTTGAAGGAAAAGGGGTTCAAAAAAGGGTGCAAAATCTTATTTTGCACCCTTCCCACAAAAATGAACCCTATCGACCAAAAAGGGTGCAAAATAAAAGTTTGCATATTGCATGCATGTTCATGATTACTTTACACGTGTTCACATAAAAAATACATTTATCATGATTTCTTAAACAAATTATGACAATGCACATCAATTTTGTGATTTGAATTTTTCTTCGGCAATCATTAAACAAAAAGATTATGTTGTCTGATCATGTTACAATTACATTCACGTTTTAGCAATAGATACATTGATTATATGATTACTAACCAATAAACAACATGCATGTTTAATATGTATTTGTGTACGAGCAAATAACACGAGTATTCCTCGAGTATGGGAGAAGGATTGCACCTTTTAAAGGGTGCAGGACTGAACCCCTAAAGGTGCTGCTATTGCATCAGTTTGCACCCCCAAAGGAGCAGGATTGAACCATTAAGGGGACTAACATGTCTCCTAAAAGGTGCAATCTGGCACCCTCCTTAAAGGGTGCAGGATTTAACCCCTAAAGGTGCTGCTATTGTTGCATCGGTTTGCACCCCTTAAGGTGTAGGATTGAACCATAAAGGGTACTAACATGTCCCCTAAAAGGTTCAATCTGGCACCCTTTTAAAGGGTGCAGGATTGCACCTTTAAAAAGGGTGCAGGATTTAACCCCTAAAGGTGCTGCTATTGTTGCATCGGTTTGAACCTCTAAAGGTGCATAGTTGCACCATTTTTTCTTAGTGTGTAGGGAGATCAGGTAAATTAGCCTCACATTTACATTTGTCTAAAACCGATATTAAGCGGGAGGAGGGTGGATTACAAATTCATTCCCACCGCCCCCCCCCCCCGATTGACGCCCATGATTTAACGAGGTTTTCTTCGCGTGACTTGAACGGATGGCAGCACACTGAGATAGCTCTGAAGTACAAATAACTCTAGATCGTTGCCATCTAACAAAAATCAGGTGATTGGGACCCGTTTAGAAAAGCAGGAAGAAAGGTGAAAAATCTGGGCCTGCTCGTGATGTGACACGGGGTAAAACTTCTGCTCTGGAGTTAGCTGTTTTGTGGGGTTGAGAGTTACAGCATCTAAATACAGTAGAAGAAACTATGAAATATAGTGGATACGTCACTGGACTGTGGATCACATGGTTCGCGGTTCGAGTCTCGCCGCGGCATTAATGTCTTTTGACATTAATTTATATTTGCCACACTCGATTCAGGTAAGGCAAATTGTTTCCCGGCAGGATTTAATTCCTTCAAATGACAGCAATGCTAAAGCCGAGATATAATAATATTCTGGAGCGCCAAGAGTGTTAAGTCTGAAAGTCATGAGAGCTATAAAAGAACCCATTATCATCACTGTTTTTCTGCTTTCACTCGCTCTAAACTTCCACCTCCCCCCCCCCCCGAATTTATCCCATTTATGCATTTTCTCACTTCATCAGATTCCTCCCCAAACCAAGGAATAAACCAATGATTTCATTATAAATGCACATGAATAAGAAGAATTCAAACCGATAATTAACGTCGCAGTGAAATTTTTCTTTAGAGATCGCGATTAATAGTAAGAAATGATTGATAAAGTACTCTGGCTCCCTTTCTGTTCGTTTCATTAATTTTTCTCCACTTACTCTTTAATCTTCCCTTTTCCCTTATCTCTCTTGCCAAAATCCATTAACATCTTCATCAATTTCTTCGCGAAAACAGGGGGGGGGGGAACTCTAATTTCATTATAATATACACGGTCATGAAAAAGATGAGAAATTTATGGCGGAAATGTGGTTAATATTTTTCAGAAGAAATCATAGTATTTCTTCTGCGGAAATATGAGTCAAGGGGGTTTCTGATATTCACCTCAAGTTCTGTGACTTTGTAATTCTTTCTGACGTGCGATAAAGTTGTCTATTATGGAAAGGCGTATGATGCAATTTGAAAGCCACGTTAGATAGATGTGTTGAGATGACTGAGTCAATATCGTTTGGATGAGAGACAGGGAGAAGGGTAAGATGATAGAGAGGTGAGAGGGAGAGAAATGGGGAGGGGGGAGGGAGAAAGAGAGAGAGAGGAAGAGAGAGAGAGAGAGAGAGAGAGAGAGAGAGGGGGATATTATGAAATACACAGAGAAAGAAGAAAAGGATAAACTATCATCTAGCTTTAAAAAAAAAGGATAAATGACAAGAGCACATTTTCCAATTTGTGAGGAAATATTTAAAAATCATTTTTGTATTTGTTTATTTGTTTATTTTTATTTTATTTTTTCCAGGGGGGGGGGGACCGCTTTAGTTTTTGGTTTAAAAAAGGTAAAAACAACGCTACCATCTTATTTTTTAAGAATTTTTTGCTAGGTTAGGGGGGGGGGGGGCGGGGCCGTCCGCCCCCCCCCCCCCCCCCCCCCCCGTTGATCCTCGCTTTGTGTGATTTCGCGGTAAAATTTGATTTTACTTTCGCTGTCTTTCTTTTAAAGGCAACCAGAAAGTCAACAGCTTGGTTTATGTTTTATCAAATATCACCAGGCCTGAAATAGCCCTGATGTGTAATTCGATCCCAGTTCAAGATCACACGTAAGAAATATCCCGCGGTACGCGTGGAACATGTCATCAGTTCGTCATGCATCGCCCTGCCGTCAGCTTCCGCGGAATGGTACTCCCATGGGCGGTAGGAGGACTAGTAGCACAGCCGAGATCTGGGTCCAACTGATTTCCGGCGGCTCGATTTCAAAACATTTTCTGAAGGATGAAAAGGGGAAAGAGAAGGAGTGACAGAAGGAGAAGTAGTCGATAAAAAATATACTTAGAGATGAACCAAATTGAACGATTACAAACTTCAAAGAGAGGAGGACACCCCTTGCTATACCCTTCAACTCGCTTCACCCCCCCCCCCCCCCCTGGCGCCACTGAATCCCAGATAACGCCACTAATAACTTATACTGTGCTGTACTTTCGTAGTACGCTCGGCATGTGTAAATTAGATTTTGAAAAGTAAGGGCTCGGAAAGTTATTAGACCGGGGGCGAGGGAGGTGGCCCAATTCGTAAGAATTACTTAGCGGCGCACCCTGGATCCGCCACTGATATCGGAAAGGCCTATAGGCGAATATATTTTTCTTCTATCTTTCCCTTTGTCATTTGCTTTAGGCCTATATATTTTGTATATTATCCGATTATTAGTTTTTTTAAAGTTTGGTTCTCAAGAAATTTAGATGAACTTGGAGTCGAAAAAACCAGAAGAAGAATTATGATGAAAGTTTAATCAGAAGAAGAAGTGAAGAAGAAGAAAAAGAAGAAGAAGAAGAAGAAGAAGTAGTGAAGAAGAAGAAAAGAAGAAGAAGAAGAAGAAGAAGAAGAAGAAGAAGAAGAAAGAGAAGAAGAAGAAGGATAAATGAGGAGGAGTAGTAGGAGGAAGAGGAGCAAGAGAAGAAGAAGAAGAAGAAGAAGAAGAAGAAGAAGAAGAAGAAGAAGAAGAAGAAGAAGAAGAAGAAGAAGAAGAAGAATAAATGAGGAGGAGGTGGAGGAGGAGCGAGGAGGAGGAGGAGCGCCGGGAGGAGGAGGAGGAGGAGGAGAGGAGGAGGAGGAGGAGCTAGAGGAGGAGGAGGGGGGTATTAGGAGGAGGAGCAAGAGAAGAATTAGCTTATCTCCCAATCGATGAACAAAACGTTAATTATGCGGGCGATTACGTTGCGAACTAGATCTGCGAACCTAAACTTAGATTGTAAGCCCTCTCCGAGCACAGTACAGTACAGTAGCATAGTAGAAAACAAAAACTTGAATATGACGTGGCGATCAATTGATGACGTGAGCGACTGCTGTGGAATCTTCATAGCAGATTTGAACAAAAGATAAAGGTAATATGAGCTTCTTTATTAATTTTATCACATTTTAAAGTTTTCAGTGCTGATTACGACAATGTAGGATAATGTTTGCATTATTTAATTTCGTGTGGAACTCTAAGACCACGATATGAGAGTCGAGATCAAACGTTCGGTTTTTATATGTCAGTCCCATATGTTGTGAATTTTGTTGGTGAAGGTAGAGCATACGGCGCGCGGCCCTAGTACTACCAGTTCAGATTCATTTTTACCCATAACTCCGGCGTGGAGATACCCTACTAAAACATACCAGAAAACAACTAAATCTTCATCAATTGTTTAAATAATAGTCATGATTTGAAAGCCCTTGTGTTTCATACCTGTTTCATCATGTTCATGTCAATTTTCTTATCTTTTTTGGAGTATTTTCCTATAAACTTGAGGCGCGATAGCTCAGTGGTAGAGCAGTGGTCTCATATTCCGGTGGCACAGGTTCGAAACCAAGTCGATGCTAGTGCCCTTTGGTAAGGCATTAATCCTCATTACCAGGTCCCTTGGAGCATGGAGAGGACCTAAAGCCGTCTGCCGTCTAGTTGCTTACTAACAAGCATTTATGCTTTCTTGGCAGTCGGGTAAAATAACCACCACACTAACAGGTTTTTTTGTATTGTACAAAGTACTTTGAAATATGTCAAGAATTTAACCAGAAATATGTCTTTTATGAGATTTTTATACCAGAGTGATAGTGATTTTATTTTGCCTTCCATGTGTTCTTGATGTTAATGAGCTAATGTGCAATTTACAATTAAAAAACACTGACCTCTTTCTTACAAGAGTTTGCAACAACAAAAAATATTTTCGCATTGCTATTTTGATACTTACCTTATGATTATAGTGACCAGTTTAGTATACTAAGGTGTATGCAGGAATTTTGCTGAATTTAGCAAAGTCCCTGCGCATGCACATTTTTACACCAATCTTTGGTATGTCAATCTCATCCTCTTTAGATCTGGGGTTAAATATTGGGTCAAATTAGGATCCTGAAACAAGTTCTGGATGACCCTAGTAGTTGAGCTGATGGTTTGAAGAAGGATACAAGGCAGCATGGATTTTCAATCTGTTCTCTCCCTTACTGCAACAGTTTCTACTATCGGCCTGTTTTTGACTGGCATGTAAGTAAAATATTCCCATCCTGGTAATTTGGCATGAAACATCCTGGCCCATAGTCAACTAAGATTTAAATCTGATGCGTGGTTTGACTTTGAGGTCGGTCTAAAGTTGTGATTAACAGTGGAAGTTACAAATTTTTCCTTCATTAATCATGACTTAGACCATGCCAAAAGAGAATTAGTAGCAGAGTATAAGCATTTATTTTTTACATAGATGGCTGTTTTATGAAAATCATTTGAATTGATAAACATGAACATCTAATCAGGTTCAGCCACATGAAAAAATAACATCCTTTATATTCATACTCTTGTGGCAAGGGGAATAACTTTTAAATAACAGTAATTGTTTTAAATGTAAAATCCATTTTGTGCTGAATTGTAGGTGTTTTGGGAAAATGCTCAGGATTGTTGCATTAAAACTTAGAGCAATATCTTGCATTACAAATATATTACTATATATATATTACTATTTCTATATGTACGGCCTGTATATCTTGTGCAATTTTAAAGACATGATTATTAGTGACACCTCTTTCAATAGGTGATAATTTTCTCATGTTAAATTATGATTCTATTGAAACTGTTGGAAAAAGGAATAAACAATGTATTAAAGAAACTGACAATTTTGTTCTCCTTTTTCCTCTTTCCTTTTACAAAGAAATATTTCACTTTGTTTTTCTGCTAAACTAACTTGCCAACAAATATTTTGGACATATTATTAGGAGCCTTTGGATATGATTTAAAATGAGCTACTGATGAATATCCTACTAATCCATTCTTTTGTGATTTTATTCTTGCAGACAAATTTGTATGAAGATCAGATCTCAGGGTAATACACAGAACATCTCCATATTTCCATTCATAGCAGGCATCATCAAGTAAGTGTTTACAAAGGGCCTACCGGTATATCACCTGTTTCATAAACCAGCCAAATAAGGCCATTTTTCGTAATGTAAACAAATTATATGCATATGCCTTTTTGCCTTCATTGATCTATTATGGATAAATGTACCTTATAATAATCAAAATTCAAATAGCATCAATAATTATATATTGCCCTTTCTTGCAACACTTAATATATGCAGGTTGCATTCTGACTACTGAAATACCATTATTCTTATCAGGTGAATGAAATAATTTGTACTGAGGCACTTCACAGAGACTTATGTATTGAATTTGGTTCCATTACGAAAATGGCCTATTGCATCATTAGTTGTTGCTAGGTAAGACAAACGTTATGACTTGCCCTACCCAACAACATGTAATGTAATTTGAATTCTGACTTTTGAACACAATTTGTAACAGGTGAATAAAATAATTTGTATTGAGGCCATTAGGTATAAATTTGGTCACATTGCCGAAATGGCCCATTAATTTGTAAGATAAATATGTAAAAATCGACCAACAGCATTGGTATTTGGTAACACTATGAACATGATGGACAAAGAAAGCGGACAAAATATACAGTTTCTCATTGTACCCTCAACAATGGCTATGGTAGACAAAGGAACATCCCTTCACTGCTATTATGAAAAAATCTGTAGAACAGGTGTCACATGCATATTCATCTGTTCTACACTGCTTTCTTTGTCCGTCATGTTCATAGTGTAAACATCTAAAAGGTCACCAAGAAAAATTTCTTATTTGCTTCATTATTGGATGAGGGTAGAACACAACCTCAAAAAGTATTTTGCTCTGGAATACATGCATATTCAAAACAAATTAATTTAAGTGTTCAATTGTCAGAAATATTATTCGTCTCCATTCAATGAATTTATGGAGCTAGCCATGACTAGGCAGTTTTAACATACATTGATACAAGTTGTGATAATTTTCCTTTATCATCCTTTTAAACTTCAAAAGTACTCAAATGACTTCTTGTCTTCATTCCTAATTCCTACCTTGCTGTACAAACTCTCTGTCCCCAGTACAGTGTTATGGACCAAGTACGGTGTTTTGATCGAGGATCAGACTGTCATTTTTACCAACGGAGTGGGGATCGTTCTTCAAACTCTCTACACTCTGATTTATTACCTAAACACAAATGATAAGGTAAGTTTGGTTTTGGTTTTTGTTTTTCTAATGAGTTATGAGGATTTTTACTGCCAGTAGCGGGCTGAATCGAATGGAGATTAGTCCCAAAAGTATGTTTTTGATGCTTTGAAAAACTCGTCTGAGAATAAGGCAGAAGTGATCAAGAAATCATTGATAAGGTAAGCTTTTTTTTTTGGGGGGGGGGGAATTTTGGGTGGTTTGAAAAAACTCCTCTTAGAATAAAGCAGAAGTGATCAAGAAATCATTGATAAGGTAAGCTTTTTTTGGGGGGGGGGGATTTTGGGTGGTTTGAAAAAACTCCTCTTAGAATAAAGCAGAAGTGATCAAGAAATCATTGATAAGGTAAGCTTTTTTTTTCTGATGAGTTATGAAGATTTACTGCTAGGAGCGGGCTGGATCGAATGGAGATTAGTCCCAAAAAGTGATTTTCTTTTGTAAAAATGTTTGAAAAAAAATTATCTTAGATTAGGCAGAAGTGATCAAGCCAATCATCGTTTATCATAGGCCAAATGTCAAGACCTAGTGGTGAATATTTTTTATTTAAAACAAAAAAAATAATGTTTTTCTCTATACGCCTCGTTATTTGCTAGAACTCAAACTTCATTTTAGTCTCAAATATGTTTTTAATTTTGTTTCCTTCACATTTTTTTCCTCCTTTTTTTTCCTTCATGTTTTTTTCTTCTTTTTTGTCCTTCATGTTTTTTTTTCTTCTTTTTTTTCCCTCATTTTTTTTCCTTCATGTTTTTTTTCTTCTTTTTTTCATTCACATTTTTTTTCTCCTTCATGTTTTGTTGCTTTTGTTGCAGAAGCAAGTACATTCCAAACTTCTATATACCGCCCTAATCATCTACCCGACGTTAGGAGCTGTCAAATTCATGAATATGACGGCAGCAACGGCCATACACTACATAGGCCTAGCGTCGTCATTCGCCACAGTACTCATGTATGCAGCGCCGCTTAGTGTGGTGGTGAGTAAAACTTTTTCATTCATTAATAGAAGATGGTCAGGTTTCTTTTTTGGCTTTACACTGTAGGAGAAAAGAAGGGAATTACTTGAATGAGAATATACCAGTCATGCTAAATGTTCACAGACTGGTGGAAGTGATGACTTTAAGAAATGCCTGAATCCTTAAATATTATTATCGTTTTAGAGTTTGGGTGATTTTATTTGAAATTTGAATTTAGGCAATTATAATTGTGCCATCGAGAATGCAATGGGACCAATTTTCAGAGTATAGTATTACAATTAGATTTAATGTCCAAAAGCATTGGTAGTAGTAAGATGGACACAAACAGAAAAAATGAGTATGATATTCATTAATTTATAAATCATTCACATCATGAGATAAACAAAAAGATATGCATATGAACCAATGAAAAAAATATTATAGCTTTCTTATATTTCTCATTAAACTTCATATTTCAAAGCATACCTGTATTAGATTGTCATTGAAAACCTTAAAAAAAAACACTAAGAATAAAAAATTCTTGCACTTTATTTGTCTGTGATTTTTTTCTTTTTCAGGCTCAGATCATAAGAACCAAAAGTACCGAGGCTCTACCGTTTCCTTTATCGTTTGTTGGGTTACTGGTGTCTTTGCAATGGTTTATTTATGGGCGTCTTGTGCAAGACTCTTTTATTCAGGTAGGTTTGAAACACGCATATATAGATGTTACATGAAATCTGCCTTGATTATCTAATAATCTAGACAAATCTACATTTTTTCTGTCCAAAAATTGAAACTATGATTTTGATCTGTAAAGTGTTTATTTATATGGGAGTTACTTATACCCGATTTACCCTTGAAACAGCATTTTAAGTAAAAAAGTTGTGTACCGGGGTACATAAATCTGAAGTACCAAGTTAAAATTTTTATGCTTAAAAGTTCATTGATTTTGTTCTAAATTGTAATGACCAAGAAGGGTTAAAGCTTTTTCGTTTCATTTGCTTTTTTTCTTCTTCTTCATTTTACTGTAGATTCCAAACTTCTTAGGCATGCTTCTGGGTGCCTTTCAGATGTCTCTTTTTATCCGCTATCCTGGCCCGTCACGGAAATACGACCTGGCGGGATCAAGCGTCATTTGAAGGGCACTCGTAAGACGGACGACCAACCCGAGAACAGAACAGAGGAACATGCTTTTATTGGTAGGCTCGTTTACACTAAGCCTTGAGCTCATCATTCCAGATTGACAAGAAGTCAGAGAGATACAATTTGTCTTCGTGCAATGGGGCCTAGGGGGTACAAAATCATGTCAGAAACGTTTAAAAAGTGAAAGACAATCTGAAAAACAGTCTGTGTGTGTGCTATTGTATATTCTACAAAGCATGTTATAACCTCACTGGATTATCATTAGGCCTTAAAAAAATAAGATGTTGTATTGCCCTTTGCGACCGACCCAAAAATCTTGAAATCTACAGTGGGCTTTTTAAAGAATTTTTTAAAAAAAACGTTTTTTAGAGAGAAAAAATATTGAAGCATTCAAAACTGAGAAATATCGGCCCAAAGAGGGCGAGGAAAAAAAAGTTGAAAAAAAAAATTCTGATCGATCGACCCATGTTTTGGCACATAAAGGGCAATACAACATCTTTTTTTTAGGCCTTACTATTACATGAACACGATAGCAGCTACTTTCGAAAAATCAACCTGACGCAATTTCAATAACCTTGTACGTCTCCTATTGAAATGTGCGCACATGACACTGACATACTACATAAATCTGAACATGGTTTTTATGGTTTCTATGGGACATACAATAGGGTATTGAAATTTGCCTCGATTTGATTTGTGGTCGTGTTCATGATATATTATCACGAGGGTGTTTTACACTGCATGTATTTGAAATTGAATTCAGAGAATTTCAATTTGTGTCTCTACAGGCCGCTCTGCTTTTTATGCTGTTCTTTGAGCAGGCGCTATTTGTGCATTATCTAACCTTTTAAAGCCTATCTGCACTAGTTTGGCCAGGAGGGATTAGACCTCCGTGCGTGGTCTTTGACAGGTGGTTATCTCATTAAATCAGCTCTCAATTAACGTAAGAAAAAGGGGACTATGGGGGACCAAGGGGTACCACTTAGGCCTTGTTTGCTATATAGAGGGTGCGAGTAGCAACAGGTAGTGCAGTCCCGCTTTAAGCCAATGTTTCTGCTGAAAGACTTTTCAAATGACATCTAGTTAGACAGAGGCCATAATGCTTCACCTGTTAAAATGTGCCAACATGTCACTAACTAATTATATAATCTTATAAACTTGAGACAACAAAGCTACTTTGTGAACAATTCCATATGCCTATATGTAAATAGAGTACATTTCCACTCTTTTTGTACAGTGCTGTCAATGTACACTCATGTATTACATGTATAAATTAATATTTCTGCCGGCGATCATTTTCCATAAAATGTGTTATTTAATTTTCTGCATCTGTTCATCGCTTATATTTATGAAGTTACATACATGCCTTGTGTGGTTTTTGTCAAGGTTTCTGAAAACAAAATTCAACCTTTCTTGTAAATTTATTGCAAGGAAGGCAGGCAATCAGAGAAACAGATTGGGAAAACTTTCAACAAAATTGGATAATCAGAAAGAATAGTATACATGTACCTATAAAACCGTTACTAGTACCAATTTTTGAAAAGGTCAAAATGCTGATATATATGTACAGGTATATAAAGGAATGTCGAATTGTGGAGTTAGTAATATCATGATGATATGTTGGAGATCTCTCCCATTTGCCCTAATGTACATTATGACTAAAATTTCGTTTTGCAACATATCGTTCAGAGCAGGACCTTGTTCGTAAATTTTGATTATACCGCTTTGAGGAAAAAGGGGCTCTAAAAGAACCCATCTGAAATTCATAATATTTTGTTATAGGTACAACAAATGAGAAAGTCTGTAGTTGATGATCCATTTTCTAAGTTGACATCTACATGCAATTTAGCGATCTCAATGTTCAAACATTCATGAAATTCTTTTCTTTTCCCCCTAATATGTTCAAAAACTTTCATCAACTGGTTTATCTGATAATTCTGCCTTTACCTAATCAACATGTTAAAAGGTTTTATTGCCCTTTTTATGTTTTTATGTTTAAGAAAATGTTATTTAATGCTTGCTAAAGTTTTAAAGTCAATTTCAACCTTGATGTCAATTTGCCTTGAAAGGAAGTCAAAACTCAAATATTGAAATAAGTGACTGTTTAACTTTACTTTTGATGAGAAAGTGATAAGTTGACCTTCTACTAGATACATGTTTATTCTAAATCTCACATTGCTGAATTTAACATGTAAATCTATTTATATCTGGTAGAAAAATTCAATTGCTTTGTGCAAAAGATAATAGATTTTTGTTTTATTCTGGTGAAAATTCTCTTCATTCCTCACAAATATTATTGTGATAATCTCAAATATCATGTTCCATTAATAAGTATGGAAATCAATTTCCAAACTAAAAGTTGGCCCCCCCCCCCCCTCACCAAAAAAAGAGTGTTATGCATAGTCTGAGACAGAATGCAGTTGCCTTTTAGCCTTTTTATCAAGACAACTCAACTTTATAATGTATTTTTATAAAAATTTGTTATAAAGTATCAATTATAGTGTCGTGAAACAGCTCAAAATTTAGGGATATTTTCTTGACTGCCTTATTAATTGTCCGGATCGTTTTTTTAATTATTGTTGTTTATCATGGGAATTTTTAGAACTGGTTCACTGGATCTAGATTTTACAAAACTTCTTTGTTGTTTGGTTACATATCAAGGGATATTTTAATCAATCCTTTTGACCAAAACTGATTTTCTTTTTACAGATTGTTGTGATTTTAATATGAGGGGCTTGAGGTGTGGTAATCAGAAAAAAATAATTTATGAGCTTTTCTCATTAGAATCAAATCTTAGTAGCCATCAACTTGATCTTTGAAATCATTAATTTTCTTATTATTTATTTGTTTATTGATTTATTTATCAATTCATGTGCCAAGCTAGATGTAGATTGATCGTTGCCAATGGGTATTATTAGGTACTACTGACAGAGTTTGATGACTATAGCTGGCTGTGCCTTTTTAAGTAAACTTCTCCTGTTTGTTTTTTATTGAAATTGGACAGAATTAATCCCGGCTAACCTAGTCAATGTGTGTGTGTGTGTGTAAATAGTGGTAAAAGATTTTTTATATTTCTTTATTTTGTCAAAATATGCATGTGGTTCTAGGGCACACATACTTGAGTATATTTCTTGTGCAAATGCTAAGAGTTGCAATGCAGATTTGCAATGCTGTTAAGTTGCAATTGCAAATCATACTTTGTATTCATCGTCATTTATTATTTTGTAACAGTAACACTAGTCCTAAGTCCATTATTGCATCCTGAATGAGACGTTCAGAGATTCATTGTGCAGGATATGCAAAATCATCTTGAAGAATCTTGGAAAGCTTCATTCCTATTTTACTTATCGTTTTGTAAAAGATTGTTTTGTGAAAAATTTGGTTTGTTTATCAAATACTATGTGTTCATTGTACTTCCATGTAATTTTCAAAACATTATTGATTTGAACTATGAAGGTGAAGTAATTGCTTGAGAAGGGGCAGATACAGGGGAGGGGGGAGGTCAGGAGGCCGGCATGTCTTACTAGGTGAGGTCATGGGGTTATAAATCTCAGAAAGGTTGACCTACTTACGTCAGTATAAGACATGCCTGATGCCTGATGCCTTTATGTGATGATTTGCTACTAAAAGTACTAGTATATAACTAAAAGATTTTTGTAATGAACTGATTAACTGCATTTATAGATGGACTGTTAGTTATTTGAAAATTAAATCAAGTTGCAAAATTGGTTCAAAAGAGTATCGTTAGCGAAATTATTATGGTGGAAATACAATTACAATATTGTCGCTTTTATAGTGCTCTTATAAAGTGAACTCTAGTACTTTGCTTGAATAGAATTGTCAAAGAACGATATTAAATCAAATCAAAGGAATATGTAGTTAAGGGATGAATCAATATTTAAAAAAGGGGGATATTTTCTTATGCTGCTTCTGTTAAAGAGATGACAGCAAATGGCTGACTTTGAGTTTGGACCAATCCCTTCATTCCTAGCTTTAGAAAGCTTGTGGGTGGAGGTAATGGCTGTCTTCTAATTTCTTTTCAAAAAATGTGAAGGCTATTGAAGTTCCTTTGTACTACTACAACTAATCGTCATGTGTATGGTTTTCCAACTTCTATAATCTCTTTTAAAGCTCAGGTATCCTGAGTTGTGCTAATGGCATTTTAGACTATTTATGTTATATTAATATCCAGCAAGGGAAGTGGATGAGCCCTTTCGACAAGAGTTGGTTTTCAATGCATTAAGTTATTCCGACTTGTTTACCATTTAGGTGCGTTTGAACCACTTGCTTGAAATCACGTTCATCACAACTCACAGAAACACATCTTAAATCCAGTATTGTGCACTAGGTAAGTCATGAAGACTTGTGAGGACAGCATTTATTTTCTGTCATTATCATGATTCAAGGTTATTTCACGATATATATTGTTAATTGTCATATGTCATATTTATCCTCCATATATACACCATGTTTACATTCCCAAGAATATGTTTTCTTTATTAAAACGATCTATAAAAATATAAAGACGTGTTTATGTGATGTATTGTTTTCTCATTGACCTACATGTATTATCTACTGGTAACAATATTCCTGAATTTAAATAAACAAATGAATAAATGAATATACCACATGACAAAGAAATTTTCAAATGTTTCAGAAAATGGCTTGTATTTACAATAAAATATCAAATAATGACATGAAATCAGTATCATTCACAATTATCCAATTAAAATTCATGATAATGCAGATTTAACAAATTACTTTGCTCATTGGGGGTACTGCTTGGGCATTTTCTCTCAAACTCTTTACGAAATTTTACACGTTTGGTTTTACTTTGCTCCCATGAATAAATAAAAAACATGAACAGCCTAAGTACCATTAGTTTGCATACATACATACAAGTTCTATACATGGGACAGGTCAAACTTAAATAGAAAATGGCAATGGCTTGTATGTGGAGATGGATTCTATAGATATGAAATCTATAGCAATCTAAACAACCATCAGTCTTCTGAAACATAAAATAAATAAATAAATGTACCAGGATAGAATCTACACCTGCATGTGATCAAAATCAGTAACACACAGAAAGAAAAATGTAGGGTATCATGTGATTATCCTTTCTGTTCTCCTCCCATGCACACATTACACTGAATGTGACTCGATACTTTTTTACTATTTTATATACTTATTTATTATCATTATTTATATATTTTTTTTGGGGGGGATGGGGGTGGAAGGAGGGAGAGAGAGGTCACCCAAAAGCCCAGTTGGAAGAGGAGTAAACCACAGGTTCCCTTTCTGCTTACCCATTCCCAGAATTATTCTTGTGTTTTAAAAATTATCACATGTACAGCAAATTGTTCTTGCTCCCTTATCATTTCATGTAGAGCAACGTAGAAAGCAAACACTATCTGCAGTACAATCTACATGTAACAAAGCAGTACTGTATATGAGTACTAAATCAAATGTTTTGTGAAATATTCACATCTACATGAATCAACAATAATACACAAAACTGTCAGTGATGCATAAATTGTGACAGTAAACTGTATACATGTCTTTTATTGAATTTGCAAGCGTTCTAGGGTATTCCATTCTCTCCCAATGCATGTATGTGTATCTGAAACATGAACAAAGAACTATGGACATCTATTTTTTAACTAACATTATACATACGGAATGAAAAGGACATATGAAAGTATAATTACTGATATTTCAAGGGGAAGTCATTATTAATGGGTAATAAATATGATATATTATAGTTTATAGGCTATGTAAACGAATTCCCCTGCAGGGAATGGTCATGGATGGCTCACGTGATGTAAAATATTTCCACCATGACAAAAATTGGATATGCGTAAAGTCAAACGTGGTATATCTTTAATATTTTTAGATCACGGGTACAGTATAAACACACCTTGTGGATAAATTACCTATATGCTTGCAAGCATATACCGGTAAGAAAAGAGTGTGAGTTATTTGAGGACAAGTTTAAGAATGTTTGAAGAAGGAGAAGTTCTAACAGGTTTTATGATCCACCAGGAGAAGATCATTAGAAAATCACTTGTTTGTGTCAAAACGTATCAAATTGAATTGCTATAATATAATTATCACATTGTCATTAAAAAAAAACATTTGCTGGGTCACTTAATAAAATGATCTTATATCAGTATAGCATAAACATGAGAATCCTATACATTCTGTACACTCCTTGGTGCCTTCCAGCCAGGGACCATTCCTGCACATATGATGTAAACTATCTCCACTCCTATACCGGTATATGATGCATGATGGTATCTGGCAATGTAGCAACACCAGAAATTGAGGTCTCCAAAGTCCAATGTCCTGGATATTCAAGATTTGCAGAGGAAGATCATGACGGCTTCATGTCCAACTGTAATATATAATTCCCTTTAAGTGATTTGTATTTGGAGCTAAATTTTGCAGGTCATGTAGTGAAAGGGAAAGCTGTAAATAAGCTTGCGAGTTCTTCAGGGACCCGTTTCACAAAGCCTTTTTTCAATGGCAAATGACTAAAATCAGTGACAAATCTGCTGATAACCAATCAGAAGCAAGGATTTCAGTAGCTTATAACAAAAACTGTCATTTGTCACTGATGACAAGTTTTGTGAAACGCCCCCAATAATCATCCCAATTGTCAGAATCATCAACCTTCTGACAAACTGAGGGTGTTTCGTCAAAACTTGCAAAGGACAAAGAACTTCACACTAGATTTTCTTGGGCAATTTCCTTCAGAAAAATTTGTGCATCTGAGGTAAAGTTTTCCATGGCAGACACTATTAAAAAGGGAAGTTTTTGATGAGCTTGTGAGTTGTACCGAGCAGACACTGTGCTCTCCATTGGCAGTCTTTAGTAGTCATCTTCGTCGTCTGAATCGTCAACGTTCTGGTTACGCCCCGAGAAGATGTTGAGGGTGCTCCTGACTTGAGGCTTAGGAGGATCCTTCATGTCTGTCTTCATGGCTCCTGCTTCAGCCAACTTCCACTCCAGCTCTATGAGAGAGGAAGGGAAAGATGGAAAGGGGGAGACAAGGGGAGATAAAGAAGGGACAAAAAGGAAGAGAAGGGAAAGAGACAGACAGACAGATAGACAGAATGGGGAGAGGGGGAGAGGAGGGAGTGGGAGAGAAAGAAGGGCCAAAAAGGGAGAGAGGGGAAAGAAGGGAAAGAGAGAGAGAGAGAGACAGAGAGAGAGAGAGAGAGAAAGACAGGGGAGAGACAGAAAAGGAACATAGAGAAAAGAGGAAGGGAGAAAGAATGAATATTTGCATTGAATACATATTTTAAACACCAATATTCAATATATTTGATAAGAATGTGTAAAATAGTTACTGAAGAGGTAGTCATGACAATTCTGAGAGGTGAAATGCTACAAAATCGCCCTGCGATGCCAAGTTTGCACTAGTGTTAAGCTAGCCCTACCTCCTTTGTATTGTGGTGCCCAATAATAAATGACTAATGGCAAAAATAAAATAAATTTAAAATAATAATCATACTACTGCAATTACTACTACTGGCTTCTTATAGAGTGCTCTTATCTGTCTCGCTGTGACGCTGATGGCCAGCTTTCACATTATCACCCTAATTGTAGTCCACCACCACATGATGTACCTTCTAATGTCAGGTTCATCCCGCCAAACTCCAGCGGACCCACAAACTGGGTTTTCATCTCGCCTTCATTGTAAACAAATATCGTAGGCAGGTTCTTGTCTGGGTAGTTGGGTATACAGGTCGTAGCTATACTCCGGAGAAACTTGGTAGCCCTGAACTTGCCGGCCAACTGCGTGAGGTGTTGATTGATGAGTGCACACAAAGGAATACTAAAAGAAGACATTTGGAAGTATTGCACATTCTATTACTCTGTTTATTGCAATTACACCTAGCATAAACACTGATATAAAGACTGGGATACACAGTACATGCCAATATATACAAATTCAAGTGAAAGACAGAGTACAATGAATTGGGACCAGTGAAATTATCATCTTATAAAAGCACTTGATACACTGTATAACAATGGTATATTAGGGATGTATTGAAGTTGCTCATTTAATGAAATATTTTGTGTTGTAAAGATAGGTTAGAAGTATGCTTTTGTAGGGACGCAGAGTCAGGACATTACTTAAAATGATGAGGAAATCATATTTTTTTTTTTTTTTTTTGTGACACCGACACTAAAAGCTTCATCACCTGTGGGTGATTTGACATTTGCTCTGAAAATTACTACGGGGTATGTTTCCTCAAAAGTGTTTGGCTAGGGTTCGGGTTACAATTGGGATTTAAGTTAGGTTTATGATTCGGGTTAGGTATATTGTTAGGTCTAGGGTTGCAGTTAAAAATTTGGTTGTGTACAAAAGTCTCAGCGAGGCGATTATCTCAGGAGAAGGTGTCGTACATCCCACCTTTGTTGAACTTGTAATATGTAATGTCCAATAGTTTTACATAGGTGTTATTATAGGTGAATTGGTTTACTTTCCCATAAATATTTTTTTGTTATTTATTATGTTGTTTATATATTCAAATTTGTCATAATTTCAATGTGCATGGAGAAATTTTCAATTTATAATGTGCTTAACAAATATTCTCTATTATTATTATTATTATCTCTTCTCACTCACCCTGCTTTGTAGAGATGTAAGACGACCCACACGCCCTCGCCGGCATTGTTGACCTCTTGTACGTAATCCTGTGCAGAAATGTCCTTGACTGATCCGTAGATGGCTTTATCTTGTATCCTCTTGATCTCGGCTACTCTTTGTTGCCTGGATAAACAAACATTGATGACAGTTCCGTATTAGAGGTGGTATTCCGAACATGATATTAGCCCTTGGCCCCGTCTTATAAAGAGTTGATATCAATCGCAACTATGTACATAACAGATAGGAGATTGAAAACTTGCGATTGATTAGAGGACTTGCGATTAATTTGGATCAATCGCAAATCCCGAAGTATTGTATTTCAATGTCTTCTTATCCCTCTTAATTTTTAAATCTAATATTGCCCGATTTCTTTCCTTACCTGTACTGTTGAAGTATCCTCTCCTCCTCTTCATCTTCTAATTCATCAAGTTCATCTAACGTCATGTCCTCTAATGCCTTATCTATGAAGAAAAAAAAACACATAAGACAGAGTGACTCATCCGATACTACTAACAATTGAACGAAAATTTGCAATCGGGCAGATAAATCTCGTTTATAAATCTTGCTGGAATTTCCTTGGAGCAAGACCCACGAGAGATCAGTGTGCTTTCACTGTTTTAAATGACTTTGTTTGAGAATTTCCCCTACTGGGGTGGTTTCTTTAAATTTTATTTAAAGTACATGCACATTGCAGTATGGTATATCACTCATAACACCAATTGCCAAACTTGTAATAATAACAATAAATAATTCAAATAATAATGATTATTATTATCATTATCATTATCATTATTCTTATTATCATTATTATTATCATTATTAGTATTATCATTATTATCATCATCATTATTAATCATCATTATCATCATTATTATGATTATCATTGCAATCAACGTCATCATCACCACCACCCTAATCACCTTATTCTTTTGTATGAGGCAGCAGAATATAATAAAGAGAAAATGTTATGAACAAAAAGAAATTTCAAAAATATATCTCTGATGGTTATGGTGCCCCCCCCCCCCCCCCCCCCTGGAAAAATTAAAAAAAACTGACTGGGTATGCAGTTTACCCGCAACTTAAAGGATAGGATACAGTGGGCTCATTATTCACAGGTCACCAGGGACCCGTTTCACAAAGCCTTTTTTTAATGACAACTGACAAAAATCAGTGACAAATCTGCTGATAACCAATCAGCTAGAAGCAAGGATTTCAGTAGCTTATAACAAAGACTGTCATTTGTCATGGATGACAGGTTTTGTGAAATGGACCCAGTACCATCATTAATTATCACCATTGTTACCTTGTGCTCCTACTCCTGTCTTCTTTTGAATAGCTTGGTCTAACATGCCCTCAATCTGATCCTCTGTCACCGTTGCCTCTTTTTCGGGAATAATACCCTTGGCTCGCAAGATGTCGTTCCATTGTGTGTCCTCGTTTGGATTCTAAATATGGAGCGTAAATACATGTAGGATCTACAGGTAAGTGAAATCCCAGAAAGTCCCACATTTACTTTGGACTGTAAAAGGAATTAAACTACTGCACACACATCAAAATCAATGGAAGCGGGTTTGAACTTTTTACTTACATTTACCAGTTTACAATTTTTATCAGGGATTCTTCATTTATTACTCTGCTAGATATTTGGGGTTTCCAAGTTGAAATTGAAAATGAAATTTGAAATTATTGTTTTCCTCGAAATTCCCTTCCTCATGTAAGGAACAATCTTGGTTAATAGTACACAAAATCTAAAGGAGTAAAGGATTAAATAAGCAAAGGTACAGTGTACAAGGTTATTTCAAATAAACTTGTACAGGTATAACTAATACTATAAAGTATAACTTATAAGAGAGGTAAAATGGGACACCGTCTGGAATGCATGAGATTCTTGACTTCAAAACAGAAAACTAGGTCACAGAATTTTCAATTCATTAATGATTCAAATCCAATAGAGGTCGCTGGTAAAACTTTGCATAACAATTGGTAAAAACTAATTGGGAAGTGACAAAGAAAAGCTTTGAATGACTGGATAATTCAGTTTTATTTATCACATAACCTCGCCACATAGTCATAGACTATACTCCCATTTTCAATTACTTCACAGATTAATTATAACATTAGATCTAATTGGGTTAGATCTAGATCTAATGCTTTTCATTTCAATCTTTAAACATTTTGAATTGGGAATGGAAATCTTTGTCACACATAAATAATTAGTACACCAACACTAGTAACAGTAACACGTTCACGGCATGATCGAGTGTAAAGCCCGTTTGTAACGCTTCTTTTTAACTGAAATAAAACATTTTTATTCAGATCTTGCTCATTTGCCAGGCTATTTCAACAACAAATATCTCCTGCAGTTTTTCTGTAGGTGGCTGTCTCGTTTAGATAATTATTCACCCTGTTTTGATACCTTATCACCAAATAAGGAAATCCACGGTAATGACTCAGCTCAGCTCCGCCCACTTTTTTCATTGTGTGCATGCGTACACACAGTACTCAACTCAATCACTACAGTCCCGAATGTGCATTTTCTTGTAATGTATTGTACCTTCTTTCACACAACTCTCGCAAAGTTCCCTTAAAATCATAGCAAAAAGAGCAACATATGTCTTATTCAATAACGTAAATATATCATGTCATCTTACCTGCATGGTTTCTTTGTAGTTTTGATTAATGAAGACGAAAATGTGATGCCTGGCACCAAAAAAAGAGAACAGCTCCGGCGTTTATGTCTTTGATTTCCGCTTCACTTCTAGATCCTTCAGATTATCAGCTATCGATATCACATGAACAAAGGACCCCCCCCCCCACGATTGCGCGGATGTGAGGGGGGGGGGGGGGGGTAATTGTAAGTGGTCTTGAACGGAAGAACAGGGCTCTCAACGAAAGCTCGTATTACCCATAGTAATCGTTATAAGGGCGGCGATGCGTCTTTCAAAGTGAGGGGGACACAAACAAAACGGCCGGGGGTACTTTTCTGAAAAAATGGAGCACTTAAAAAGGGTAACCTAAAGCAAAAAAGTACAATTTTCAGACATACTCTTACATCTTTATCACGGATGATCTTCAAGAATTCTCTTTACATGGCGCAAAATATTGCTTCCGCACCACATTTTGCAGTTGTGTGTGATTGTCTAACAAAATCAATTGCTAGCTAGCGACTAGATCTTTTATACAAATTCACATTTTAAAGATTGAATGAGACCCCTTTCATAATGCTTACTATGCGAGAGCGTGTAGAGAGCTATATATATATATATATATATATATATATATATATATATATATATATATATATATATATATATATATATATTTATTTATTTTTTTTATTTATTTTTTTTTTGGGGGGGGGGGGGGAGGGATTCAAGAAAAAAAATCGCTTTCCGAGTCGCTTTAAATTAAGGGCACATGTTAGAGAGGCTATGAGAAATCTATAGTTTCGGGTAGATAGGGGGTGATAAAACATCATGACATTTGGAAAACTCCTTTATTGTCTAAACCTTTACACTTTTGAACAAGGGCAAGGTTTACCTGGGCATTCTGGGAGTTTAAACTGACAACCGTTTTAATGTAAAAAAGGGAACACTTCTTATTTCAAAATGAATTATCTAGAGGAGGGACATCAATGAAAGCGTTAAAACGAGCAATAGTATATTTCTAAAAGGGGCACAGTTCTTTCTTGTGAAATGTGTGTCCTTTTCCCCCGTCTCCACTGCCTTTTATTATGCCGGTTAAAATAGATTTCAATTAACTACATAATTTGCTCTGATTCTTTGAAATTAGATATGCATCCTGCACACTTTTTTATGCGACAGTCATGACGAATAATAGGTAAAAGAAAAAGGAATTACTTATCACTGAAGGCATTTGTTAGAAAGGAAACGGGATACTTATCGAAAGTAAAAAGAGGAACAAAATCTGCATCACCACCAGTCAAAACTCTTCTTCGGAGTATTTAGGAGGAAAAGAATCCAAGATCCAAGAAATAGCATAATGCAGGGGCGGTGGAGTGTCTTTCAAAGTAGGGGGGGGGGGGGGTGGGGGAGGGGGCACCAACAAAAAAGGGCACGAAGGGAAACATCACTACAAAACAAACACCATTTTTAGACATTGGTATATACCCCTATACATCGGCATGGTTGTGATTACACTACCAGGGATGATATCAATATGTTTTTCTTTCTTTACGTGGTACAAGATACTACCGAAGCAACATGCTTCGCAGTTGGGTGTGATGGTCTGCAAAAATTGTAAGATTTGTGAGGTCCTAGTTGAAAAAAAAATATTATAAAGAAGACACAAATAAACCTAGCTGATGAGTACTAAGCACAATCTAATGAAGACAGATTGAAGATTTCTTTTGTGAGTAACTTAATTAACTAAAACATCTATAAATGCGAGCGAATTCTAGCGAAAAATTAAGAAAAGGGGCTCTAAGTCGCTTTGAATAAGAGGTGCATGTTATGGAGAAAGGAAAAGTAGGCACTTGTCAGAAGGGAAAAGGACAGTTATCAGAGATTAAAATGGCACTTCTTGCACCTGAAAAGGAACACTTAACAGAGATGGAAAAAGGTACTTGTGAGAGTGGAAATGGGGATTTTGTTGGAAAAGAAATAGTTACCTTTCAAATTTTAATAGGGGCATTTATCAGATGTTGAAAGGGGCATTTTAAAAAAGGGGAGGGGCTTATATAAAAAAGGGAAGTGACTTCTTTTTATTACTAAGGAAAAAGTTCACTTAACAAAAAGGAAAAGGGGCAAGAGCCAAAGTAAAAAAATATCAAAGGTGAAAAGAGGAATATTTTGGCACCTGAAAAGGGGTACTCTCCAGATATGAAAAGAGAGGAAAAGGACAGTTATTAACAAAGAAAAGAGGCACTTGTCTTATGTCAAAAGGGGCACTTTGTGGGTACCTGAAAAGTGGGGGGGGGGGAGTGCCCCCTCCCATACCGGGAGTGCCGCCTCTGGCATTATGGGCAAAAGTGAGCACAAAACCGAAAAAAAACATGTCATTCCAGCAACACTGGTATCAAATTAGAAATAAACCACGTTTGAATTTTATTGGGGGGGGGGGGGGGTCAACTGTCCCCAAGCCCCCAAATCAGTACGCCAGTGCCTTTAATATTATAATGGAAATGGGCACTTGTCAGAAAGTAAGATGGCACTCAATAGAAAGGAATTGAGCAAAGTTAAAGGGGCATGCCCTTAATATCAGAGGTGAAAAGGGCACTGATCGTCGCACCTGGATAGGGGTAGGCCTACTCATCAGCTAGAGCTAGTGAAACGGGGCATTTATTCAAACTAAAGGAGAAAGGAACATTTATTACAAAGGAAAATGGGCACTTCAAATTCAAAGGGTCATCACTCATCAGAAGTGAAATGGACACTATGAAGGGGAAGGATCACTTTTGGGTAATTGAAGTGGGGGCACCCTGGAACACCGCCTCTGGTGGGTGAGTGGATTTCCTTTGACGACCAGTGCTGCTTTTAGTCTTCAGACAGATATCATTGTCAGCTGGGGTCATTGACAAGATAACAATGACATGATACATTTTTGGCAAGATGTGGGCACCTGCACCTGTGCGGTATGATTGGTATGTTCAAGTAGTCGCGCCGAGAAGTTAGACGTGAAACCCAGCAGTTTTTGGTTGCGGTTACGTCCCATGCAAAGGTAAACAAACTGTACACGTGTCAAGTATTCGAAGTAAACAACCCGGTCTTACGACTCTTAGCCATCGAAATCTTGGTTTGAGTTCGTTGCTCTTAGCTAGCTAGCTGAGCTGTCGCTGTCAGCTGGGGTTCATTTATCTTGATAATTAGGAATGCTGCACAAAATACAAAGCTGGGACAAAACCATTGGTAGGATTCTTCATATTGATAACCCAGCCCATCTCAGTTATCTCTGCAAAGGAGCTAAGTTGACACGCTACAGTACTGTTGGATGTTGTGTAATGAAGCTAAGCTCGTATAGTCGAACGAACCAAAGCAAATTAGCTCCATGTTCAACAGTCTGAAGAAAGTGTATTTTAGGGTAAGTTCGCAATTTGTGCTCGATTGTATGTAAACTGACGCCGATGTTGATGTGTGTTACTGGACTACTGGCTTTGCTACTTTGCTAGACAGAAATAACCGTCTGGTAGTGGTAGGCCTGTATAATTCGTTAGTAAAACTGACATTTGTGACATCATCATATTATCATAAATAAAATAATGTCAACCTCCTTCCCCTGTAACATGGTAAATAAGTAGCCTTAATTTGAGAGCTATACTATATAGGTGAGAATATATTGATATCCCCTTTGGAAAGATTTCCTTTTGCGACAGCTACCCAAATTGGAGAAAAAAAAGGTCTAGCGCGCACATGGTAACCGTTCTGGTTAGTGATAGGGTTTATGAAGTAGACCCTAGACTAGATTAGGTAGATCTATGTGACTAAAAAAATAAAAATTGTGGGATTACATTGTATCTTATATCATTGGAAAGGGCTTGAAAAACCATTTAAAATGGTATATAAACCATAGCTCTAGGACAAATATTTAGCGAGTTATGATTTTTTTAAGATTAAAAATCTGATTTAATTATCGCCATTGTTTTACCATTGAGACCTCTCAAAATCTGTGACCGACCATGACCAATAATAAAATATAAAGGATGGTCTTATCAAAAATGTAGACCTAAAAATTATTCATTTTTCTAGATAAAACCTTAAGGAAAGAACATGTGATAGGGGAAGAAAACCAATATTGTATTATTTGATGTACTATAGACCCTTCTATAATTAATTAGTAATTAGCAATTAGCAAATTAATTAGCTAATTAGTCGTTAATGAACTCACTGCCACAAAAAGTCAGACAAATTTCCGTAATTTCCTGACAATCAATTTTGAGGAAGTAAAAAAACAATGATTGTATGTTCCGATTTGATTTATATTCATCAAGTAACGAGAAAAATGTATAAATAAACGAATTAAATTAGTTTTAGAACTATTAAAACTTATCTTCAGGGTAGATTACGATGGTAAAGATGACATTGAACTTTGACTTGAACAAAAATGCACTTTCACATGTCCGTTTCTGAAAATTCGAAGTCGAGGCGAAAGGAAATTTTTCCAATGACGTCATCAGACAAGCAAGCCAAATCTGGCAAGAAACCGCCGTTTCCACACGCAATCAAAGAGGAACCCTGCAGAGTAACTCGTATTGGGTGTGAAACCGCTGCCGGGCACGCTGAAACCTAGACCGAATTTTCCGTCTCTTTCGTTCGTTAGCCTCTTATTGGGGTAGGGTCGGCCGGCTCTCTCTTTAGAGACGGAAACCGTCTATACACATTCCCTTGATAACGCCACGGCCATTTCAGGTCGTAGCGTTTTGCCCCCAAAATCCCCCAAAATGTCATTTTACCTCGTGTATATCCAAATGTAAATTAGGCCTAGGCTATAATACATCGGTTCCACTTACTAACTTGATTGAAATAATCCGTTTAATGGTCCCTTTTAAGGAAATTATGGGTCAAAATCGACATCCATGTTGAAAATCTTGCAAGCCGTGTTAAACTCTCGCTGCCGGAACGCGGAGTCATCTAAATCAATCTCATCCCTTCTAGTCTACGCCGAAGGCGAAAATGATTATGAAGGAAAAACTGCGATAATGCCATTACGAACGTGTAGATGGCGCACAGTTTTTGAAACAAACTACAAAGCAAACTACAAAGCACTTTAAAATCGTTCAAGTCATTAAAAAAAAAATGAGATTATGATACCATATAGCGATTGGCTTAATTGCCTTCCAAATGTTCCTGATGATGCTTGGTTAAACTTAAGGTGTGATTTACATTACAAAGACGCTAACCTCTTACAAGAGTTCGCCTTATTGGTTACGGCTGAAATGCAAAGACAGGCGGTATACAATATACTGATTTGATACTGTATACATTACGATAATAGAGATTAGTTTAAAAAGTGTGTGCAGGTACATGTAGCTTGCTAAATATAGTAAACTCAGTGCATGAGCCTTTGTATACTTAACTATGTTATCGTATTATGGCCACCCATAAAGCCAACTGCCAAACTTATTATTACTATTGTTATTATTATTGTTTTTGTTGTTGCTGTTATCATTATCATTATAATCATCATCAGGCTTTACAACAAACAAATTGTTGTTGCCCTTTGCGACTGACCCAAAAATCTTTAAATATACGGTCAGCTTTTTTTTTTTTTAAACCAATTTTTTAGAAAATTTTACTTTATTTAATTACATATATTCACTTATCAGCTTTCAAAACTGAAAAATATCAGCCCAAAGAGAAAAAAAAAAGAAGGAAAAAAAAATTGACTGACCGACCCGAGTGCTGGCACCTAAAGGGCAATACAGCATCTTTTTGTTTTGGGCCTCATCATCATCATCATCATCATTGTTTTTGTACATATTATAATAACTATTATTATTTCATGTATGAAACTTAGCAAATTTTCTCAGTTTTTACCACCATCACACAATTATATTTATAACTAGTTTTTTTGTTAGTAACAGATAAAAAGTGAGAATTTTTTTTTTTTGGTTCATCCACAGCCATTTTCACCTTAAAACCCTTTATACTGTAGTGACTTGACCTCGGAAGAACTTTACATTTGTAATTATAAATGTCTTGTCTTTATTATGTGGCTTGAAGTTGGGCCTTTTATTCAATTGTCACCCATTTCTTTAGTGACACCTGTAACATTATTAAGAGTGCCACACATACTTTCTCTGGCAAGCACATTCTAAACCCTATTGTATTGGGATGTGCAGTTATTCTGGCAAGCACATTCCACAACCTACATGTACATGTATGTGTTGGGATGTGCAAACACCCAATGTACTGGTATAGCATGCATATTACACTGGCTTCTTGCTTGCCACACCCATATTCATCACTTCTCTTATAGAGAACATGTCTTTTAGAGAGAGTCTAAAGTCTACACCAAAGCTAATTCAGGTTCATCATAATTCATGTATTACTTTTTCACTTGTTTCTCTACTCGGTTCTAAGGTCTTATTACTTTATAGAGATTATGAGTTTCTTCTCACTTACCTCTGCAAAGAAGCGACATTACTTTGTATATAGCCTTACGTATTCTTTCTACGGGTACTGTGCAATATTTGAACGACTACATGTACCTATTATTCACCTTGTGAAATAATTTGTCCCAAGTGTCGGTTACTACAGGTGTTGCTATGAGACAAGGTTAGGTAGGAAAGAAACCATTTTCTATTGCTTTTAGTTTAAGTGAACAATTCCCTAAAATACAAATGATATACTTTCTTTATAATCAATAATATTTGTTTTCTTCTTTCAGGTGTAGTAGAAGCAAACCTATAATCTTGAAGAGGTAAGCTGATCACCATGCTGGAATCCTACATATCACCGTTCCTGTTGGGCTATGTGGACAAGTACATCAAGAACATTAAACCAGAGGACCTACGGCTCTCACTCTGGGGTGGAGACCTGGTCCTGAACAATCTGGAACTACGCCTAGATGCCTTGGAACGTGACCTCAACCTTCCCCTCTCGTTTGTGAGTGGCTTCATCCATGAGCTGCGTATACACGTTCCGTGGACTCGGATCGGCTATGAGCCGGTCGAGATCACAATCAACACCATCGAGTGCACCGTCAAACTGCGTGATGCCGAGGCGGACGACAATGACAGCGTCAGCTCCAAGTCGAGCACCAGTACCAACAAATCCAGAACGGAGAGTGGTTCGAAGATGAAGCCCAAAGAGGACATTCAAGATGCCAGTCTCTCGCCGGGCTACGTGACTTCTCTCATGAACAGGGTGCTGCACAATGTCCACGTCTCCATCAAGAACTTGATTCTGAAGTACGTAGAGGATGACATTGTCCTCTCCGTCAATGTGCAGTCCTTTGCCACTTTTGCCACCGACAGTGACTGGCAGAAGGCTTACCTTGAACTCTCCTTGCCAGAGCTGGTCCTGAGACGTGTCTGTAACTTCACGGACATCACCGTCTGCCTGGACAAGCGCAATGCAAGCGGGAAAATTGAAGTTTACCAGGAGCCTGTGACCTTCAGGTGTGCGGTAGCGGCCCGCATGCACCTGACCTACAACAGTCTGAATGCAAAACGGGTTAGCGCTGTCAAGGTCAGTACTCACTGTGAAGAGTTGAAGATGTCGTTGTCCGACACGCAGCTTCCGATGTTCCTCAGGGTTCTGCAGCTGGTTGTGGCACTGTACTTTGGTTCTATTGACCTTCAGAAAGCAGAGCTGGAAGGAGATCAGAGCATCAAGGAAGAAGAGACAAACCAAACAGCTACTCCATTAGCAGGTATAGTCCCTTTCATTCAAGTCAAATATCAAAGGGCCCATGGCATCAAATTACAAGTGTATTCCTGTTGGTGTGCAGTCCTGCATACATCTCATATTTTGATATGTAAACTTCTGAATTTGTTTCATAGATTTTTAAATATTTTAAGAAATATTTGTTTTTCAAACTTGCTAAGCTCCACCTCTAAAACCTCCAGATCTCATTCCCCTTGTGACATCATCTGTCAGTCATCAATGAGCTAACTTGTAACTTTGCCAAAGTTGACCACCTGTTACAATACCACAAACAATAGCAACATATAAGTTGCTATGTCAGACTAAACTAATATTCTAGAATAGACAATGGTATGTAATTTCCCCCAGCTTAGCACAGTTCATAATAAAATTGCATTCTTTCATAGTTCATGTCTGACATCACAACTTGTATGTTGCTATTGTATTACGTATTGTAACAGGTGGTCGACTTCGGCAAAGATACATACCACTTTCTTCATTATTGAGAAATTTCACAGGATTTTTTGCTGGATATTTCTGCCCGTCTCCCACATGAGTGAATTATCTAGGTAATTTAAGATGGATCAGGAAAATTATGTTTGACACCACCTATTGTGAAGCTTGTTGAAGGTCATATCCAGTGCCCCTAATTGAATATTGAAATGTACTCAAAAGAACAAAGCACAGGATGTTATATACTACTAACGAATGTGAGGGTATGAAATCAACAAGAAATCAACAAGCCGATCTTCATATGACATTCCACCTGTCAATCAAAGGATGAAATTTACTCTCAAGCAGGAAGAAATCTACAGCCGATGAATTTTCAATTCAGACGAAATGTACACTGAATGGGTAAACATGGAGGAATCTAGGTAACAGGTGCCTGGTCTAGTTTTCAGATCTTTCAAATGCCGTTGGAATTTAACTCACATTTTCACCGTAGTACCTCTGATACATTCAACAGATCATCTAATATTAGATAAGGTCGGTAACATATGGGATAAAATAGCTTTGTCGTGTCCTGCTGTCAATTTTAGTCAGTAAGTTTAATAAGAAGCTGCTGAAAGTTTCTTTAAAAACCTTGCAATTACATATATCCTGTTATAGAACTGAAGTGAACAAAGCGTCAGATTTACTAAATGTGCAAGTTCCACCATGTGTTTCTTGTTTATGCATTTAGAGAATGATGAGGCCCATGTTGATCTTGATCCCTCGTCATCCTGGACATCGTGGGCATGGTCGTTTGTCCCAGAGGCTCTGACGTACGATGAAGACGATGACCAAGAAGAAGGGGCCGTTAATCGATTTGGTGGGGGCAAACTGCGGAAGCGCCAGGAACCCATTCTCTCCATTGGCTTCTTCTGTGACAAGGCTTCCCTGGAATTCAAGGCAAGTGATTTAATATATTGTTGTGTGCCCAGCTGAAGGGTGAAATTCCAGATTTTAGTCATAAATTTGTACCTCTGTAATTAAAGGATAAAGATGCACAAGGATACTATTTCTCCATTGGCCTCATCTGTGAAAAAATTCCGTGGAATTCATGGTCTGTCAAATTTGTGAAATTGTTAATTTTGTAATGACTTCATTTAGTGTTGTTTGCCTGTCAAAAAGGAGAAATCCAAGATTTGGGGCTATTTTGTCAAATTTTTACTCGTGCAATGAAAAACTTCTTGGATCATAAGATGAACTTAATCACTCTGTATAGTTCTATTTTTTAGCCAAAGCCTACCAATTGACTGTTTTGTATGGCCTTTGGAATAAGTTCTGTAATTTAAAGAGTTTTATTTTTCCTATGCTCCTAGGTGACCGACCCCGTCAGTGAACGTAGTCTGTACACCAGACCCAAGCTGAGCTTCCATCAGACGCTGCTCTTTGAGATGGAAGGGACAGCCGTAGACATCCTGCTCAAAGGAGAGGGTTTCTTTGCCTTTCAGCTAGGCATCAGCCACATGGGACTCTATGGTGGCGGCTCCTGTCCATGCGGCATTGCTAAGGAACTTGAGGTAAGCAACACCACCTCAGTAATTATAGTCACCAGGACCCTGTCTTACAAAGTTGATATCAATCGCAACTTATTTGTGATTGATATTGATCGCAATTATGTACATAAGAGATAGGAGAATGCAAACTTGCGATTGATGTGGATTGATCGCAACTCTTTGTAATATGGGCCCCAGTTCTGTCATGGTGAAAAGCACTTTTCCGCATTATAACAACTTCAAGAATATACAGTAGGCTTGCGGGTGCACCATGTGAGAGAGAGAGAGAGAGAGAGAGAGGGTTGAGGAGTCCTGAAAAGGAGTATTTGTTATCTTTCTTAGCTTATAGTTCTAAGGAGAATGTGAGCAAAAAGTGATCTGCTGCACTGACTAGTTTTTGACTTGGCACAAACCTAGTCTGGCTAATCTCTACATCAAAGGTGACTCTGCTTTTGCACAGTATTTAATGGATAAGCCTTGTGTAACGTTGTGCCCATAGTGTTGTGTGGCATATTTTCTGTGGCTTGTTGTTTTGTACATTAGCACTAGGGAGTCTTCCTTGTGTGAACAAAAGTAGTTTATAAATAGCAATTCAATTTACTTTAAAAAGCTCTGAATTAACATAAGAAAAAAGGGACCATGGGGGACCAACAGTCACCGCTTTGGCATTGTTTGCTATATAGAGGCGCAAGAAGCTATAAGTAGTGCAGTGGGGCTTTAAGGATTTAGTTTACATCCTAGCGTATTTCTTTTCTCCTGCAGGATCGCAGCTGTTACGTCCATCTTGGAGACGCCGACTACAAGGACAAGTCCAACAACTACCTCTCTCTGACCCTGTTTGATGCCGACAGTCCAGAAAACAACAGCCAGAAGACCATCTACATCCTGGATGCAGAGCACCATCAGTCCGTCTACACGGAGAAGGTCTCCATGAAGAAATATGGGGCGTTCTGGATGGACTACCTCTACACCTACGAGAAGCTGAGGGGGCTTGATGGTAATACTTTGAAGCGATGATTCTGTTTTAAATACGCATAGGAGGTGGCTTTCGTGGGGAATATGACACAGTTTGGTTGTTTACCCCAATAACGGTGTTGTCGTTCACCAGCATTAGCCCTTTAGTTTTGTGACCAATAGGCCACATGTAATACTCTGCATTTTCTGCCCTACCCCCTCCCCTCTCCATATGGTAAAGCCATTATCTTATATTTCCCTCTCCCAAAGACTCTCTGAGAGACTGGGTTATTTCTTGATGGGACTATGGGTTTGCTGTGTGCAAGACTTGTACACCCATTAATGGTATTTCCACCAAGTCTGGTGTCTGCGATTATGACCTTCTGCACATGGAAACGTGATGACCATCTCCCTTTTAGACGCGTGCTCCAGCGAAGGTTGCGCCTAACTAATTTTGTAACATCAACCAAGGGCCTAGGTTCCAGATAAATTTGATGGGGACCAGAAAAGTCGAGTAAAGTCCTGAATAAATCAAATAAAAAGCTAAAATCTTCTAGACTTTCACCATCATTATTTGCCTTGAGGGAGGTCAGGCCAAGGACTTAAATGTAGTAATATTATCAACCCTAAATCAAATTTGTATAATTTAATATCCTGACCAGATAAGTGTTTATCATGACAGGAAAAGCACAGGGAGAAAACTTAGCTCATTGTGTACAGGAACAGGAATGTTCCTCTATTAAACTTCAGGGAAAGAAAGAATTCAGCTTTCCAATTTCACAAAATATTTCATACTCCAAATACCAGGTAATGACAGCACAAGCAGATCGTCCCATCAGAGTGAGACAGACCCCATCTTCACGACGAAAGAGACCTCGTGGAAGCGGTTTGTCTTTGCTCTGACCTCTGTCGATGTTAGCAGCTCTTTGGTCCATCGTCTTCAACAGTTCATGTTCTATGCAGGAAACCATGACTATGAACCATACAGTACTCCACAGCCAGGTAATGTAAACTGTTAAAGGCTAATTATTTTGTTTGCAATTTCTTAAACTTTTGGTAGGGTCCTGGATTTGACACGTGAGAACGAGCTGGTAATGCATTGAATGTGTATTATAATTAGCCTATAGATGTTAATTATTGTGAAAATTTCAACAACAAAAAAAAGGTCTGTGTCCCTGTCATTTGCAAAACTTTCTGCATGCGGGAATATTGGTTATATGATACCGTAATGCTAGAAAGTTGAATATTAAAGAAATAATTTATATGCCTGATAAGCACATGACTTTCATTATTGTCAACCTGTACCAGATACATGTAATACCTATGTCAGTAGTAGTGCGTTGACATGTGTAACTGATTTCTAAGTGAATTCCTGATATTGATGTTGGAGCTGCCGGGGAAGAATGGATACCATTTACAGTTTTTGCTTTAGGATCTTTTTGGATTTGATAGATCTAAAATTAGATTGCCTTTAGGAATTTCTTCCTTGTTTCATCACTAGAGCTCTTTTTCTGAGATTACTAAGATTTTTCCAGGGTGTTTTCTTGCAATGTACCCATACAGCATATGTCCTTAATCAATTCCTTTCATCTGAAAATTTGACCTGTGGTGGTGATACCAGAAATAAACATTAATCTATGATCAAGAAAATTTTCATTTCTGGATGAAACAAATGGATAAAAGACTTGTTTTGTATTATATCCAATTATTTACCAGAGTTTAATCATACACCACTCATGTGTTTATTTATATTTCTCGTACTTTTGTTGTTTCAGAGATTGTTGATGAAAAGCGCCCCATCCCCACGCCTGAGCAGGTAGCAGGATTAGAAGAGTCCATTCCTCAGAGGCACTCTCACTTTGCTCTGCTGGGCCTCGATGTCATCGTCAGAGCAGCAGAACATGGAGAATATGACACCAGCGGGTGCAGTGAGGTAAGATACATAATAGATATTTTAAAGGTAGAACTCTTTCTTCAAATCCTAAATGACAAATAAGTTATATCATCTTGGTTTTAATAAAAGAGATCAATCAAGATGATATCAGGGTGGACTTCCCCTTTAATATACATAAATTTTCTAGAATGAACGATCCACTGTTTGGTTCAATCAAGGACTTTTCATCCTATTAATCAATAGATGCATCTACCGTGCGCAAATCGATTCAACATTGCGTGTTTAAAAGTGATATAGCATAATGATCCAAAACTCTAGAAATATGTTGCTGGGGATGTAGGGTTTCATTGTAAAGAAGCACACTGTACTTTATTTAAATTCTCAACATAAAATTTCACAATTGTTTTTATGCTTGGAGACAAGCTAGTATTTTTAATAAAGTTCCATTTAATTTTTCAATCATACTGGTATGTGTCACATCAGGGGGTTTCCCAAAGATCCTAAGTCAAACTTAACTCTAAGTTGGACCTAAACATTGGGGAAAGCCATTTGTAGCCTTAAAATAAAATATATTCAAAAGCAAAAATTCAAGTATTGTATATTGTGGACTTTTCATAGATTCCACATCAAGAACATGAAATCTGGTTGATAATAGAAAACATGAATGATTTGAATCAACATTTTATGCTTTTAAAAATAACTTTTACAAAATATTTTCAAAGGTGCTAACGCTTTCCATAATTGTTAGTCCAACTTAGAATTGGTTCAGCTTAGGATCTTTGTGAAACACCCCCCTGGTCTGCAAATATTTGACAACACCTAATTGACCATGATTATTATTACTGTTGAATCCCTTTATGATCAGGAGAGCACATTTGTGCCTGTAGTCCCAGCTACTGCAATCCCTGCTGTGAGGATCCAATGCGAGAGAGGGGACTACCAAGTCACAGTGCCCATGTACGCTAGGCAACTCATTGCAGCGGCCAGCAAAGTATCTCACCCCAGCTCGGCTCTCATGCACCACTGCTATGGCCAGAAAAGCATCAAGGTATAACACTATACATCAACAGTCATTTACTATTACAGGGGTAATGTAATTACAGTTTTGAACTCACGAATCTCAAGAATTGTCTTATTCAAATAAATGCATTTTGAGGTATTTTACACTTAAATTACCTTTTTGTCATAGGCAAATCTTGTAGTAATGTAAAACCTAAAACTCTTGCAAATTGTGAATGTCAGCCATTTTTGCAGTAAGAAGATTTCACAACTTTTGGGGGTTATTTTTTTAATGTCTTTTGGCTTTGAGGCACACAAGGTTTATCTCATTTCATTTTCGTCTGTTGTCAAATCTGTTACATTATTAATACTGTTGAATGTGTTTGAACCATTGTACATCATAGTACTTTCCTGACATTGATTGTTTCCTAGAAGAAGGAACTGGCTTTAATCAGATTTAGCAGACTTTAAATAAAACAATTCCAAAGAAAATTGTATTGTTCTTATCTATTCTTGTTCTTGTTCTCTCTATCATCATTTCCATTAGGTATTTGGATTGCAAGCTGGTTTGACCTGTGACCCTTGTGCTCCTGCTGACCCCTCACCCCCATACCTTCAACTACTCCAGCCATGCAGCTTTGCAGGACTGTCAAAAACGTTGTGCCTACCTATGTACTGGTTAGTGAATGATTACAGAAATTAAAAAATAACAATAATAAAAAAAAAAACACTTCAAAAGAAACATAAAACAGATAGTTCATGTGGTGGGAGGAATGGGAGTACGTCTGTATAGTGGTCCATTTACTTGACCCTATATCAGAAGGTCAAGGGTTCAAATATGTGGAATTTGAGGATGATGCCATGAGACGTGTGATAAGACTGTTTGTATGATCTGTATTTCTTTCCCCACAGAATGCTTATTTTCATGTAATTCATAGAATCTTTCATTCCAGTAAATTCATTTGATGATTGGCAACACATGCATGTTGCTTGATGCTACCCTCAACTTAAACTGTCATTATTTTAATTCAAATCAGTTTGATTGATATATCTACAGAAAGAACCAAACTGCAATTTTATTGGTTTTTAGTATTAAAATAAACAAATGCAGAACATATTCATCCCCTTCAGTGTATGATTCAACAAGAAAATGAGTAAATACTTGCTTAAATTAAATTTTTTAAAGACTTTTAAAACCCCACAAATTTTTCTCTGCTTGCCTTTCAGGACCGACCCCAACATTGTCAAGTCAGAAATGATGCTAGAGGTACCAGCAGCCAGATTAGACTTCACCAAGGCTCAACTTCTTCTCCTCATCTACATCCAACAGAGCTGGATGGGCAAAAGTCAGACAAACAACTGGCTAGAGGAGACTAGCTTGATGTACGATGTATTTACAACAGCAGGTTCGTAGTAGATGTAGTAGATGTAGTAGTGGTTTGTGAAATTAGTTCAGTGCCATTTGTATACCAGTACCCGTCATTTTGAGTATTAATGTTAAACTAGAAACTAGAATGAATTAGGACCCGTTTCACAAAGCCTTTTTTCAATGACAAATGACAAAAATCAGTGACAAATCTGTTGAAAACAAATCAGAAGCAAGGATTTCAGTAGCTTATAACAAAAACTGTCATTCGATACTGATGACAAGTTTTGTGAAACGCCCCCAAGGTAATGATGGCCAGTTTCATGCCGAGATACTTCACAAAGAAAACAAATCAATGATAGGATTCAGTCATTTGCAGCTGAAATGGTTTTGAATATAAAATCATTTTTTATTTCATTACAAAATTAACTTCGGGGAAATTCATTTTGAATGGTATTCTTGTGTTCCTTTCATTCATCTGTAGGAAGTGATACCTCAGAGAGTCAAGCTGGAATTGTAGCCTCTTTGTCCAGTCTGGAGTGTAGATGTGTCACCAACGACTGTGTCAAGGCTGTGTCTGGAAGCATCGGACAAGCAAAGGTTGCCATCAAAGACCATGGTGAGGATATAGGTTGGTTGGGTGGTAACATCATGGCGATATTCAAGGATCGGTGACCTTGGACCCTTTGGTCATGGGGAATTGTTATATCTGTATTGTCTTGGGTTTTTCAAAGTAGTTTAGAATCTCTAGAAACCATTGACTCTCAGGAATTAGTGACCTTGAACCCTATCTTCCCAGGGGATTAGTATTTTTTTAATGATCTTGGGTTTTTCAAAGTGATTTACAAATTATACTAATCATCAACTCTCTTGCAGCATTCTTTCATAAGTATTGAGATTTTCTGTTTAAGTTTATTCATTTGTCATTTTACAGCTGAGATTCCCATCCCTTGCAGTGAAATCATGCTCTTTAGTGAAGGGTTGCTTAATATTGTTTTAGGAGGCATGGGGAAAGGATATATTGATGTTGAGACCATGCAAGGAAAGAAACAAACTTTGTTTTGAATACTGTACTAAATTTGTGTGGACTTCTCTCTGCAGGTATGCTTCATGTATTGGTTAAATGTTCAATTTATTATCTTCATTTTCATTTAGTATTTGTGTCATCTTGTATTTTCTTGTCATCACAACAAGAAATTATGTTTTTCTTCAAAATTCTGGAGTTAATGTTCATGATTGTTTTTCTCTTCGTATCTACGTAGGTGAAGATGTTCCGACACCTGTGTTTCAGGGCCCGCTCCAGACCGACAAGTATCACCTGATTACCTGCATGGTACCAACCTCCAGGGCTACTGCTAGTCCTGTCACTAGCCCAAGAACCAATGAGGCTTGCTTCCTTACAGTCACTGCCCAGCTACCGCAAGATGACAAGCATAAAGGTACACTGAAAAAGAAAAAACATATTATGCATCTTACTGCAGGATAAAAAAAAGTATGATCTTTAAAAGTTGAGACTATTTCCATGATACACACTTTTTATTCCTCCGTTACGAAGTAGCCTATGGCATTATGTTTTCGGGTTGTCCGTCCGTCCATACGTACGTAGGTCCGTCCGTACGTCCCGTTCTCGTGATCGCGTTATCTGAAGAAACGATTGATGGATTCCTGCCAAACTTTGGTCATGTATGTATCTTGCAGAGCCAATAAACTGATTAGATTTTGGGGTCATGACGTCAAAGGTCACAGCACGGCTCATTATGTATGCAAAAACAGCTCATGATCGCGTTATCTGAAGAACCAATTGATGGATTCCTGCCAAACTTTGGTCATGTATGAAACTGGCAGAGCCAATGAATTGATTAGATTTTGAGGTCATAGGTCAAAGGTCATGGGGCTCCTTATGTATGCAAAAATAGCTTGTGATTGCATTATCATGCACTTGGGGTCATGAGGTCAAAGATCAAAGGGTCATACATGTATATGAGAAATAGCTTCTAATCATGATATTCTGAGAACCTGTTAATGGATTACAACTGAACTTGAATTTGAAAAGGTTCTTCCATTTTGGTTTGTAAAATTGCTCTATACGGAGGTATCACTTTCGACTGTGCGCAGTCGAAGTTCCATCTAGTTTTAAAATTTATTTTATCGATAGTTTTATATCCAGTGATAATAAAGGCATAAAATCCCCAGATGAAATTTCTCTGAACAATCTTAAAAGCTTGTAATAGATTTAACTCTTTTGTTTACCTCTTTGGCATCAGCAGAATTTAATTATATTTGCAATTCACATGATAGCATACATGTATGCATGAATAACATACAATAGCTGTAAGAATTACACAGGAAATTTAGACTTCTTTTGTTTGCACTATTCTAATCAGTTTATTTTCCATAATTTTGGTTAATAATGAATAAGATGATAAGATAAAGAATTTACCCTCATGATTCCATTGCGAGGAATAGTTAAATATCTACAGGAAGGATTGTACTGTTATTTTCACACCACCAATCATTAGTTATTAAACAAAGTTTTGGTGCGAAGTAAACAGGAGAATGGTGATTTGATTTCAGGTTCCCTAGGTGCTCTCCTGTTGAAGATTGAAGGGACGTCCGTCTGCCTGGACCCAGTCCTGTATTCATGGCTTCTCTACCAGCCAAGCAGGAGACTGGTGACATCTCACATCTCAAGGGATTCACCAGATAGGACAGAAAAGAGTATACCCACTGAGATGAGGTCACCAGCCAAGAAGGCATCATCTCAAGGTGAGTCTACATGAGAGAATACTGACCATGGTTTTTTTTCGAGGGCATTGGCCTTGGAATTTTTCACAAACTGTCAAATTGCCTAATAATTGGAAGTATTTACTGTTTAAAAAGAGCCCTTTCAAATTGTTCTCGTCCATGTCATAATTTTATTTTATAACCTTTTCGCCAGAATTTGCAAATTTATAACGTGCCTATGTGTTGGTCTACTTCTTGGAGAAAATGGTTTAATCCATTCATGAGGAGAAATTAATTATGTTGCTAATAACTCATTTCTGTTTCAACTGATGTATACATACACATGGGATAAGATAGAATATTACCTACGGTGGGTTGAATAACTTGTTATAAGATGGTGCATTGCCTTCAGTGTCTTGTCCCGTTCTCGTCTCTGTTGGCTTCCCCCCTTTTCCTATTGTGAATTTCCTTTTGGTAGTTAAGAACTTTAATTACTTTTAATTACCCATTATTCTTAAGTATCATTTGAGGTGTCTACACTTGTACAAGCATTGCTTTTTAGTGGACCCCTCTGATTCCAATATGTATTCCTAAATTGTTGTAAATGTTATAATTGATTTGTAATGCTTTGTTGGAAACGTATATTAATTGAATTGAATATTGTTCTGTTATGTGTTTGCTTTATCATGCGATTCGCAGGATCTGAGACTTACAAGGCGCCAAAAAGTGGCGGTAGATTCAGCAAGCAGAAGTCCCTCACAGCCACTGCTGTTATGGAAGATGGTGATGTCAGTAAGGCTGAAGCTAGCAGCCAAGTAAACCAATTTGATGAAGTCATAGCAAAACTAAAAGAGCTGATCATCCAGGTATGCACATTTTCTTTTAGATCATTGCCAATTTTAGGTTTACAAATGAATAACCCTACCTTTAAATCAATATAGTAGTAACTTAATATGTGAAATTGAGTCGGGATTTAGATATCACTGTTTAATTTTTAAACAAATTGAAAAATAATCTTTTGATATTTTCAATCCATGAATAAGGGCATCATGTGACTTAATTGTATAGGTAAAGGTAAGTCTAAGTCATAGAAAAGGAATGATTTCAAAGTCAATTTGAATTTGTTCATAAAATAAACTGGTTTAGACCAGCAAAACATAAGCAAACTTTAAAAAAATATATAAAAAATTCAGACATGTCGGATGTCGTTCATTTGTTGTCGTGATTAGTCTGTGTAAATTGCTTCAATACCAAATCTCTAGATAAACTTTAACCACAGAATTACTGTACACATCTTCTCCCAGGTGGATGTTTCACCGTGCATCGTTGCCTGGCCAACAAAGCACCTCACCTTCCCCTCGTCCGACACCACCATCCCACAATGCCTATGTGACCTTGTGACCTCTGGAGGTCAAGGGTCAGACTATCCACCACCACCACCTCCTCCTGCGGTGCTGGTTGTGTGTGTACCAGCCCTGTCCGTCCACAGCTCGGGACACAAGGCTGTGGATCCTGACCAGGATATACCACTCAGCAGGATGGACCTTCCTCAAGATCCAGGTACAGTCAAAACTGTTTTAGTGACCACCTGTCTACAAAGACCCCTTGTCTACAAAGGCCACATTTGTTGTTTGCATTTAAAATGGGTTCTCATTGAATCATGTACTAAAAGAACCTGTCTTCAAAGGCCACTTTTTTGTGTTTCCCTTGGGCGGTCGCTATAGACAGGTTTGACTGTAGTAATAATAATTGTAATATGTCTTGTTTACCCAGGGTAGCCTCATCAGTATAAGGGAGATTACAGATAGCACATGGTACATATGACCCCAAATATCCACAGATCTTTTACACATGGAGAAGTTCCACTTTGAGCATCTTGGAATAATAACTGCCAAAGTCCTAGATGTTCTTCATAAATACCTTTTGTTTGCCCTCTTGAAAAGAATACTTCCACCTGCGTATCTTAGAATGTACCGTTGGTGCATAAATGAATAATGTTACATAACTTTCATGAGCGCATATCCAGTATTTATCTCTGTGGGTTTTACCTTTTTGGTACAAATGACCTTTATCTGCTCATGCTCAGACTGCAACCGTAAACTGGCTTTTTAATACTGTTCTACCTGGGGGCCAGGCAATCGTATCATTACCCAGGCTTTAGTCGAGCTACCATGATACGACACTCAACCATGATACGACACTCAACCATTCAAGGAATTTTTATCCTACCAGGGATAACCACTGCTCTACCTCTGAGCCATCTGGCCTCCTTGAGAGGGCAGTTCAAGAGGCCATTTAATGTAATCGATTTTCTATGATTAAAGCCAACTGCTCACCTTATGATCTGACTCAATTACACAAGTTCAACCTTGTAAAATTCAAATGTGAAGTTCTGAATAGTCATATAAACTTGTAAATTGTAGTTGTAGGTTATTTGGAGCCTTCAGTAGGAGAAGAGGACCTCCTCTTTGCCAATTGGCAAATTTTTATGCAGTAGAATTTAACAATCAGTGAATGATTGGAAATCAAGAGTTTAATTAGATTTTCTTACATCTCCCTCAATTTATTTTCTTTCTTAATTCTAGGAGAGAAATTTCCCTGGACCATCAAGGCCAGAGACTTTTCCATTTACTCACTCCACGACTGCCAGAGGGTGTACTACCTGCTGAAGCCAATGGCAATCTCCACTACACTGGCCCTTACAGCCAACAAACACCCTCCCTCTGAAGCAGAGGAGAAACCAGGCCTTGGTCTAGGTGTGCACACCGACATGCCTGCAGTCATATTCAAGTGCTCCGATGCTCAGGTAAGACTCAGGATGGGTGGATTAATGAGTGAATGAAAACAAAATGATTGAATTATTAAATATTTGGAATAAATTCAGAATTAAAACAATTGAAAATACCAATACAAGTTCACAAAACATATAGAAAATACAAGATAGTCACTTGTAAAAGAGAGGTGTTGATTCCGTGATCGATAAATCATTTTTCGATGTGGTATGCCCCAATTTGAAGTTTAATAAAAACAGACCCTAACATTTTTTGTAGCTAGAATAAGATGTTGTATTTATGATTATTTCCATATTTTGGGATTTTTCTTATACACAGATTACACCAACAAAATTACACTGAACTAAAGATATTCATCTCAAATGGATGATTTAAAAAACTATAATTATACAATCATCATCATCATCATCTATACGGGAGTGCAGGATGTCCTGTAGGTCTCCCGGTCAAATCACTTAGTACATTATACAATTATATTAATTTAAGTTTGACTGTGAGAAGTTGACGAAAAGGAACATATAGTCTCAAAGCAATAAATGATAAAGAACGTAATCAATACTAAGAATTAAAAGAAATGAAATTATTAGTATTTGATATAAACTTTTTTTGTTCCTTCAATTCAAATATCTCCTTGGCGATTTTTAGCCTTTCCTCCTCCATGTAGCGACGGCCCTTCTCTTTTGCAAGCCGCTCTTTTTCCACCTTCAAATATAAGAATGAAGATAAAAGAAGAATAATAATGTTCAAATAAACTGTTAAATCATTCGTAAAAAAAGGAATACATGTGTACATTCAAGACCAGGTCAATGTTCCCTTGCCGAAAGCATGGCAGGTCGCACAACATATAAACAAATACAAACAATGATGCATTACAATTACAAAGATCCTCAATCATGCATAATTAAAATTATATATTAATCATGCATAGTTACAACTATACATTAATCATTGATCAATAATCATTACAATTATATATCATGTAAAGTTACAACTATTAGGTCTTTCGTTGCATATAAAGTCACATCAAACAGGTAGATATGATGAATGAAACATAACAAATGGACAATAAAGTACAAAAATTTTATATACATGTAGTATTAAAAATGAGAAAGTGATGGATGATATAATTTCAGCTAAATGATATGAAATCTATAACAATAAAACAAATAAACATTTCCCTTACCTGCAGCTTTTCCTCATGTACTTTCAATAGCTGGTGAAGCAACTCCAGTTTTTGTCTTTTCGTTGCTTACAGTTGTTTGGAGAAACTCTCATCTTTCGGTGTCTTATGCCTCTGATTCGTTTTTGTGGAGTGCTGTTTATGTTGAGTAGTGGTTTGCTGTATGAGAGCAGATGTTGAAGCGAGTGACTCCACCATGCTTGGACGCAAGTATTGCAGAAGCGGGTGTCGCCTGTGATGCCGCTGCTTGATCAATGCCACCATCAATACCTTTAAATGACAAATTACAAAATTCTCTAAGTTCTAAATGATGTAATAAAATTCGGGATGAGCCCCTCCACTGACCCCAACTCGTTTCCCTCTACCGGAGCAGCAAATGAAACAGACTTTTCTGGACTACTGTTCGCGTAGTGTCCGAATTTCCCACACTTGAAACAAGCACCACTAGGTGACCTAGCCAGAGACCTGTTGGGAGACCGAAAATTAGACCTTCCCGGCGAGGGAAAGCTTCGAGAAGTCTCAAGGCCCTGCACTGTAACAACGAGTCCCTGGATCATGGAGTGAAGGTTCTTCATCTGAGTTTCCATTGAAGAAACAGAACCATGGATTTGATCCATCTTCTTCTCCAGATTCAAAACTCTACCTTCAACCCTGTCCAGCTGGAAGGGTTGTTGTTGTGGAGGATTAGGAGTAGCTGTACAGCTAATCCTTGACTCCTCCGTAGATATCTCTACACATGTCTGTCTGACATTCTTTCGCATTTTACCATAAATTGCCTAATGGGTATGCTGAAACTCTCTGGCTAAGTCGATGGCTTCATTCAAAGACCCTGGGCGAGTATTGATAGCATACTGCCCGGCCTCTCTATCACAGCACCCCTGGCAAAACTTATGGACGACCTGCTTTTCAACATGGTGGTCCGGTAAATCGGCAAAGGCATGAGCAGCCAATGTCATAAGGCGGTTCGCCCAATCCATATGGGATTCCTCGGGTTGCTGCCTCGCATAAGTAAATTGCAATTGCGCAACTTCGGGCAGTTCCCTTGACGCAAACTGCTTCTCAAGTTTTTGGAATAAGTCCGTAAACCCAAGATGAGGTTCACGCTTAACGAGCAATGCAAAATACTCGCTTGCACTTCGACCCAAGCACAAGCAAAGTTGATTTCTTCGGTGGCTCAAATCCCATCCGCACTCCTCAGCGTAAAGATTGAACTTAGCGATGAACGCTTGCCAACTCCCGCGGCCATCGAAAACCATGGACTTGGGCACGGAAAAAAAGACTTGTGGCCCCTCTCACGCTTACCATCCCCACGAAATAAGTGGGAACTTTGGGTATCCTGAGATCAGTGCACATGTGGTGGAGAAGGAAAACCATCACGTTGATAGGCAGTATGCCGATAATCTTGGTATCTGTTATACTGTGGCGAACTGTCGAGCAGGAGGTCTCTCCATAGGAGGAGGGGGAGCTTCCACTTCAACACGCTGCTTACTCATTAAATTCCCAATAGTTTTTTGGAGGGCTTCTATTTTTGCCTTATATTTCACGGCCTCTGCTTCTACCAATCGCTCAACATCCTGCTTGGATGGCATTTGGGAAGAGACTGCCCCAGCTCCACTACCTTGGGAGGCCATTGGCTTCTCTTGAGCTGCAGACTGTGGTACGGAATCTACTTTATACAATTCTTTATTCTCTGTCATGAAGTCACAAGATGCTGCCATCCCCTGCTCACAAACAGAGTCTATTATACTAGCCTGCTTACCCCCACCCCCTCCACTTCTTAAGTACCCCATTGCATCGCAATATCCTTGTTGGGAACTGGAGAAAATCTATAAGAGATTCAACTACTAAAATTTTTCTAAGATATGGAATACTGGGGAGAACACCAGGCGTAAAATTGCCAAGTTCTTTTCTTAGTGTAATAATATGCCCGGCGATTTGACTTCCAATACCAGGTATAACCGTTAAATCTTCGACTTCACAATAATTAATTCAAATTTTCGCCATAAATTCAATCGAAGAATTCAATAAGCAGAACTAATACGCAGAACTAATACTATTGCTTTATTTTGGAGGGCCTCTACCAATCACTCAACATCCTGATTGCATTGTGTTTGAGCTTGAGAAGAGACTGTCCCATTACCACTAGCTGAGGATGCCATTGGCTATTCTTGAGCTGGTTGACTATGCAGACTGTGGTACGGAACCTGAACTTGCGATTTCCATATACAATTCTTTGTTCTCCGCCGTAAAGACGCTGCCAAACCCTGCTCACATACAGAGTAGGCTGTCTAGCCTCTTCTACTTCTTTAGGCCCCGATTGCATTGAAATATCCTCGCTGGATTTAAATACTGGAGCAAAATCTATGAGTGATTCTACAACTGAAATATTTCTAAGGTATGGGATATCTGAGAGCACACCAGGCGTAATATTGCCAAGTTCTTCTCTCAGTGAAATAATACGCTCAGCGGTTTGGCTTCCAATACCCTGTATTTTTCTCCATAAATTCAATATGCAGAATTCAATATGAAGAATTTAATACTTCAATTCTTTGAATTCAATACTTATGATTGCGAGAAATCCAACAATCAAAACTCGCAGGGACGTGGTAGCAAACAACTCCTCTCCAGAGGGGGACGTCCCTGAGATAAAAAGCCGTCAAGGAATTAGGTGACCTCCAAAAGGCGGCCTTTAGAATGTCGTCTAAACCTACTCCCTGGAACAGCACCCAGGAAGTACTACACTAGATGCTATCCATGGTGAAGGAGTAAATAAACTGTATTAAATTGTAAAACTCACATCAGCCTAAAAAGACTGCTTTGAACAAGTCTGTGTTACAAAAATAACAAAGATCATATAGACACCAAGATGACAAATATTAAACAAAGTGAAGAGAGAATGCTAATACACAGAATTGAATTACAGCATAAACATATGATATAAAGTGTCATATGAATGAACAAGGAACAACAAAAATTTAATTAAAAGCTAACATATCAAATGAAAATAACAAGTGCGATACAAAAAGTGCAATTTGGGATATTGAATATATTGTCGATTTTTCACTCACTCACATTCTCTGTACCTCCATCCAAAACTACTAAACAACCAACCATAACAGCAGGGAGTTTATGTATTATGGGCTAAACATGTAAGTGGTGATAAATTTATAAAAACATGTGTATACCTCCTAGGCCAGTTTTTCTAAGTACTGCCAGCACCTTCTTGTCCACTTTGTTTAATACGATATTGTCCTTTGGAGGTCCACTTCCCGTTTTCATCGAGTAGAGCTTCATTTGGCTTGCCTTCGTTTTGACCATGGATTGGTATTTGGACCATTTAGTCTTCACGTCTTCTCCACTTCACTTGTTTCCCAGCGAAACCTTATGAACTTTTCCAGCAATTTCTTCCCATTTCTTTGTTTGTTTAAAATGTTTCACAAACTAAACTCATACCCAAACTAAACTCATACCCAAAATGCATGCACAAAAAAATAAATCCAAACAACCACGAGCAGACAAAGGCCGCTTCTTGAAAATCACAGCTTTCAAGAACATTTCAGGAGCCAAAACTTTCCTAGCAGACTCCTGAATACTTATATAATCCTATGCTAACAATACAAGACAAAATATCAGTTCAGAACTGGTAAGAGAACTGTTGCTATGAGAGAGCTAGCACTAGCATGTAGACACATGGTGTGCACTCATCTATTCACATGAACCATTTAGATGAAAATAGATATGCGCTTTGCTCCAACATGAAAACAATATACCAGTACTATAGACAACTTAAAGATGACATATATAAAACAAAGTGAAAAAAGAAAGGTAATACCCAACAAGGAATTACAAATGTAAACATATTTGATATAAAAAGTGTGAGATGGATGAAAAAAGGAACAACAAAAATTGAATTAAAAAGGTAACATATCAAATGAAAATAACAAACAAAAATATATGATGTAAAAAGTGTCGTTTGAATAAATAGGGATAGAGGAAGTGTAAAATGGGGTAGGAGAAACTCTAAGGATGTTGTCCTTGATATTGGCAAAGAGGGCTTTTTGTAACGCGTTGTGGACAGGTAGCTTACTAGCGCTGATTTAGTCAAAGACTTGTGACGGTTCTGAGAAAAGGGCCCCAGCTATTTCTGCTTGCATTTTACGATTTGAAATATACCCCACTTTTTTAGAGTCTTGATTCATTTTATTTTTGTTGTACAGGTTACCTTAGTTCACAAACTCCTGCAGGGAGTCCTAGACTGCAAGCAAGAGCTGGCCCAGGCTTTCAACTTCTCCAACATTGGATCTTCAACTCCTCCTGCACCTGTCCTCCTATCATCAAGTCCCAGACGTGGGGGCGGCCCCGCCCCCACAATCCCCTCGTCTCCTTCCAAGTCAGTGCCTCCCATGGCTACCAGTACTACCAACAGCAGTCAGGCTTCATCCGGTCAAGCAGACAGCACTGTGGAGATGCAGAGTGTATCCATGCCAAGCGAGGCACCAGCCTCCAGCCAGGGGGCCGGGACTGGGTCGTTGACCTCTGCGTGCGGGGTCAAGCTCTCCCTGTGGGTGCAGTGGACCCTACATAAACTCTCGGTCGTAGTCTATGGAAAGGACAAGATGGCAGTGGGTCAGGATCAAATCGGTAAGTTCCCTGTTTAAAATGAATATGTGCTAGGTGACCACTGCACTTATAGTGCAATCAATTTAATTGATCCATTAGCATCTAAAGATTACACAGACTTATGTTACTGTGTGGAAAAGGTAATACATTGAATTGTACCATTGTCTCCACTTCTCCACTTTCATAAGAGGTTTTCAAATATCATTCAAGGTCCATGAATGACCTCTTTTTCAGAATAAATGTTTGTATTGGTGTATATCGAACTTCCAAATTATTCTTTTGTTTCATTCTAGAATAAATAAGGAACAATTTATTCAGGGAATAATGTTACAATGTACCCTAACTCTTCAAGAGTTACAGATTAATGCAGAGTTTCATGAATTTGTGATCATGGAAGAGTTTAAAACTCAATATGTATCATCAGATTATATCTTTTGTTCCTGTCATTGCAGTGAAGCTTTGTGCAGACATGGAGGACCTAACAACCAGCATCGACCTTCAAGAGGTTTACTCCAAGGTCACCTGTAAAGTAGGGGCTCTCAATGTTCATCACTTTGTGAAAAGGTAAGATCAAGATTGGAAGATGTCAGTGACTACAATTGTATTTTGTTAAAGTGTACATGCATAGAACAATAATTGATTAACTCACTTTGCATTATGTGCGGAGAAGAAGGAAGTAATAGAATGAACAAGAGAAGGGAAAGTACAGTTTATGAAAGATTATATTTATATAAATGAATTGATGGTGTATAACACCAAGTAGAGCTGTGTGGAGTACAAGGCTAGATTATCGTGTACATGATATGTTGGGTGATCCCAGTTAACCTACATGTATGACATGTGTGAGTCCAGGGGGGTGTTTCATAAAGCTGTGCATAAAGTTACGAATGACTTTACGAATGAAATGAATACGAAGAGCCAAATGGGATGCCCAAAGTTTTCCTGACATTTTAACAAAGTATGACTATTTCCCATAATCTCAATTAAATTGTAGCCAAAAATACACTTTGCATAAAATGTTGTTAATAATGATAAGGTTAATCTACATCTACATATTTCAACTTTAGCTTATGCAATTAAAAGGATTTGAGAATTTCATTTAGCCATTCATATTCAAGTCATTCGTAAAATCATGCGTAACTTCACGCACAGCTTCATGAAACACCCCCCAGGTCCACTCTATCTAATGCATTGCCACATTATATTCTCTTTCAGTGAGAAAGCCTGGACACCTGGACCGTTCAAAGGTGTTCTCCTGTCCTGCACAGATACCATGTCACACAACATAGAGATGTCTCCGCCCTTCAAGCGCCTTCGCACCAACTCCCAGACGAACAATCCTTTCTCCCTGCACCCAAGCAAAGCAGCTGAAGCCAAACAGACGCACGCCTTCATGTCCTTGACATGGACGTGCGCCCTAGGGACGTCGGTAGCGCAGAAGATGTCCGGCGGGAAGCAAGAGAAGCAAGGAGATGGATCGAAGACTAGCGATGAATCCTCTATGCAGAAGCGCTTTGTGAACGAAGTGATCCTATCCTCGCAGGCATTTGATCTGATCGTCTGGTGCCCCATCGTGGCATCCACTTTGGACGTTCTGATGGCTGGATTGGCTGTCGAAGGCAGCAGCAAGCCGGACTCTCTTCACGCTCCACGGAAGCCCGACTTCAAGATGCACACCATCCCTGAGGCTAAGCACGAAGGAAGCATCGCATCGGACGCCATGTCCTGGCAGAGTATCTCTCACCGATCCACCAAGTCGCAGAGATCGATTCGATCCTTGAAATCCAGCCAACCCTCTGCGGGTATCTCAGACTGGCTGACGAGTTCCAAACTCCCACTGCTCTACCTGGACTGCAAGGAGATCAGGACCTTCATTCCAGCTGGTCTGGTGAATGATCACGGTGGGCCTGGACTGATGAAAGGAGTAGAGCAAGACCTGTTCCTGTTCCAGATCTCACAGATCTCCTTGGTTCCATATGCTGATAATCCTCTCCAGCGCTTAGTAGTGAAGCAAGACACATACAGGTGGGCAGTGTGCTTTCATAGCATATAGTTCTACATAGCATTTCTGTATTTGGTGCTGCAAACTTACCTACGCCTGTTGTTGATCGCTTGTAAACCAGCCAATGATCATTGGAAGATTTAGAGCACATGTTTATAAGAATTTGTTGCATTTTAATCCATGTCTTCCTGAACCATTCTTAAAGTAACCTATATTTATCTGTGAATTGTTGGGCAAACAAGTGTTTCCTATCGTAGTACCAGGAGATCCTGTCTTTGAAACCAATTTCATGTGCCAGTTTATTTTTGTAAAGCATTTATCTTCATTACCAAGTCCCCTGGATGAGACTTGGAGCTTATAGGACCACATGGTTGCTTGTCTACAAGGATATTATACATGCTTCCATAGCAGTTGGGTTCATTTGTCAGTAATTTCGATGCTTTTTAAAGAATCTTGCCAGGATTTAATAAAAATCATTTGTTTGGTAGTGCCTTATTCCATGTAATTGTGATACCCACCCCCCCCCCCCCCCCGATTGAAAAAAATAAAAAATAAAAAATTCTTACACTTGATAATCACTAGTTTATTTACCTCGAAATGTTCCTCTGTATCTTCAGGAAAGCTACCATAGCAGGTATCACCCAGCAGCCTGGGTCAGAGGTCGAGGACAGGCAGTATCAGCTGGATGTCAATGGCATCAGCTTGAATGTTGCATCCTGGGAGCAGGTCATGAGGTCGTCAGAGCAGGGCAGGATGAAGGTCTCGTCAGGGGTGACTAGGTCCAAGACACAGAACCCAGCATTGGAGTGGAACCTGTCGCTACCTACGTGAGTTGTTTTCTGCGTCCGGTCCTTACGATGTATTGTTGAAGCTTTGTGCCCTTGTTAATGCACTTAGTAAAATTTGGTACAGTATGAATCAGATTTGTGAAATGCCTCTTTAGAAGAAGTTAACCTCATTCAGATGAGACTTCAAACTGCCTGTAGAATTACAGTAAATGCCCCAAAGCTTAAATTTCTTTCTTTAGCAAATCTCTTTTAGAAAAGTAGCTGTCCTATTGAAAATGTGACCTAAAATTAAGATGTATTACTTCCTGAAACAGAAACATCTTCATGCATTTGTAGGTTGTTCATATAGCAGTATATTTAAAGCCAGTTTGCTCAAAGGTAATACAAAGTTTTGGGAATATTTCATCAGGATTGGATCATGAAATTTAAAATTTGCATTACTATAGTAAAATATAGTGTTAGAACACCCAACTCTAAAAAAATTGGGCTCTAAAAAGCTTTTGATTTGGAGTAATTAAAATTTTAAAAAATAAAAAAATTTACCGGTACTCCCGGTAAATTTGGTATAGCTCCCTCTCAGTTCGAAAATTTACATGTCATCTGAACAGCATAACACATACATAGCACTATTGTAAAAGTGTAATAATTAACATGTTTTGACACCAAATCATATTACCAGACTTTAACAATATATATAATCATGAAGATAATTATTTTAAAGTCAAGTTGCCTTAGTGTAAGATTTTTATACTGTCTCCTAAATTTGAAGAAAAAAACAGTTGTCTGTACACTGTAATCGCAATATATAATTTTATAATCGATCGGACCGCCGCCATCTGTACTGTACTTACGTACGTTAATCTATGAATTTCCTGCGCGGGCCGGAATATCCTACGTTGTTCTCTTCAACTCATTTTTCCATTTCCCTCTCTTAATCGTTTCTGTGTTTTTAACTTTGAAATGCATTTGTAATTGCTCGACTTTGATAATATTGTTGTTCGCCAGCTCTGTGAACGAACGCACTTATTGCCTGTATTTTGGTCAAGTCAAGTGGCCGTGGTGAACTGCAATGATCTGGCATTGATCCCTGTGCATATTAGGCCTACGTATAGTACATGTTACGTGTGTAGTGTATTAGTCTATGTGTGTTAGGCCGGATTGGCCCCAAGAATTTCCGAGCACATTTTTTTTAGGGATAATCTCAAAATACTCCCCAAAGTCGTTGTACAAGGAGAGTTTGGGTAATCATTTATAGACAGAACGTTACATTACTTATTATGCATTTCTTTATTAAAAATAAAGAAGATACGTTTAATCTTACAAACGAAGATAAATCAATAATAGGGTTGACTTGACGTTTTCCCGAAAAGTCGATCATGTGTATACTGCACATTCTTATTTTGAGATCATCCCTTTGTGAGTTTACGGTTACGGTACGCTTGTTTATTTAGCCTAATGACCTCTGGTAGAGGTCAGTAATTGCTACACGTGTTTGGGCTAACCTCTCTCTTTCCGTATAATTGAATTATATTCTTCGCCTCCGTCTCATAACCATGCACCAACTGCATTGACCAGGTCCGTGTTATAACACTCTCACTTGATATTCTCTCTCTCTCACTCACTCTATCTCTCTCTCTCTCTCTCTCTCTCTGTCGCTTCTATATCCCTCTCATCTCCCCCCTCTCTCTCTCTCTTTTGTATCCCTCTCTATCCCTTCTCTCCTTTCTCTCTCTCTCTCTCTCTCTTTTCTCTCGCTATCTTTATTTCTCCCATTTTCTTTCCCTCTCTCTTTATTTATCAGTACCCCATACCATTCTACCCTTCCTCTATTTCTTTCTCTTTTGATGTATACTGTATATATATCTGTCTCTCTCTCTCTCTCCCTCTCATTGCATCACCTCGTTCATCCCCTTCTACATATTTCTATATCCATTATCAATTGTTAGTCTCTCTCTCTGTCGGTCTGTGACCGTCTGTGTGATGACTGTCTCTCTTTCTTTATCCACACACCTCTCTCTCTCTCTCTCTCTCTCTCTCTCTCTCTTTCTTTAGCTCCAACTTTCTCTCTCTCTCTCTCTCTCTAGAAGTTCTCATTCGCGTGATATAGGACCATACTATTTTTTTGTTAGGGTTATGTAGATGAGGATGATATAAATATGACAAATATAATAGTAATCACAATAACGAGAGAACTTCTCATTCACGTGATAGGACAGTAGTTTTTGGTTGGAGTTTATGACAAGAATAATAATAATCACAAAGACGATAAGAGTTCTCATTCGCGTGATAGGACCATATTTCTTTTGTCGGGGTTATGTAAATGAGGGTGATATAAATACATGACAAAGATAATAATCATCACAAATGCTAGAGAAGTTCTCATTCACGTGATAGGACGGTAGTTTTCAGTGGTTGGAGTTGATGACAAGAATAATAATAACCACAAAGACGATAGAAGTTCTCATTCGCGTGGTAGGACCATATTTCTTTTGTCGGGGTTATGTAAATGAGGGTGATATAATATGTGACAACAATAATAATAATCACAAAAACGATAAAAAGTCCTCATTCGCGTGATAGGACCATATTTCTTTTGTTATTATTTATTTTCTTATGTAAATGAGGGTGATATAAATATATGACAACAATAATAATAATCACAAAGACGATAGAAGTTCTCATTCGCGTGAAAGGACCCGGATAGGACCATATTTCTTTTGTCGGGGTTATGTAAATGAGGGTGATATAAATACATGACAAAGATACTAATTATCACAAATGCGAGAGAAGTTCTCATTCATGTGATAGGACAGTAGTTTTTGGTTGGAGTTTATGACAAGAAAAATAATAACCACAAAGACGATAGAAGTTCTCATTCGCGTGGTATAGGACCATATTTCTTTTGTCGGGGTTATGTAAATGAGGGTGATATAAATATATGACAACAATAAAAATAATCACAAAAACGATAAAAGTCCTCATTCGCGTGATAGGACAATATTTCTTTTGTTATTATTTATTTTCTTATGTAAATGAGGGTGATATAAATATATGACAACAAATACACAAAGACGATAGAAGTTCTCATTCGCGTGATAGGACCATATTTCTTTTGTCGGGGTTATGTAAATGAGGGTAATATACATACATGACAAAGATACTAATTATCACAAATGCGAGAGAAGTTCTCATTCATGTGATAGGACAGTAGTTTTTGGTTGAATTTTATGACAAGAATAATAATAATCACAAAGACGATAAGAGTTCTCATTCGCGTGATAGGACCATATTTCCTTTGTCGGGGTTATTCAAAATAATGAGATGATATAAATATATGACAAAGATAATAGTTATCACAAATGCGAGAGAAGTTCTCATTCATGTGATAGGACAGTAGTTTTTGGTTGAGTTTATGACAAAGATACTAATTATCACAAATGCGAGAGAAGTTCTCATTCACGTTAGAGGACAGTAGTTTTTGGTTGGAGTTTATGACAAAGAATAATAATAATCATAAAGACGATAGAAGTTCTCAGTCGCGTGATAGGACCATATTTCTTATGTCGGGGTTATGTAAATGAGGGTAATATAATTATGACAAAGATAATAATTATCACCAAAGCAAGAGAAGTTCTCATTCACGTGATAGGACAGTAGTTTTTGGTTGGAGTTTATGACAAGAATAATAATAATCACAAAAACGATAAGAGTTCTCATTCGCGTGATAGGACCATATTTCCTTTGTCGGGGTTATTCAAAATAATGAGATGATATAAATATATGACAAAGATAATAATTATCACAAAAGCGAGAGAAGTTCTCATTCACATGATAGGACAGTATTTTTTGGTTGGAGTTTATGACAAGGATAATAATAATCACAAAAACAATAGAAGTTCTCATTCGAGTGATAGGACCATATTTCTTTTGTCGGGGTTATTCAAAATAATGAGATGATATAAATATATGACAAAGATATCAAAGCGAGAGAAGTTCTCATTCACGTTATAGGACAGTATTTTTTGGTTGGAGTTTATGACAAGAATAATAATAATCATAAAGACGATAGAACTTCTCATTCGCGTGATAGGACCATATTTCTTATGTCGGGGTTATGTAAATGAGGGTAATATAATTATGACAAAGATAATAATTATCACCAAAGCAAGAGAAGTTCTCATTCACTCGATAGGATAGTAGTTTTTGGTTGGAGTTTATGACAAGAATAATAATAATCACGAAGACGATAGAAGTTGTCATTCGCGTGATAGGACCATATTTTTTTTTGTCGGGGTTATGTAAATGAGGGTGATATAAAATATGACAAAGATACTAATTATCACAAATGCGAGAGAAGTTCTCATTCATGTGATAGGACAGTAGTTTTTGGTTGGAGTTTATGACAAGGATAATAATAATCACAAAAACGATAGAAGTTCTCATTTGCGTGATAGGACCATATTTCTTTTGTCGGGGTTATGTAAATGAGGGTGATATAAATATATGACAACAATAAAAATAATCACAAATACGATAAAAGTCCTCATTCGCGTGATAGGACAATATTTCTTTTGTTATTATTTATTTTCTTATGTAAATGAGGGTGATATAAATATATGACAACAAATACACAAAGACGATAGAAGTTCTCATTCGCGTGATAGGACCATATTTCTTTTGTCGGGGTTATGTAAATGAGGGTGATATACATACATGACAAAGATACTATTTATCACAAATGCGAGAGAAGTTCTCATTCATGTGATAGGACAGTAGTTTTTGGTTGGATTTTATGACAAGAATAATAATAATCACAAAGACGATAGAAGTTCTCATTCGCGTGAAAGGACCCGGATAGGACCATGTTTCTTTTGTCGGGGTTATGTAAATGAGGGTGATATAAATACATGACAAAGATACTAATTATCACAAATGCGAGAGAAGTTCTCATTCATGTGATAGGACAGTAGTTTTTGGTTGGAGTTTATGACAAGAAAAATAATAACCACAAAGACGATAGAAGTTCTCATTCGCGTGGTATAGGACCATATTTCTTTTGTCGGGGTTATGTAAATGAGGGTCATATAAATATATGACAACAATAAAAATAATCACAAAAACGATAAAAGTCCTCATTCGCGTGTGGGACAATATTTCTTTTGTTATTATTTATTTTCTTATGTAAATGAGGGTGATATAAATATATGACAACAAATACACAAAGACGATAGAAGTTCTCATTCGCGTGATAGGACCATATTTCTTTTGTCGGGGTTATGTAAATGAGGGTGATATACATACATGACAAAGATACTAATTATCACAAATGCGAGAGAAGTTCTCATTCATGTGATAGGACAGTAGTTTTTGGTTGAATTTTATGACAAGAATAATAATAATCACAAAGACGATAAGAGTTCTCATTCGCGTGATAGGACCATATTTCCTTTGTCGGGGTTATTCAAAATAATGAGATGATTTAAATATATGACAAAGATAATAGTTATCACAAATGCGAGAGAAGTTCTCATTCATGTGATAGGACAGTAGTTTTTGGTTGGAGTTTATGACAAAGATACTAATTATCACAAATGCGAGAGAAGTTCTCATTCACGTTATAGGACAGTAGTTTTTGGTTGGAGTTTATGACAAAGAATAATAATAATCATAAAGACGATAGAAGTTCTCAGTCGCGTGATAGGACCATATTTCTTATGTCAGGGTTATGTAAATGAGGGTAATATAATTATGACAAAGATAATAATTATCACCAAAGCAAGAGAAGTTCTCATTCGCGTGATAGGACAGTAGTTTTTGGTTGGAGTTTATGACAAGAATAATAATAATCACAAAAACGATAAGAGTTCTCATTCGCGTGATAGGACCATATTTCCTTTGTCGGGGTTATTCAAAATAATGAGATGATATAAATATATGACAAAGATAATAATTATCACAAAAGCGAGAGAAGTTCTCATTCACATGATAGGACAGTATTTTTTGGTTGGAGTTTATGACAAGGATAATAATAATCACAAAAACAATAGAAATTCTCATTCGAGTGATAGGACCATATTTCTTTTGTCGGGGTTATTCAAAATAATAAGATGATATAAATATATGACAAAGATATCACAAAAGCGAGAGAAGTTCTCATTCACGTGATAGGACAGTATTTTTTGGTTGGAGTTTATGACAAGAATAATAATAATCATAAAGACGATAGAAGTTCTCATTCGCGTGATAGGACCATATTTCTTATGTCGGGGTTATGTAAATGAGGGTAATATAATTATGACAAAGATAATAATTATCACAAAAGCAAGAAAAGCTCTCATTCACTCGATAGGATAGTAGTTTTTGGTTGGAGTTTATGACAAGAATAATAATAATCACGAAGACGATAGAAGTTGTCATTCGCGTGATAGGACCATATTTTTTTGTCGGGGTAATGTAAATGAGGGTGATATAAATATATGACAACAATAATAATAATCACAAAAACGATAAAAGTTCTCATTCGCGTGATAGGACAATATTTCTTTTGTTATTATTTATTTTCTTATGTAAATGAGGGTGATATAAATTTGACAAAGATAATAATTATCACAAAAGCGAGAGAAGTTCTCATTCACGTGATAGGACAGTATTTTTTGGTTGGAGTTTATGACAAGGATAATAATAATCACAAAAACAATAGAAGTTCTCATTCGCGTGATAGGACCATATTTCTTTTGTCGGGGTTATTCAAAATAAAGAGATGATATAAATATATGACAAAGATACTAATCATCACAAAAGCGAGAGAAGTTCTCATTCATGTGATATGTGATAGGACAGTATTTTTTGGTTGGAGTTTATGACAAGGATAATAATAATCACAAAAATAATAGAAGTTCTCAATCGCGTGACAGGACCATATTTCCTTTGTCGGGGTTATTCAAAATAATGAGATGATATAAATATATGACAAAAATAATAATTATCACAAAAGCGAGAGAAGTTCTCATTCACATGATAGGACAGTATTTTTTGGTTGGAGTTTTTGACAAGGATAATAATAATCACAAAAACAATAGAAGTTCTCATTCGCGTGATAGGACCATATTACTTTTTTCTGGGTTATTCAAATGAGGGTAATATAAATATATGACAAAGATAATTATTATCACAAAAACGAGAGAAGTTCTCATTCACTCGATAGGATAGTAGTTTTTGGTTGGAGTTTATGACAAAGATACTAATTATCACAAATGCGAGAGAAGTTCTCATTCAAGTGATAGGACAGTAGTTTTTGGTTGGAGTTTATGACAAGGATAATAATAATCACAAAAACAATAGAAGTTCTCATTCGCGTGATAGGACCATATTTCTTTTGTCGGGGTTATTCAAAATAATGAGATGATATAAATATATGACAAAGATAATAATTATCACAAATGCGAGAGAAGCTCTCAACTCCTCATTCAAGTGATAGGACAGTAGTTTTTGGTTGGAGTTTATGACAAAGATAATAATCATCACCACAAAAACGATAGAAGTTCTCATTCGCGTCATAGGACAATATTTCTTATGTCGGGGTTATGTAAATGAGGGTAATATAATTATGACAAAGATAATAATTATCACAAATGAATGCGAGAGAAGTTCTCATTAATGTGATAGGACAGTAGTTTTTGGTTGGAGTTTATGACAAGGATAATAATAATCACAAAAACGATAGAACTTCTCATTTGCGTGATAGGACCATATTTCTTTTGTCGGGGTTATTCAAATGAGGGTAATATAATTATGACAAAGATAATAATTATCACAAAAGCAAGAAAAGCTCTCATTCACTCGATAGGATAGTAGTTTTTGGTTGGAGTTTATGACAAGAATAATAATAATCACGAAGACGATAGAAGTTGTCATTCGCGTGATAGGACCATTTTTTTTTTTGTCGGGGTAATGTAAATGAGGGTGATATAAATATATGACAAAGATACTAATTATCACAAATGCGAGAGAAGTTCTCATTCATGTGATAGGACAGTAGTTTTTGGTCGGAGTTTATGACAAGGATAATAATAATCACAAAAACGATAGAAGTTCTCATTTGCGTGATAGGACCATATTTCTTTTGTCGGGGTTATTCAAATGAGGGTGATATAAATATATGACAAAGATAATAATTATCACAGAAGCGAGAAAAGCTCTCATTCACTCGATAGGATAGTAGTTTTTGGTTGGAGTTTATGACAAGAATAATAATAATCACGAAGACGATAGAAGTTGTCATTCGCGTGATAGGACCATATTTTTTTGTCGGGGTAATGTAAATGAGGGTGATATAGATATATGACAAAGATAATAATTATCACAGAAGCGAGAAAAGCTCTCATTCACTCGAAAGGATAGTAGTTTTTGGTTGGAGTTTATGACAAGAATAATAATAATCACAAAGATGATAGAAGTTTTCATTCACGTGATAGGATCATAGTTTTTTGATGGGGTTATAATGTAGATGAGGATGAAAGAAAATAATGATCATAAAACAAGTCAAACATTCAGTGCAGATGTCCGGACGAAGAGAGGGAGATCGAGAGGGTGCGAGAGGAAGGAAAAGAGGGAACAAGAGAGAGTGAGAGTGACAGAGAGAGCCTGGGTCTATATTTCGGAGAGAGAGGGTCCATGTGGTGAAAATAATTATTTTCGAAACTTCCAAGGGTATGATGAACATTACAACGAACTTCTGTAGGAAAGAGAGAGAGAGAGAGAGAGAGAGAGAGAGGGAGAGGGAGAGGGGGGACAGAGAGAGAGAGAGAGAGAGAGAGAGAGCGGTATATGGATAGACATATTTATTGTATTTCTTTCATGTTTATCTGAACGATTATGTGGTCATTCATTTTCAAATTGCTTTCTTTCTGATATTCTTTTCTGAATGCATTTTACGGACATAATAATTGGAAAAAATGATAAGACTTCATGTATCCCGTAGCATATTGAAATTGTTTGTTATAAATGTATATCAAAATGACTGATCAGTCGAAGCTGAGACTAGATTGAGACGGTTGCGGAGGAGGGTACGTCAAACCATAGGTTACTCACTCTGCAAGGAGATTATAACTCCCTTGATTTGTGCGATACAATCCTGAACGGTACTTGCTCTCACACAAACGCACACAGATGCTGGTACCATTGAGCTCTAAAAGAGACCATGGACCTTAGCCATGCGAATGCAGTCGCTTTCCCGCTGTGGAGCGGGGTCAGCCCGGTGTCGAAATTGCTGTTGTCTTTTGTCCACTGATCTTTTCCGTAGAGATCAGTGGGCGAACGTAACACATTTTCAATATCGATTATACCATGAACCATTTACAACAGTAGATGGCGCTAGTATGCAACAACATGAGCTGGTTCAAATACAGGCAGCTTGGAACTGATAATTGATTTATTAATTACTGTTTAATTCACTAAAAAAAAAAAAAAGTATTTCAGCGGGGGAGATTGGTTAAAGATATTCCTATAGCATCTTGTTATAACATCAAAGAGTTTCAGATGAATTAAATATTTTTACCAACACTTTGTAATACCTTTAAGGACAGCCATTTGCACTGCAAGAAACTTGGTGAATTACAAAAATGTTATAGTGTCGTGTCAATTGTGATTCATTTACTTTGCGAAATGAAACTTTTGCTAACCTGTTATATTTCTATAATTTGCAAAAGTTTCCGGTTTTACAGAGTCCCAAATGTTCAAGAGTTACATTCAGCCCTCTTTTTATTTATTTTTATAAACATATTTAGGCAAGACCCAGAAGAGGTCAAACTGACTCCTGTCATTCAAGACTTTGACCTTCACCTTGTAGCAGCACCGGCCATAGTTATGGAGAAGACAAAACCTGACAAAGGGAAGCATAAAGTAAGTCATTTCATTGTGCTTGACAAGTGTCAGGGTAATAATAGTACTCATTGTTTTATATCATGAGGATAATGTGCTGTTTAAATCAATTGTTCTTATTGCCATGAAATAATTCTATGATTATACCAATCATGTACCTGTCTGAAGGGTACAGATGAATGATGGCCAGATGATGTACCTTTCACAATTAAAATATACCTACTTAGACAATACCTTGCAGTCTGTTTATTGTCTAGAATCTAGGCAATATGAGACTGCAGTGCATCTAGATTGTCGGCAGTGAGGTTTTCACTTTGTATAATTTCTTGATATTAAAGGGAAAAAGAGAGAAAAATGTGGCCAAAGCTATACATGACCATCTGTGTTAGAACTATAATTTCCTCAAATTTATTAAATTCTGTAAAGGGGAGGTTCCATATTTCACCATGAACTTGCTTTTATTTGCAGAGGAGTTGAATCTGCTATTGATGTATTTGCCAAGATATTTGTTTAAAAAAAATCATGAAGTCATATTTCAGCAATCCATGTTGGAACTATCAAGAATGGCAGATGTGAAGGACAGTGCATAATATATCATCCGATGGTGTCATATGTCCCGTTTCTTTCTGGTTGGTACCACAGGTCGTTATCTGCGGCCACTCTGTCGAGTTCAATGTCTCCACCGATCTCAACCTCTACCTCAGTACCGAGCAGGTGCACCTTGCCCGTCGAGTCCTGGATTCAAATCTCCATCACCTGCTACAGGGGAGAACCACCACCACCGACATGCCGCCTCCTCAGCAACCAGCAGACCACACCCGACCCCCAACCTCCCTAGAGGACAGCGGGTTGGGTAGTGATTGTGTCTCTGGCTCCCCTCCCACAGAGTTCACCGAGGCCACGCGTCTTACTGTCTCCAGTCCTCCGAGGTCATCGGGCAGCCACGATGCAAAGACAGTTGCCATGGAAACGGGAGACGGGAAGCCCAAGAAGAAGTCGAGGATGAAGGGGGTGACCCCTTTCGACTTTCTGATGACTGGCAGAAAGATCGCCCTGTTCTTGTACTCCAGCAAAGGGGATCTGAAATCCAAAAGTGGTGAGTCACTTTGAATGCAAGGTCTCACATAAGGAAGACTCACTTCTCACTCTTCCTTGACAGAGCTATCTGGTGTAACCTTTTTGCACCAGACAGCTATATTTGAGTGACTTTCTACAATAGGCAACAAAAAACTTGTGGTAGATCATACATAAGGAAGGAGAAAAAGAAAACTGAAACAATATTTGTTCATGTCGGAAACACTTTAAATTGTGTTCATGAAACGCCCATGAATTATTGAAGTCATATATTGAATATTTATGAATTCAATCTTATGTTTTTGTTTTGTTATTCTTCGACAAGTGGAGAAGTGAATGAGTGTTCAGTTCTTTGTTTTACCTATTGATTTGTGGACATGAATTTTCTTTGCTTAGTAATAGTGTATCCCGAAAGCTGCAACAGGACATACACAGAGTGGCCTCGTACTATATTCTTATGATATCAAAAATCTGAAGTTCTTTGTTTTGCTCGATTCTTCTAATATTTTTCTTTAGCTGTTTGTTACAGGCAAATAAGCACATGTTATTTTCAGGCAGTTTTATATTTCTAAAATCAAAGTTTCCTTTTCTTCAAATTGGACTATATCCTCTTTCGAAATCCAAATCATCCATATTCATCTTCAAGGTATATCATATTTTCAATTTAATGTATTTCTCAAATATTTTCGACTCTAGCACCAAAGGGAGACACCAAATCCTCACCCCTGCCACCGCCCCAGCAGCCCACTGTCCTGGAGCCGTTCTTACTCCTGGTGCTCTCTCAACCCTCCCTCGTCATGTCCGTGGAGAAACCAAAGCAGAAGCTGGAGCTCTCCTTCTATGACTTCCGCATCGATGGAGCTGCCATGAACAAGCAAATCAGAGGTAGATTAAGTCTGGTATAGATCTTGATTTCCTTGATATTTTTATTATTCTGTCACTATTATCAAAGAAAAAAAGATGTCAGTAAGTCTCTCAATAGCATCTAACGGGAAAGTCTAGAAAGTAAACAGGGCTTTTGCATAATTGAATATTAGGACACTGCGAACATTTAAATTTCACAGATAGGACATACATTAATTATGAACATGACATATTCATAATTCCTGCAAAGTTCTATAGAATTTGATGTTGGCTGCAAAAGGGACATAGTATCTGTAAATTGAATAAGAAAACGCAACACTTAGCAGAAAACTTTTAATAACTTTTAATAACTGTAAAAACAAAGTGTGAGATAGGATATTACAATGTTTTTTATAAAGTTTTTTCCTATCATATGTATAACAAAATAAAAGCTGCTATAATAATAATAATCAATACTTATAAAGCGCACTTATCTAATAGGCGCTAGACAAAACAAAATACACAAAATACACTAATCTTTCTCCAGAGTTTTAACAACATAATACCTTAAGTAACTCTGAGTAAATAAAACCGTTTTAACATGTTTCTTAAAGGTTTTTAGGCATTGAATGTTTCGAATGGCACTCGGCAGCAAGTTTCAGAGGACTGGTGCAACATGCAAAAATGCATGGTCCCCATAATAGGTGGTTCGGGTTCTGGGGACTTCAAGGATGGTAGAGGCAGAAGAACGAAAAATAAATCCAAACAATCACGAACAGACAAAAGGTCGCACCGTCGAAGCAGTGATCCATGAAGCGTAATGAGCCACGACGTGAGGTTAGGGCGATAAAACAATTAATTGCCTAACCTACATGTAGGCAATCCCAAAAGCAAAGGCCGTAACGTCAGGACCAAATGCCCTAACATAGCGGGGCGTACCGAAGCCTGTTATTTACAGTTGTGAAAAAGGAAATATGCGGCGCAGAAATGATACTCAAATTTCCGCAAAATTAAAAATGTGACTTGGGAACCGTACCACCAAATTAATAGCAATTAAAATGAGGACGGAAATCAATGCGTAAAAAGAGCTTAGCCTAACAAAAAAAAGACAACATCCTTGATTCTAATGTGACTCGGCTGTATACAATGTCTCTACCGGTAGGCGAGAATAGAAAGAGGATGAATGGCGGGCGTGCGTTGCACACGTGAATCCTGGGAAGGCGAATTATGGGGGGTGGGGCATGTGCCAATGTGACGTTTTTAAAGATAAACTTTTTGAACTGGGAGCCAGTGGTAATGTCTTAGGATTGGAGTGATGTGTTCACTCATCTTCACACGTGCCAGAACTCTCTGCAGTCTAGAGATTGAAGAATTTGGTATAGCAACCATAAATGCATTGCTGTGTTGTGTAGAACTCTCTGCAGTCTAGAGATTGAAGAATTTGGTAGACCGAACTTAACAGCATTGCAATAGTCTAGCAGTGATGTTACTAGAGCATGAGTGATTTTTGCGACGTCAGAGTCAGACGGGTATTTCTGGATTTTGGCAATGTTTTTCAAATGATAATGTGAACTTCAACAGACAGCTGAGATGTGAGCATTACACACACTTGGAACATTTACTACACCTTCTCCAGCTCAATGATGACACCAGCATCATCATCATCCACATTTAAAGTCCATTTGTCCCACTTTGTGGGGTTGAACATTTTATTTCCTTGATGGCTGCTTTCCAAGTGTTCCTGTCTGTGGGATCCACATGACTGATACCCGATGTTTTGGCATCTTCTTCTATGGTTTCCCTCCAAATTTTCCTAAGTCTCCCGCTGGGTCTTCTTCCGGTGACCGGGAAGTTTAGAGCCCTCTGGAGCCAGTGTGTTGCCTCTCTTCTTTTTCGACTTTACATTCCTCAGGAAGAGGAATAGAATCGGGAGAAGAATGTTGTTTAAACAGCGAAGACGGAACACTACCACCAGCACTGGGGCGAGAAAAAATATCAGGAAGATACTTCTCTAACAAAGCCCTCGCGTCAGAGCCCAGACTACAAAATCACAACCAAAATTTTAATAGTAAAAAAAATCACCTCCATTTTTGTCGACGCCGACCCTTGGAGTCCGCTCTCTTCTTTGGTGATGGCTGTCACTACTACCGACACTCCTTTCATGACCTCTAGTGTTGCACTTTCGCCCCAAAGTGTGATTGCTATTGAATGCGTGCCATCTCCCAACTGTCCAAGTGTGATGATGCGCCGTTAATACACTGACGTTTCGACAAGTTGGCCTACCTGCAAATCACCATAAACAAGTACATCATATATTCAATTCGAAAAATAAAAAAACTTTTAGTGTAATGTATTACACTTCAAAAGCAAAATGAATAAATATACATTTGCAGTTGACAGTTGAATTATACTAAATACTTCACAATACACTAAAATCTTAAAATGATATATGTTTATGAATAAATAACTTTTTCAATATTTTATGAAATCTTCAAAATTTGAAAAAACTTCTTTTACAATTCAACATCACTGACTGTAAAAAGCGCGTTCAAATTAAAAAAGCAAGTAAATGCATTCAAATTAGCGCCTGCATTGCCGTGATAAACATTAATGTATTCAAATTCACAAATAGGCAATCATAGCATTTGGGCAGTCTTTTTTTTTTAATGTTCATGTTCTTTGCAATCTGCATCTTTTTAATGAAATTATATAATTAAAACAATGAAAAAGGGTATTTATAACATGACGTAAAAATATTGCGGTAAGAATTACATAAAACTACAGAACTTGTTTTTGTTAATCATTTAAACGATTAAAATTTAAAATATGTGTGCCTATAAAATTGAAATAGGACCAAATTGAACGTCTATCCAGCTGGCGCAAAATTGGTCATTAAATTAAATGGATTTCTCTCTAAATTAAATAAAATTCAAAAGAAATGATAAAACAGAATTGAAAGCTCAAAACATGAAAATGAACCATGAGAGCAGAGAGTTGACAAGTATCATTCAAGCTTAAACGCCTATGTATGAACTCGGAATGCAACTATGATAAAATTGGGCGGGAAAACCTATAGTAAAACAAAATTACCTCAATTTTGGTCAACACCGACCCCTGCAATCCATTGTCTCTAGTGATGGCCGTCACCAGTACAGACAGTCCTTGTACTACCTCTAGAGTAGCACTCTCGCCCCAAAGTGTGACTGGTATAGATTGAGTGTCGTCACCCAGCTGTCTCAGAGTGATCACGCGCCTTTTGTATGCTCCAGTCTCAACAAGTTGGCCTACCTGCAAAACACCATAAACAAGTACATCACATATTTAATTCGAAAAATACAAAAACATTTGAAAATAATAATAGTGTGTTTTTGTATAGCACTCATGTCCGTCACACTTGGCACTTCTGGTTTTCCCCAGTATAATGTATACCCCTGCAATCCATTGTCGTCTCTAGTGACGGCCGTCACCAGTACAGACAGTCCTTGTACTACCTCTAGAGTAGCGCTCTCGCCCCAAAGTGTGACTGGTATAGATTGAGTGTCGTCACCCAGCTGTCTCAGAGTGATCACACACCTTTTGTAAGCTCCAGTCTCAACAAGTTGGCCTACCTGCAAAACACCATAAACAAGTACATCACATATTTAATTCGAAAAATACAAAAACATTTGAAAATAATAATAGTGTGTTTTTGAATAGCACTCATGTCCATCACACTTGGCACTTCTGGTTATCCCCAGTATAATGTATACCCCTGCAATCCATTGTCGTCTCTAGTGACGGCCGTCACCAGTACAGACAGTCCTTGTACTACCTCTAGAGTAGCGCTCTCGCCCCAAAGTGTGACTGGTATAGATTGAGTGTCGTCACCCAGCTGTCTCAGAGTGATCACGCACCTTTTGTAAGCTCCAGTCTCAACAACTAGGCCTACCTGCAAAACACCATAAACAAGTACATCACATATTTAATTCGAAAAATACAAAAACTTTTGAAAATAATAGTGTTTTTTTGTATAGCACTCATGTCCGTCACACTTGGCACTTCTGGTTTTCCCCAGTATAATGTATAATGCATTACACTTCAAAAGCAAAATGAATAAATATACATTTTAATTATAATAAAGTGCCAAGATTCAATTAAAAACACACATCGTAAACAAAAGACACCAATATTGACACTTTGAATTACAATACTAATACTTCACAATACACTCAAATCGTAATATGATATCATTTATAATGTTTATATAAATAAATGTCTTATTTAATGTTTAATAAAATCCTCACAATTTGAAAAAAACTTCTTTTATGATTCAAAATCACTAAATTCAAAAAAAAAAACTCGTCACAATTGTTACATTTTACAACAGCAAAATACATACCTCGATCACATCTCCTTCGACGTTCATTCGTCTCTTTCGGGCTGGTGAAAGAAAATCCCCCATGAAGAAATGTTCTGGGTAAAGCTTTGCACTGTTTCGCATCGTGGACAATAGTTTTATTTTGAAAACCTCCCAACCTTGACTCGGCCGAAAAATAAATCTAAAGATAAAAAAGATTTAACTGTCTAAACATCATACCCAATCCTTAATATAGCATAAAATCTAAATTGGACCTCTGCATGGAGTAGAGACTAGCTTAGGCCTATCTTTCATCCAAGTTAAATGATGACATAGCATCAAAACAATTAAACATTTGAAATACTTTATTTCACGATCTTCAGAAAGTCAAAAGTGGACGCTTACTGAACAAAAAATCTACTCATAAATGAACACCCAAAAGTTCCAAACTTTAACTTACCGTAGCATTAGCTAGCAACTGCAGGCTGGGGCCTCCCTTTCCCACAACTTGGGTTACAATGATCTTGTCATGAGCCTTCAAATTAAGGAGGTCCACTGCCGCTTCACTGGTAACTTCGTTGACGAAGCACCCCTTAGTGGCCGTTGTTTCGACACCTCTCTCGATCACATGGCTGAATAAATACTGCCGACCACTCGCCATAACTTTTCTAAGCTGGAAACCTTCCACCACCATCAACTCAACTGTGGAGTACTTCAAAGACATCCTGTAATTCTTATCAAACTATCAAAATATCACATATGCATTTGTCAGAACACCTGTGATACTATAGAAAAATCCAAAAATCATGAAGCACAGCAATGCGTATGAAACATACAACATCCACTATACTATCAGAATATCAGACCACATATATACCCATGTCAAAGTTTAAATCCACTCATAAATGAACAGCAAAAAGTTCCAAAGTTTCACTTACCATAGCGTTGTTTAGCAATCTCAGGTTGGGGCCTCGTTTTCCCACTATGTGTGTGAAGAAAACTTTATCATTTGCCTTTAGTTTGAGAAGATCGGTTGATGCTTCTGACTTTACATCATTTGCAAAGCACCTCTTTACACACGTTTCTTCGGTTCCTCTCTCTTTTACATTACCGAACAAAAATTGACGACCGCTTGCTGATACCTTGCGAAGCAGAAACTTTTCAACAATCATCATTTCTATTGACACATTAATTTACAATGAATATAAACGTAGAATTATTGTTATTATTAATGTTGTGCATCATATTTCTAAATAAAAATCCAGATCACAGTCTGCCTCAAGCCATGGACTACCCTGTTCCCTGGTTTCAAACATGCCCTGGTATGCCTGATCCAAAGACTGGTGTCAAACCTGCTCTCTTCACCTTCACCGTCACAGACTTCATGATGCAGAGTGCAGGTAAGCCATGGAGAAAGTACCGCTACCAGTCTGTCCATTCATGTTGCATCGGTGTATGAATTGTGGAGTTCAAGAAGGGTCGTGAAAGTGACTTACAAACTTCAACGATTTTCACTTTTCCGCAATAAATACATGAAAATGTTGTTCAAGTGTGTTTGAACTTTGACAAATTTCATAAAAGGATATGGTATTCAGTCTAAAAAGACATTTCTTTGGGTTTGGAATTTTCATCATAAATATGAGATTTTCTTTCAATGAAATGTATGTATTTTTGTTTGTGTTTTCATACAAGAGTCTTTCCAGATATTACAGAGCTCATTTTTAAGCTTTCTAGAGTAACATCGCTCTTTGCACTTGTGTATTTGTTTCCAGTTATGTATTATGATAAGATATAGTTCAAATGTAAATGAGATACCGGTATTGCACATCAGGTACATATGGCATTGAAATACAGGGTAAAATACAGTCAAACCTGCTTTAGTGACCACCTGTCTACAAAGAACACATATTTTTGTTCACTTGAAAATGGTTTCTCATTGAAACATGTACTAAAGGAACTTGTCTACAAAGACCACCTGTCTACAAAGGCTACTTTTTGTGTTTTCCTCGGGCGGTCGTTATAGACAGGTTGGGCTGTAACATAATTATAGTGAAGGTAATGTAAATGTAATTATCCACATATCTTGCATTGTCCACCCCCAGCTGTGATCAAGCTGATGGTTGCACGACCCCTGAAGGTGAACTTCAGCCTGACCAAGCTTCAGCAGGCTAGGGAGTATGCAAAGAGGCTGCAGGCAGTCAGGACCCAGGAACTCACCAAAGTACCGCGTGAGGTGGAGGAAATTAGGCTGATGACTACTCCTAGGGCAGGAGAGAAGTCTGTAGGCATCAGTCTACCAGGTATATATTTGTTTGAATTATCTGCGATGACTAGGGGTACATGAAAATGTTAAGGATCTGTTATCGTAAATTGTATTCATATGCATTGGGTAAATAATACGCATACAAGTCATTTTCATTTTTACACAACAGATATGCATACTTTTTTAATCAATAGTTGTTCTTGACATCCTTCAAGCTTGCCAGACACAGCAACAAGTAATGTATGGAGACTGGATTCCAAGTCAGTAATGGAGTTCATTCTTAAATAATGGTTAATGGAATAAATTGTCACCAAGATCCCAGGAAAGAAACATCCATAAATTTGAATATGTTAGTAGTAAACGGGTCTATTTAAGAGGCAGCATGATTTTCTGGAAATGTCTTCAATCTTGTTGATTAATAAAAAGAAATCCTTTTGTATAAACTGCATGTCACATCATTATAATGTCATGTGCTTCAAAAAAGCATGGAAATCAAGACCCTGGCTGTGTATTTCAAGGAATAGTGTTGTGTACCCATCACTATTTCTATAGGGTCAGGTAATGTGCTTGATGTGAGACAAAAAGATGGAAAAGGTGCAACTTTTCTACTTCTTGAAGGCTCATACATCAGTTAAGAGACTTTTGGTACCCGAACTAAACAGAATTTTGCATTTTTCATTAAACTTGCACAAATTCATTTCAGCCAATCTGGTTGATTTAAGATTTCTCAGACATTTATAAAGCCTGTCTGCACTACTTGTAGCTACTTGTGCCCTCTATATAGCAAACAATGCCTAAGCGGTACCCATTGATCCCCCATGATCCCCTTTTTTTAATGTTAATTGAGAGCTGATTTAATCAGATAACCACCTGTCAGTGACCATGCAGGCAGGTCTAATCTCTCCTGGCCAAACTAGTGCAGAGGGGCTTAAGATGTACTCTAAATCATCATCTTTTGGGTTCTCCTCGAAACAGGACAGCAAACCAGCCAGCAGGAGAAGACCAAACCAAAGAGTTCAGCTCCCCCTCCAGAGGGCGTCCTACAGAACCTCATGATGCTCTCCCACTTCCAGTCCGTCGTCGTCGCCACTAGTCAGATGGTTGTCGTCATGGCAACGATCCCTGACCCGGATTTCCCTCACGTCGTGGCGTCGGTGGGAGGAACGATGTTCGAGTCGGACTTTGTGGTCAATCAGAAGACAGGTAAAGAGATGGTGTCTCGTGAAACCATCAAAGCCATAAGTTTGCAGACATCCCCCTAAAACTCCTGTTGATTTTGATACAAACATGGGATGTCGGCAAACATGCCCTGATCACTTCATTTCTGCTTTTGATATATTTTTCTTGAGCAAATCAAGTGTTTTTCTGGCGTTTTCAGCTCTAAAATATTAAATGTTCAAATATTCCAACATTTGTATTCCCTTTTCACAGCAGCTTGGTGCTCTTACATGTAGCTTGTATAGGGAATTTTTTTTACAACAGTACCTTGTGACCAGGTAAAAAAAAATTGAAATAAATTTAATTTTCAGTGGAATTTTGATAAGTCATACCCTTATAGCCTTACTTTTACTGTTCCTCAGAACCAAGTTTTAAAAATAATGTATTCACATCCTACATAATTATCTGCCCTTGCACTTATAGAGGAACTCTTCCAAGCAGACAGCACCGTCCAACTCTACGACTTCACTCTCAAGACTTCCCTCCAGCAGTGCACCAAGCCCCTACTCGGACCGGTGACCCTTGACCTTCTGCTGCGGACCAATCACGAGCCTCACAGCGCAAGCGAGCTGAGCCCCCTTCTCCCAAGAATCTTTGCCGACCTCAACGTGAGGAACATCCCGATCACGTTCGGTCAGGAGAATCTGAACTGCTTGACGACGGTGATCGATAAGATGAATGAAGTGCTTGGAGAAGGAGGAGGGAAGGGTAGAGAGAAGAAGAAAGTTCCGGCCAAGGTGAGAATAGAGGCTTGTTCACATTTTAAAGTTTATTTTTATGACATAATCAAAATGCACCATATCTACCTTATTACTCACATACCATGGAGTATACGAAGGATCTTTGTTGCACACAACTACATTTTTCATCCCCACTTGCCATTCGGCTGTAAAGAAGCCTTTAGCTAAAAAAAAGATTTACACAAAATTTCTTTTTTATTATGGACAAGTTGAAAATGTGAATTTGAATCTTAAAGATGTATGCCAACCATCATGCTGTGGTCTTCTGAAAATTATTTTATATTTCATGTTCATGAAAGTATTGTCATTCGTCTTGATTAGGACATGTCATTGGTTAATGTCTGCACATATCTGGCTGTGTACGCGTACATTTCAGAGAGGCATCTACCCAAGCACCAAATCAAAATGTTTGAGGGTTAAACCGATTCAGTTGGCGGTATGCAAAGAATTTAGGCTTGTTGTGTAGTGCCATCATTCTTGAAAGTCCTTTGATTATAAAACAATTGTAAGATTCTCCTTATTCCACCTTCATTCTTTATTCCAGAAATTCAAGTTCAAAATCGACCCGTCCGCTGCCTTGGCGCCGAGCGACGGCTCCTACTCCGCAGACGAGGAGGATGACGATGCCTGCGAGGATGACGGCAATGAAGATTGGGAGGACGTCGACGAGGAAGATGAACCACCGGAAGGCGTGACCCAGATAGAGTACAAGGACGACCTGAGGACGGGGGCATTTGAATACTTCACTGAAGGTGAAATATGGAGGATGGTTGCAAATGTTGATTGTGACCTTACCCTTCAACAGGCCTGATAATTACCCAATTAAAATCGGTTTCCTGATTTTTTTTGATTTTTTTTTTTTTCTCCAGATTTTCCAAAATTTTTGCTATTTCCCCCCAATTTTCTTACTCAAAAGGGGGGAATGTTGTTAGATACCATTTTTTTTTTTTTTTTTTACTCACGGGAGGTGGTTGAGGGGAAAAAAAAAATTGTATTAAGATGTAGAACTATAGCTACATGTATGTTCATACCTGCCACCTTTCCATCCAATGGCCAAAATTTTCCTGCTACTGATAACAACAGATAATAGGGTCCACCAAATAAGGCAGTATTCTGCTTTTTTTTACATTTATTTGTCTGCCTAACATTTCTGTTCATTTTATTCAATTCAAAATGGGTTTTTTTATGATTAAATGCAGCCCGAGGTTGATTTTCAAAACATTTCACATAGAAATTGAGTGAAAATAAGTTTTAAAAAAGGAATATATCAGGTCTATGGCCGGAGCCTCGCCGTTCAACATGGCATCTCTAAAGTAGTTTGATGGTATGAAAGTGACAGAATTTTGTTAATGTCATGTTCAGCATCCAGAAAGAAATACCTCATGAAAATTGAGAGTATTCATTGAATCCTAAAGAATTATTTTTGGTTAGCACTAAAGTTTAAACAATTCTGTTATGAAATGTAAGTTATATATATATATATATATATATACACTTTATACATAGTTGATGTTCTTTGTTTGACTTCCCCAGGACACACAGAGGATGAGATACCCCTCCCCAATCAGATTTTCTTCACCCCGCCCTCCCAGGAAGGGGGTCATTGGGGCACCATGGTCTGGACTTACCCTGAGCCTAGGATGGACGTTGGACTGACCATCACCCCTGTCCCGATCTCAAACCCCAACGTGAGGCCCTTTGCCAGGATGAATAAGGTATTTTCATGTGTTTAATGTTTCATGTGGCATTCCATAAGTAAAATCATCTGTTCATTATTTGTTCAACAGGGTTCTGTCTTAAAAAGAGTTGTAGTTGATCCGGATCAATCGGAAGTCTTCCAATCGATTACAAACTGACAAAATTGAGTTTTGAGTAGTAACAAGTGTTTATAAGACAAGGTCCTGTTTCCTACAATAAATTTTGTGCAAATTTTCAGTAGGTAAAAGAAACGATGCTTCCCTAACATAGCAACAACAAATGAATGCAAAGTGAATTACCTCCGAAGCTATGCCTATGGTATTACATATCTACATAATGGGAGAGATCAGTAATTCAACAGAGTGTTTTAGAAAGGAATATTTATCAAGTTCATGCATTTTGGAAGCTATATCTCTGACTTTCAGTTGGTTGTCCATGGCAACTAAAAATGCTCAAATGGGCAAGTAATTTACAAGATTTTAGGAATTGTTACTTGCAAAGGGATTCATTCATACCATCACGTTTCACATATTGCATTGGGAATCTGGTTTACTGTTGATGTGCATGAAATAGTGATAATGGCTAGTGCATAGTGTTGGCCAGTGTCATCCCAAAGTTCATATTCTACAAATTAAAATTAAAACAAGAACCAGTCTCCCAGTAGTGCGAATATCATATTTTACCCATCAAAGTCTATCACTTGACTGATACAAATAACTCCATACTCACTGCAGATAAATCTTCCATTTCCTTTTACAGATTCCATGTATTCTGCAGGCGTACAACAGTCGGCGGCAGTCCTTTCAGACGGTGAGGAATTTCTTTGTGTCAGAGACCCAGAGGTATCATAAGAAGCAGAAGATTGTGGAGAGTCGAGACTTGGTGGAAGAGATGGATGCGCATAGCACATGGAGGGTCGTGCTCAATTCAAACATGCAGAGGTAATAGAAGAACTGAATAGGGATAGTTATGGTCATGATGAGGATTGTGGTGGTGATTCTATGGTCATGGTGGTCGTGGTGGTCGTGGTGGCGGTGATGATGGTTATGATGATGGTGATGGTGATGATAATTATTTGAAATGTAGTATTACTGATGCTGCTGCTGATAAGGAATTTTGTATTAGTCATGATGATGACGACGATGATGGTAACTTAAGTGGTGTCATTACTAATGTCATTACTAATGGTGATTATGATGATGATGCTGATTGAGATAGTGTTGTCACTGATTATAAGGAGGGTTTTCTTTAATGGTAATTATATTGATGATAATGAAGATGATAATGATGATTACGATACTGACAAGTAGACAAGATTCTATTAAAGTGCCTTTTTTCATTTAATATATCCTCTTGATTGTCTCTATGGCATCTTGACTAACTACACAATTTTTAAACAAACTTTGCATTTTCAAAAGTAAAACAGCTTCTCTCTGGCCCAAAATATTTAAATGCAAGTGTATACAAATTTGGGCAGTTTTAAGCTCCAGCAGTGGAGTGGTTAAAGATTGTCTCCTACATGTATGTGTCACACATATTGTTCCAACACTAAGGCAAACCAGAAATATTTCCTTATGATTGGATGTTTACTCATAATGATTGATTTATGATCATAAATGGTGTATTGAATTGGGTCAACCTTGACAAGCTCTTGCTCTTTGTTGGCTCCATTTACCCAGTGTATAATTCTTGTCATTCTGAAATATGAATCTGTCACCTCCTCGTAGCTAAGGATCCTTTCTGAATCAAAATCTGAACCTTTTCCCTCTCCTGCAGGAAAGCACTGCAACAACCTCTGAAGCCACCGACCCCTGACATCATCCTGACCCCGATGACCTTGGCTGCGTCGATGAGGTTCGACACCGTCTTCGCTCCTCGTTTCATCCAGTTCTGCCATCTCAACCTGACTGTTGGTCTGATTGAGCTCAGGCTCTCCAATCACCTCAGTCAGCTTGGGAAAGGTAGGTGTTTCTTACTCTCTATTAAAGTTTGTACAATGTTTATGTGGTGGTTATTTTTTACCTGACTGCTAAGAAAGCATAAGTGCTTGTTAGTAAGCAACTAGTGAATATGAAGACAAGCACAACAAGACGTGAAAAGTCGATATGTCTTTGGCCAGATAACAAGAGAGTGCATATTGACCTCGTTGTATTTGAAAGAAATGTGGGTCTTGTGTACATTAGAGTAGCTCACTTGAAAGTTAGGATAAAGGAAAGGGAACGGTACATGTATAAACAATAACATTTTGTGAAATCAATATTATCTGTTTGAAGGCTTCACATTGCTGAGGTGGAGAATTTTAAGGGGAACTTTTAGGTCAAAACAGATTTTTGCATGAGCTTACTACAATAAAGATTGTCCCAGCTTGGAGTCTACCAAATCATGGCGAATGTTTCGTTTAGTTTATATTTTATCATGCATTCAAATATTCTTAATAGGTCTCCATATCAAAAACTTACGTTAATACTTATTGTAAAGCCTTGTTCAGATTTGAGGCAAAAAACGGCACTGCACAATGGTTGAAGGGCTTAGAAAAATGCACTTTATCATCTCACAGATCAATTGACACCATCGTTGCATGCAACGTGCAACTCTTTTGGTCAACATTACATGAATACTCTGTAAATTTTCCCACTTTTTTCATCCATTTCAAAGTATCTTATGTTTCCAAAATGAATCCCTTGCAGAATCAACTTGCAGAATCAACTAGCAAAATACAATTGATATAATATTTTCATAGTATATTAATGAAATTGATGTTTGATTGCAGGAGTGCCCGACTACCTGAAGGGTTTCACGCCTGACGCAAGCACTCCAAAGAACCATGAATTCATGGTGGTCCGCATCCCAGAAACCAAACTGATCATTGAGAGTTATGGAGGAGTGCATGCAAGGACCAGGATCAGTGTGAGTATACCAGGGGTGATAGTGAGCACTAAAAAAAAAATAGGTTTTGTTTTCCCCTAAACCACGCCCCCCATTGAGTAAAAAAAAAAAAGAAGAAGATTCGCGGGCAAAAAATGGCATTTAACAACATTCCCCCCTTTCGAGTACGCAAAATTAGGAAAAAATTGGGAAAATTGGGGAAAAAATAGGGCGAAATAGGGAAGAATAGAGAAAATAAGGGGGAAATCAGGGATCGGGATAAAAAAAGGAAGAAAAAAAAATCTGGTAAAATTTTTTTTTTTTTTAAATCTGATTTTTTTTTTTTCAATCGGGAAGAAAAAAAAAAATCGGAAAAAAAATCGGGAAAAATAAAAAAAAATGGGAAACCGATTTAAATCGAGTTTTTATCAGGCCTGGTATACCTCGAAGATGATGATGATGTGGTGGTGGTAGCGGTGGTGGTGGTGGTGATGTGATGGTGATGTTGATGGTGATGGTGGTGATTATCAGTATAATAACAGGAATGATGGTGATGGTGGTGGTGTTTGTAGTGGCCATGCAGTGATTATGATGGTGATTTTTAGGATGATGGCAGGAATGAAGGTGGTGATGATGGCGATGTGATAATGGCGATGGTGATGATGGTTTTGGTGGTGGTGATTCAGGTGTTAATGAGTACTTGGTAGAATGCAAAGGCCATTGTGGTTAAAGTCATTATTTTCTGCATTTGTAAAATGGCAACTGACTTAAATGCTCCTCAGAGAATATACACAAGGGCCCGAATTCACAAAGGAGGTTTGTCGACAAACCAAGGTTTATGTATGTCATATGACACGTTTTGACGCATTTTTTACAAACCTGGTTTGTAAAAAACAAAAGGAGGTTTGTCGACAAACCTCCTTTGTGAATTCGGGCCAAGATGTCTGTCAGTGAGCATTAATAATATACCTGTCAAGTGCCTGGAAGTTATGGATCTACAGAAATAATTGAAATACAAATCTAGAACATTACAATTGTTGTTATCCTCTACAGGGTGAGTCTGGGCTAGCAGTGGACCTCCTGAACTACCACAACCTGACCATGGCACCTCTGCTGGAGCCAGTCGAGTACGAGATCGGTTACAGCTTCCGCAGTCTCACCGACATTGAGGGCACATTGGGATTCGCTGACTTGACCTTCGTAGCGGGTCAAGGCACTGTTCATACTCTGAGCAAAGTGGCCCAAGCTTGGACCCAGGTATTAAAACAATTTGAAAGATATGAATTCATCGACATGGAATTAATTTTTGCAAAGTCAAACCTGTCTATAAAGGCCATCTAATGTATCACTTTAGACAGGTGACCTTCTGTGACAGATTCTACAAAATGCAGTTCTTCATTTATATAGTGATTGCATACCTGCTCACCAACTGATAGTCTATTGGGCCTTTCTTCTGAAGGCTGAAAACAACCTGCGATATTGTATGCGTTTGTATTATTTATATGACCAGTTAAAACCCGAAGTAGAAAGAATTCAACTTTCTTAGAATTCCTGCATGTACATTATATGTTGTCAATCTTGAAATGTTAAAATCTTGTGGTAGTCCAATGGTGATCTTTATACACTCTACCCATGTATACAAACAATGATGTTTGAAATTCGCTGTTCATCTCATCCCTTCTTCCAGAATTTGAAGCCTGAGGCGGAGCGTCTCTTCTACGGTCACTACCTCATCTGCAATGCAACCAATCAGGCACTGCGGTTTGGTCAGGTGCACACGGATGAATCGGTGGTTCTCAAGAGCAGTGAGATGCACGAGTACAGCTGGAGAACCCACAAGAAGGAGAAACAGGTGAGACTGGATTTTTTAATGGATTCTGATATCGTGGAGCTGTTTTTAATTTGTTAATTGTTATTCATCAAAAATATAAGTGGTAAATTTAGCACTTCTCTATTTTGTCTGTGTGGTTTTTGTTTTTGATATTGGTTCAAAAAGGAATAGGTCATGATTAAAAAAATCATTTTCAAAATCGTTCCTTTGAGCGAACTCAGAAAAGACCTCCCGCCCCTTTCCATTTTGAATAGACCTATACATCTAGACCATATGTTATACAGAATGTTGTGGGCCTCAAGATGACTGGACTCCTATTAAGACTAGTCAGGCGCTGATCGTGTTTTGCAATTGCATGTACACTACACACGATCAGCGCCGACATTGCAGCTGCGCAAAATGGATCGGAAGCGACTTGGCCACCAAGCTATCCAAGAGTGCATTTGAATTGTGGCTTAAATGTGACATACCGGTATTTTCAATATATTGGGTGATAGCGAGAATTGTTCCATTACCTACTGCTTATGTGTCATGTTTTTGTATCATAGTTTCAGTCATACATGTACTCCTTTTAGCTTTCCCTCAAAGACACAGGCAAGAGGAATACACACAATTTTGTAGAGAAGGAATAGTTAGAGCTGAAACTGAAGCTGATCTTGTAACTTTGATTCACCAATTCTTGTACAAAATATGAATTTGATGAAAGAGAATACTCTATTAAATCAAAATCAGGAGCTTCACGTCTGTATGGAGAGCTGGCGAAACTTCCGCTGGTCGGAACCATTCAGTATCGACGGTGATGAGGGAGATACAACTGTCCGAGTGCTCCACAATAGAGATCAGACGGCGACCCTCTTCATCCAAATCAGAAAGATCACTGCCCTTCAGCGACAAGTAAGAAAGAAAAAATAATTTAACAAGTTTGTTTGGATTTTATTTGTGGTGTGGGAAGAATTTTTGAGTTTATACCTGACATCATTGAGTGATATATCATGTTTATTTAACCAAGAAATCGCTCAGTATAAAAATAACCTTTGGAATATGAAAGTATTGTTAATGGCTTTATTTAATGAAAATGATTATAGCGATTCTTTCTATTTTCTGTTTCCCTGGAGTATGGTAGAAAATAAAGTAGCAATAAACACAGAATTAGATAATAAGTACAAACACGTTTATAAGAGCATTTATGTACAGTGAAACCTGTATAAAAAGACCACTCAAGGGAAACATGAAAAGTGGTCATTATAGGCACGCTGTCTTTATGTACGGGTTCCTTTAGTACAGGGTTTAATGAGAAACCATATTCAAGGGAAACATTGTGCTCTTTGTAGACAGGTGGTCTTTCTATACATGTAGTCGCTAAAGCAGGTTTGACTGTTTTTATAGAAGGGTACATGTACTTATATTCTATGAAGGTAAAGCATGAGTTTTTGATGGATATGGATGGCTTCCACGTGTAGGTGTACCCTGATCTAATGGTCATTTTATTCCATCCTCTAGATCATCATCACTGGAACCCAGACGTTCACCAACCGCTTGACCATTCCGTTGGACGTCCAGGTCACTCGAAGGTCAATCTCCCAGACATCACCTCGATCGAGCACTGCCAGCACCCAGGAGACGAGGACACTCCAGCCCAAGTCCAGCCTTCCTGCCCTGACCTGTGGTGATGAAGACATCACGGGGGTCTGTGTCAAAGTTCAGGGGTCAGACTGCGACTGGTCGGAGCAGTTTGCCATTAGTGGGGAGATGTGCAGCACAGAGACGGTTGTCAAGGTAACAAAAACAATCCTTTTACAGTTAAGAAAGTTATCAACATTTTAGAGGGGGGGGGGGGGGCAAATCATTTATCAATTTCAATAAGGAAATTAGGAATTTTATTCATACTTTGGAACAATGAATACCTGTGATTAAAACATGCATGATTGTATAAGAGTGTAAAATGTTCATTGTGTGACAACTTTAGTCTGCTTGTCTCTTATTTGACCTTGTTCATCATGTTTCAGGTACCTTGTTCCGATGGTAGGAGGTTCTATTTCTGGTGTCAGATCTTCACTGAGACACATGATGGAAGTGTGCAGAGAGTAGTAAGTGTTATTATTATTATCTTTATAAGGCTTCCAAGTGGTACAATAAGTCGGTGTATTTAAAATCTTTAGCGCAGTACCCAGATGACAGATCAATATTGTTTTTGCATTGCTCTGTCATCGCTGGTACCTTGTCACTGTACCCAATGTGCAAAACTGGTGTCCCTTCCGACAACAATATTATTATTATTATTATCTAATAATAATATTGTATGGCTTTGTTTTCATGTTATACAAGAATATACTGCTCTCGCTATGACAATATTGGAATCGTCTTCAATTCATCCAATATTGTCATAGCTCGAGCAATATATTTTTGTATCACACTCAAAGCCATCCAATATTATATAAATATCTTGTTTGGTCTTGGAGTACAGGTATAGTTTCTTCTCCTTCCAGAGCATCCTGTAGGCTCTGCACTATCTACTTGTTTTCAGAGCAGTATGAAGGCAAAGTAAAAATCACCACCAATCTCATCTTTTGGATGGTGACGTTAAGGGTCGGTCCCCAGAAGTAAATAGTAATATCCGATTGATGCACGTCTGTAAAAACTTGGAATTACACACACACACACACCACTAATCTGGAATTATTCATCTCCTCACAGGTTGTGTTCAGCCCCCTCTTCACTGTTCAGAGTCACCTCCCGTTCCCAGTCACCCTCCACTGTCATGCAGCTAGGGGCAATGATACACAGGTCATAGAGGTTAAAGGTCAAGGGTCACTCCAACAACTCTATCAGATCCCTCCCTTGGCATGGTACAACCTCACCCTAGCATCTACAAGGTGAGTGGTTGTGTTCATAATTCTTTTTAGAATTAATTAATTAATTTTGTACTGTTCCGAATGTTATGGATATACAGTTCTTTTGGCTAAAACAGTCACAAAATAGACAATGTGGAATGGGTTTGGTACATACTTTGCAAATTTGTGTGAAATCCACTTAGAACTGCCATGAATAGGGGGTTTTCATAATTTACATTTTCCTTGTTTGTATGTTAACTTTGGGGTTGATGGTGTAATATCTGTTCATTTTGTGCTTAACATGGGGATTATTTCTGACCTAGGAAAGTCATGTGTGACCTTTTCTCTTCCAAATGAGGACCCTGGGTTTGCAGATGACAGTCGCTTATGTAGAGAATTGATTTTATTAATGTTTGTTATAGAATCTCTCATTTAAAAGCTTTGTAGTTATGTATGGTACATGGTCATTCTTTTGAAATGTAAATTGATACACAAGGTTATAAAAAATAAGATAATGTCAAATATCAAAATATGAATATATGAAAAAATCTGATATAGATAGATCATAACAGAGAATGCATGAGCATTTAGAATATTGTACCACAAAACTTCCCCTCATGATAGACATTTGTAATCACTTATTTTTGCCTTGCGTTTCAGTGAGAAGAGTGCCAGCTCTAGCTCAGCAGCTGTATGCGTCTCTACTGAGATGTTTGAGAACATAGTCCAGCACCCAGATGAGGCAGTGGGACTAAAGGGACTTGCAGACAGTCATGAGGACCCGGATATGACTAAGTTTTGGCCCTACAATCATCCCGATTATACCAGGTAAGATGAGAATATCTTTTATTTTGTTCCTTAAATGATCAGGAATATGTACCTAAATTTCAAGATTTTCAAAGGTTGATACCAGTACTTGTATTCCTTTTGCAGGCAACAAAAGAGAGAATTAATATGTGGTAATTCAGTGGTATATTGAAGAAAAAAAAGAAAGAAATTTAAGTAATTTGAAACAGACTTATGGATGAATAATTAACCTTAAGATTTCTATTAGTGTAAGGTAGGTAATTAATAAACAAAATGGCTCTTCCTCTCCCACTCGAATTAAATCACATATTGATACAGAGTAGTCAAACCCCAGTCTGCAGTTCTTTGAAAGAGAAATATTTGATAAGATATTGGTACACTTCTCTCACACAGCTCCGAGCTGCATGCATCTTCTCTGCAAAACATCACCGTTGCTTCTCCAGCAGAAGAAGCTGGACACCCCTCCACCAGTCTGCAGGTTGGAATGGTCCAGCACAGGTCGAAGGTCAACACAATCAGGGTAGAGATGATGCCATCTTGTCTGATAGTGAATGAGACAGGCATGGACTTCACCATTCAAGAAGATGGGGGTGAAACTGTCAAGGTGAAGGGAGGGACCACCTGTGCTCCACAAAAGTTCAAAGTGAGTACCTTTTACCGAATGAAGTTTCAAATTGAATGCATGATTTGTCTTCAGGAAATGCCAAACAAGCATTAGTTAGCCCAGGCACAGTTAGATGTAAAGTTCATTGACACAGATTATAATTTGTTTGGATGCAGAAGACTGGCAACATAACTAGCTGGGCATGCTGGTACTGCCATGATCAAGTACAATTGATAGAATTGTGTGTGTAAAATGTTATGACATCACTGCTTGTAACAAAGGAAGGAGTATGACCCATGTGGATGACATTACAGGAATGCATGGCTTCTTTTTTAGTTTTAAATGTAAAGTTGGGTTCATTTTTGTGCAGTTAGCATTGTAATACATGTACCAATATAACAGTTTAATGGTCAATTAAACCTCGATCAGGATTCAACAAATCACTTTTATTTAACATTGTCAAATTTTTCACCCTTAGGCCAAGTTGTCACTGAGCTTGTCTCATGAAGGAGAGGACTATGTCTATAATGATGTGGTGAATCTCCTCAGTGATCCTAACGCCCCTCCAACAAAGAATGAACCTGTCCAGGGACTGCAGCTACAACCAGAGGGACATGGGACCATTGAACTTGTCAGTAGGGGTGTCCATCTCGGAACGCAGAAGGTGATTTATACATTTTATTCATCTTGATACTTTCTTTCATAATCCTCGGTATGTGGTACCGATAGGGCACATTAACATAGCAATTCTGATTAAGTTCTTATCTCTTTATATCGTAAGTAGTAAATATCAGTTTAGGACTGTCAGTTTTGTTACAATTTGATGGAAACAATAAAAATTCACTAATCTGCTAGTTGGTCTCTAATCGAAGGTAAGATTTTGTTTCCAAAGTTATTTTTAAATCTTTTTTTTTGTTGTATATACCCTGTACACAAGTCAATAATTTTACATGAAAATAAAGCAGGATCTCATAAAGAAGACCCTGAAGAAGAACAAACTCTTATAGCAAGGTGATTTTGCCAGTCTCACTTGGTCCTATTTTCATATTTTCTTGGCCCATATTTTATAGTAAGTAAATTAATTTTGGACTTTCAAATGAAAGATGAAATATCCCCCTATACCTTGACCTTTATGTATGACCTTTCAGGTTGTTCATGCTGCGTTGCATTCCACCGTGAAACATAACATCCGGATCCTGACACTCCGACCAAGATTTGTCTTCCAAAACAACTCCAAACAAAATGTCAAGATACGAATGGTGAACCTCAGATCAGAAGAAAAGGTGAGATTGAAGCTTGTTTGTACATGAGTGCCTTGAGTGAAGGCAATGTGCAATTATTTATTTGGTCTTGTGGATGCTTATCTACAAGAACTTATAATGTATACAGCAATATGCTTGTACAACTTATTCTTATTGTAAGTGTGAATTAAATAGTCATAAAAAATGTTAGAAACTAATGTGGTGTTATAAAGTTATTTTGCTTTTATAATTAATGAATTTCGTCGCCTTGGTGGCAGAAGGGCGTTAGCTCGAATTACAGGTAAAAAATGAAACTTTAAGCGTTAGCACTAAATCGGCTCAAACTTTCATAAAACTGACTTATTTCAACAAAAAAATTGTGGTCGTGTTCTACTATTACATTTCTATTATCTTTTAAGTTTTAAACGAATTTTTGGGACGGAAAGCAGTTTAAATATAACACAAATCTTTAAATGTGAATCACTCAAGTCGCAAATGCCCTTCTGCCAGCTGGCCGACAATTTGTGAATAGCATCTACAAGAAAAGAATTCAACATACATTTAGATTATTCCTGTATAAAAATGAGTAGAAATTATAAATGTTGCCCATAAATAGAGTAGCATTTTATGTCCTCTTTTTCTACATAAAGACATCTCATTTTGTTCTCCAATTTATAAAGGTTTCCATCCAAGCAAATACCCTCCAGCCCATCACCATTCCCTCCAAGTCATCAGAACACACCCCTCACCTCAAGTGGGATAGTCCAGCATGCAGCCAGCCAACCGGATCCTTCCATTACCTGTCTGTAGCCTTATCTGACCAATCAGCTGCAGAGGGGGCGTGGCTTGATGAATGGAGTGCTTGGTTGAAGATTGATAGTGAATTCCCGAGGGTCCCAATCACAGTACCAGTAAGTGCTTTGTTATAAGTATTGCAACATTGCTAACAAGTAATTATAAATGTTAAAACTGTTTTGTGTGCAGTTTCCATTTATTCTGCCCTTTTCTACAAATTTATAAAAAATAAGTTTCCCTCCTCTAACCTCAACAACACTACAGAAACTCTTACCGGTAAATGTACTCGGTGACACTCTAGCAAGGTTTCATGTATAAGTAAAATTTGAATGCTATTGCATTATTAATTAATAATAATAATAATACATATGATTTATAAGGCGCCAAATCCACTTGACAGTCAAATGCTCAAGGCGCAGCTTGTGCAAGAGATGAAATACATACATGATACATTTATACAAAGTGCGATAGGAAAGGTACAGACATGAAAAAATTCACATGTAAATCACTGATATTTTTTCCACTAATTTCAGTTCTGCACAAAATCCTTTCAAAAAGCATTTCCCTCTGTGGTCTGTCTCCTGTAGATGGTGGATGTTGTGGTGCTGGATCTGATCAGTATTAGTTTATAGGTTTATTTCTATTAGCTCATGTAGTATTTCAAAATAAATTGTCTGGAACTCATTTGAAATTACTGAACATGTTATTGAAAAGAATTCTTGTTCATTCTGGAGTTGATTGGGGCAGGCAAAACATTGAAAATATACATGTAATGTCAAGGACCAAACCAGATATATGTTCATAAGGAATTTCATTTCCATTCATTAGTGGTATCAATCATTTTAGTGTTGTTGCTCTTTCCTGTTCTATTAAATTGCACTATTCACACATATTTCTTTATTTGTAGCTCAAATCATTTTCAATTTCAGTGAATTCTGTAAGAAAATTAATTATTATTTTTAGTAATGACTATGACTTTAAATTGGTGACTTTTCCCCCAGGTTACGAAGCCCTCAAAGACGTTCCAGTCCAAGAACATTGTTACTTCTCCCATGGTTGCCATGGTGTACCAGCATGAGGGCGTGACCTATGTAACCTTTGACCGCGACCCTTCACCCAAGGTGCTCGTCATCAATCGATGTCCCTTCCCTGTCCATTTGGGGCATTCTCAAGAACACACCAAGGTGGAAGGTAAGAATATTTGCCATTTTTATATTGTTATGGAAGATGGATCATGTACCCAGAAAACTGGGGCAAATGGATGCACATACAATAGATATAATAGTAGTTGTTTAGAGATAGATGCATTCCAAAGTTTGACTGTACTCTCTCTCTCTCTCTCTCTTTACCTCTCTCTTTACCTCTCTCTTTACCTCTCTCTTTACCTCTCTCCTTACATCTACACATGTATTCAACATTTCTGTCCATTAGAATTTTACATTCAATTGTGAAGAGTGAGAGCTGTTTGGTAATACTTGGACACATTACTAAATACCCTGGATTTTCTCATAGACAGATTGCCTGCATTGTAAGCAATATTATACCTGAGCAATATTGTCCCATATAGTGAAGGGAAATTAATAGGCTCTGAGTAGAGAAATGTTTAGTACAAGTTTGATTTTTGATCTTTAATTTATGATCATCATCAGGAAGTGAAACTCTGTACATGCAATAGGTATATGGACAATGAAGAAGCGTGACATTGAGTGAGCTTGAATTATTAGAGAAAATGTTTACAAAGAAATTTGATTAGAAGCAAAGAGCGGTGATCTGTGATCCTGGGGGGTGTTTCTCAACGATCCTAAGTTGGACTTATCAATTATGGAAAGCCATTAGCATCATTGAAAATATTTTGTAAAAGTTATTTCAAAAGGCATAAAATGTTGATTCAAATCATTCATATTTTCTATTATCAAAGAGATTTCATGTTCTTGATGTGGAATTTATGAAATATTTAATTTTAAGGCTACAAATGGCTCTCCATAATGTTTACGTTCCACTTAGGATCTTTGTGAAACACCCCACTGTTCTCTCTTTGTAGAAGCATTAGAGATTGAAGAAGAGTCTGGCCCGATGCCCAAGATCCCCACCGTTCCTTCCAGCTCCGTCATCCATTACAACCCTCCCCTTGAAGCCCAATCCAAGCAGTCCAACGTCCACAAGTTCCACTTTGCGGTCGCAAAACCCCCAGGATCCGTCACCATCCCCTCCTCCCAATCCCTCATGGAAGGAGGGTCAAAGGTCGAAGGTCAGCAGTGGAGTGAAGCGGTGGATATCGTGGACTCGTGCAACCCAACGAGGTCAGAGATCGTTTCCATGCCATCAGGAGGGTATCTCCTGGTCGCCACGGAGTGTGTGGGAACGTTGATTCATATCTTTGTTGATTCGCTGAACTCAAAGGACGAGCAGGTCGAAGATTCGACGCCCGATCCACCTCAGATCAGTCAGTCTATTGGGACTGGAGGTATCATAGTCAAGGTAAAATGTTATATCCATAGTCTCGATGATGGTCGTAACGATGTCATTTTATACCGTAGTCAAAGTAAGATGTAAGATTCTTATTAATATGAACCTCAATCAGTTCATTTAGGATGGCAGTGTTATAGACAAGTAAAAAAAAAAAGAGCATTAATTCTGCCATTATTTCCATCAAATTTGTCTTTGATAAAGTGGTCATGTTATTTTGGCGGTCCCTTGGCTGCGGAGGGGCTCTTAAACTATGTATGCATATTATGTGCCTAGATACAACTATGTGCCTTCACTTGAATATTTTTCTTTACCCTGATTAAGAGACAGAAGCACAAAAAAAAGTTCTTGTATGAAATTTCTGCACCAGTCTTTGATTGACTTGTCTGTATTGATTTCAAGCCAACTCCATTTACAGCCACTAACATCGCGATTATCAAATGACTTATTGTTTGCAGGTGATGAATGACCTGACCCCGGGTCAAGAGGTCAAGGAGATCCTGCGGGTGACTGCTAAAGGGGTCGACTTCGTCATGGTGGCCAGAGAGGACTTGAAGCGCACCAAGGCTCTCCATGCTGTTCATCTCATTTCATTCTCTGTCAAGAAGATCCAGGTTTGTCCCATTCATTCATATTCATGTAGTGCTTTATGATAGTGTTAGTCCCATAGAGTGATATCTATGTTGTGCTTAGTCTTAGTCCCGTAGAATGATATTAATGTAGTTCCTCGATTGCCTGGTTGTGCAGAATGTGTAAACAGCACGTGCCGGCAAGGATGAATCTGACGATGGCTTGATAATATAATTGTGAAGCACATCTATCCTAGGCCGTATGAATCCAGAATATTATAACAAATAAATGTTTGTATCTTTTCATACAATCTCATCAGATTGATAACCAGAGCCATGATGGTGGAGGTTATGACTTCCCGGTCATCTTCAGAGGTCACAAGAGGAAAGAGGACAAGTTCCTGCCCGACATTGACCACACCTACCAGCTGACCCCTGAGCGGTGGTACAACTTTGTCTACGCTGAAGCGCAGGAGAACAGAGAGGGCAGTTTCTTCTGGGCTCACGTCTTCGTGGAAAGTAACGAGGGCTTCGGTGATCGTCTGCGCAACGCGGAAGTCGCTTTCCACAACATGGAGGTGTACATCGAGGACCAGTTTCTCCATAATGCCAAGAGCCTCGTGAAGACCTTCTCCCCGGTTGGTCTGGTCAAGAAAGAGCCCTCTGCAAGGTGAGTGATTTCTGTTCTACGTTTGATCTGTTATCTTGCAATGACCTCACTACTTCTAAATCTTAGATTTGATAGAAATTTACTCTTATCTCTTTCGTTATGTATATAGGTTGGTTATTTTGTCTTGTTGCAATCAAAGTACAGTAGGTTCAAGCTAACCAAAGGCTATTCTGCAAAACCAAACTTAACCATGTGCAAAGCTATGCAATAGTTTCATGTTTGCAGAATTTCATGCCTTGCTCAATTGAGCATCAACATGTAATTTAACAATCACGTAAAGTTTTATTATTGCATTGTGATTTCCATGTGACAGACTTCACAGGTGTTTTTTTTTAGTTAGTACCTTCTGCAATGGCATTAACACAATGAATTTGTCCTAATCCTGATTACTACTTAGGTAATCCAGATGATCTTTTTTTCAAGGCTTGTGATGATCTGTCCATTGAGCCACCACAATGCTTCGTGCTAGAACAACTCAGCATAGATTTTACTTGGCTCAACAATGTCTTTTTTTTTCAACATGAAAACCACCTCATTTTCATTTTCAGTTCTGGCCCCCCTTCAGCGGTCAAGCTAGCCATGGATGCCTTGAAGTCCCCTATCGGCCTTCAGCAGCTGACCATCCTACCCATCTCCTTGACCGCCAGTGTCCACGCCTCACTCAAGATGTTCCTCTCGCTTGACCAGACCAGACTTCAGTTCCAACGCTATGAGACGGGACCCATCTACGCGACCCATCGACAGCTGGGTCAGGCCCTGACGCTGCATTACACGTCGGGGGCGCTGTTCAAAGCAGGTGAGGGCTTTCATTTGATCAGTGTAGGAGGACCTGTTTCACAAAGCCTTTTTTCAATGACAAATGACAAAAATCAGTGACAAATCTGCTGATAACCAATCAGAAGCCAGGATTTCACTAGCTTTATAATAAAAACTGTAATTTGTCACTGATGACAAGTTTCATGAAATGGAGCCCTGGTCTTCCAAATTATGCTCCTGCATCATTTACAGCGGGCTTTGGGTCAGGTTTTGGGGATATGACAGGGTTTATGTCTTGGTGTAGGTTTTTGTAATTCTACTTGTAGGTTAGAAGAGGAGTGGTTATATGAGGACATGAATAAGGAGGCTGTTTTGTTGGACTGCTAAAGGGATCCAATGCTAATACTTATTGTGCTTGAAATGTGATGGGTTCCATGCTGGTGTACAAAAATATCTATCAGCTCATGTGAAAAGAAATTAGGATTTTGTAATAATCTGCAAATGAAGATGAATGTAGACCACTTGATGGAGCGAAACACACATGGAAACCACATCTGACTGTTAAATGTTATCCATACTGATTCACAGTTGAGCTATAGGAGTTAAAGTTTGGCGTTTGGTTTTGTAAATAATGGCAATGCATAAATTCTTTTTTGATTGATCCGCCCCTTTAATTTCTGTTCTTTTATATGTCAATACAGGTTGGGCTATTGGGTCATTGGATCTGATTGGTAACCCGGCTGGTTTCCTTCGTAGCGCCCGTACAGGACTCTATGACACGATGTACCTGCCCTACGAAGGTCTGACCAGGGGACCCAGTGCCTTTGTGTCGGGCGTGGCTTCGGGCATGTCATCCTTAGTGCGCCATCTATCAGCTGGTAAGAACATGATCTTTAAAGCCTGTCTGTACTAGTTAGACCTTCCTGCAAGGTCACTGACAGGTGGTTATCTGATCAAATCAGCTCTCAATTAAGATAAGAAAAAGGCGATCATGGGGGACCAACAGGCACTGAATAGGCATTGTTTGCTACATAGAGGGCGCAAGTAGCTATAAGTAGTGTATTGGGGCTTGAAACTAAACAAATTTAAGGCAGTTAAACACACTTTTTTTGCAATCCCCTTGTATATAACAAGGTCACCTGTATGCAAGTACCATTTAACAGAATATGTGAGCCTCAGATTTTGGATGTTGATGAGTTAAAATTTGGTCCCCGGACATTAATATACTATATTCACATTGAATTTATACAATTCAATCAAACTTAAATGCACCCCAGACCATTTTCTATTTAATTTGAGCAGCATTCAGGTTATACATGTGGCCAAAAGTCTCCATATTTGAATTGTATCATACTGCTACTGTGTTGAGGAATGAGTTATGGCTTGTTTACTAGAATGTCATAATTCTTATTGACACGTTCCCACTTGATTTCTATACAGGCACGCTTACCTCCATCACAAAGTTTGCGTCCAGCATGTCGCGCAACCTTGACCGGCTCTCGCTGGATGCTGACCACGTGGCCAGACGCGAGGAAGAGAGACGTCGGGTCCCAGAGGGAATGTCGTCTGCCATCGCCCAAGGGCTCAGTAGCTTTGGAATCAGTTTGCTAGGTGAGCTTGAGGGTCATGTAATTTGTTTACTTCAGACAAATCCTGTCTAGAATGCCACTGCACACCCACGGGCAACAGCAACGGGTACTATTTTAATTGGAATCAAACACCAATAGATTTATAAAGAATTAAATCAAGAAAAAGTATACGATTGAGAAAATATAAACATCATCCATCATTACATTTCCACTGTTGGAGAGAAATATCGTATTTTGATTCAAATGTAACCTTTTAAAAGCTAATTCTTAATGTATTATATTCATTTATTAAACATGTAAATTGTAGATATGTTTGAATGTCGAGGGATTGCCTGTGTTACAAAGACCAACCTTGATTTGTATTCATGCCGTTTCGTCCGTTCCTTTTAATAAATATGTCTATATTGTAAATATATATATATATTTATTGCAAGTATGTGGCATAAATTTGGTACTGATCAAATCCAATTCCACTTCTCAGGAGCCATTGCTGGACTGGCTGACCAACCTCTGAGGAGCTTCCAAGGCGTCGGCTCGGACCCCTCCTCCGCCTCCCCTTCACAGCGAGCTAGAGGTGTGATATCGGGTGTGGGCAAGGGGCTGGTTGGGGCAGTGGTCAAACCCCTGGGCGGGGCCGCGGAACTGGTGGCCCAAACTGGACAGGGTAGGTAGTAGAAAAGATGGCAAGCAGTTTTCCAACAAGTCGAGAAGAGGCTATTAAGCAGTTTAGTCCAGTTCCAGTGGCTGTATATATATATATATATATACATGTATATGTAAAGAATATATGAAGAAAATAGAAATTGGGTAGTTAAAATTCAGTTTGTGGGTTGGGGCTAGGTTAATCAACTTTAATCTGCTTTGTGTGCAGGCTTTTAACCCCATAGCTATTTTATTTATATGTGAATCTACACAAATTTGTTGATAATGAAAAATCTGCTATAAATCATTTTTTTTTTTTTTATAAAAGCCGTTTGTCATTTGAATCTGACTTGTATTGAGGCACATTTGCAGTTAGTATTCAACTGTCAGTTTATGAATTAAAGAAAAAACATCTTTGAATACAATTTGTACAAACCCAGCTGGACTCATTCTTATAGAGATGTTGTTAAACTCTTGCCCAAAGCTTGCCAAAGTCAATTGAGTAATTGTAATACAATATTGAATGTTGCATATCTCTTTCAAAGCTTATTTTGGCCAGCTCCAAAATGCTGTTATAACATGTTATGTTTGCATACCTATGTCTGTGTGTATATGAGGGAAAAACAGTCAAACTTGTGGACAGATAGCTTTTAAGAAAAAGTCCACCATGGTATTATCTTGGTTTTTATAAAAGCAACAAAATGAGAGAAATAGATTGGTGAAAGTTTGAGCAATATGCGATTGTGATAAAAAATAGGAAAGTTATGAATTTTTGCCTGTATTTTATTCATAACTTTCTTATTTTCAATCGGTTTTTACTCCTTGTTTTCTCTCATTTTTTGCTTCTATTAAAACCAACTTAATATAAGGTGGACTTCCTTTTATTGTTTTTTCGTGTTGCCATCGTTAATTTAGGCACATTTATATTCTTTTTTTAAATTGGTGAAAAACCATCCACAAAGCTTTGTGATGGCATTTTGTTGTTTGAAGGGAGGAAATATTGAATGGAAATGTTGACCTGTAAGATTTTACTGCTGTAAATGCTTCATGATTTTGGCAAAGCTCTTGTACAGTTAAGATTAGTTAAAGGATGCATGACTAAATGAAGAGATGTAACACCGTGAATAGGTAAGGCTTTTTCAGTGTCCAGTGTCGGTAATAACATTGATGATGTCTGTATTGCTTCCAACTTAGTTGCATTACCCTGCAACTCTTTAAATTTGTCAAGTGAATGTTAATATTGCACTCTGATAGTTGTTATTTGTTTTTTTAAGTCACCCATATCAATTTTATTTTGTGCTACATCTACTTTGTTTATTCATGCATCTGTTTGAACTCATATGGTTTTATTTATTTATTTATTTATTTTTATTTTTTTTAGTTGGAAATGATAAATACAGACCTTTCCTAGTATGTTTTGAAAGCAATTTTTTTTAAAAATAGGATATTGAACATTTTGCACACACTGCACATGTTTTTACTGTATATTCATTTATTTTTGTGATTGCTATTTCAATGTTGTTTGAGATGTAAACTGAACATCTTTTTTATTCATTTACATGTATTTTGTGATTTGTTCTATTTTCAGTATATCATTAGATCAAGCATATTGTTTTAATTGAGTATGACTTGTTTGTATACTTTACTTTAAAACTTAATGATGCAATAGTTTTCAATTGGGCAATGTGTGATCAGGCAAAGGATCAAATTCAAAGTAAAAACTGAAATTCATGTATTTTCCACATAATTACTCATGAAAATGTAACAATTTTTTACATTTCACAAAACTGAAATTATGTTCAAACTTCATAATGAATATATTATAACTAACAATGGACAGAGACTCGATAAATAATTTTAAATATTTTTTAAAATCATGAAATTAAACAAAAAAATGTTGGCATCGCTTTTGTTATAACTGTCCTCATACTCAAATCGATCTTTTGTATTTTCTTTTCAAATGATACATTTAGGTATTCTGCATGGGACGGGACTTGAAGAGAAACTAACACCCATAGGAGCACAGTACATTGAGCTGAGAAGCACAGCCATGAATGCCAGACTCAAATATGAATGGTAGGGACTGAGGAAGACATTTAATCTTGGCTTTATTTAAGGGGTTTCATATAAAGGGCTAGGTTTTGGTTGCATTTAGGTTAGCTTAATTCAATTCAATTCCATAGGACATCAAATAAAACATCAGATTGCACATTCATAAATTATTACATTTGAACAAGAAAAGGAGGACAAAAAAAAGTATACACTTGAAATTAGGAAGCCTCGAGATTATTACGTTGTATGTACATTCTTGTTTTTCTTTTTTGCCTCTCTATGTGAACAATCTATGTCACATTTCGATAGTTGTACCCCGAGTCGCTGATTCGCGACTCTGCATACAATTTCATCTGTATCCTCCCAATGATCAGCTACTTCAGGTTCGGCGATCCAGTAGAATTTTAGGCAATTGCGCTGGAGTACTGTTCTGCTTCATTTGCTGCAATTTTGAGGTTTTTAATAGCATCACTATGTTGTGATATGTGCTCATTCAGGCGGCGAATTTCGTTATCTTTTGATACCAGACTTGCTTCTAATTCCAGCATTTTCCCCGTCGTTTCGCTCGAGGTGATCCTTTATGTTACATGTTGCTTGCTCGAGATCAGTCAGCCGTTGAATCAACTTGTCGAGAACGTTGTTAATAGCCCTCTCTATTGTCGAATAGATAGAGCTTTGGAAGGGATCGCTTTGTAAGTACATGTAGGACTGAATAGTGGTAGAAAGCAAATCCAATGATGATGATGATGCTTCACCTTTGTTTGATGCTTCATAGGGGGGATTTGAGCAAGATGGGGTTGCCATTTCTGATGTAGAAGGCCACATGCTTGAATCATCACAAGTAACTTAAGAATGAGAACCCTTCATAGAGCTTGATCTTGTAGTTGGTTTAGACATTATGAAGCCTTATAATAATGATCCAATAACCAGGATAGGAGATATATCTATATCCAACAACATAGACTCTTCAAGCAAGTGTCACATCCACACAATAGTAACTAATATGCCACACAAAGTGTCAGACGAATGAGCAGACAAAGTAATATAAGTTTCTTGATAATAATGTCTCGAGCAGTAAATCACACATTCAATATTTATGAAACAGATCTAATAATATATCCCATGCATTCACTTACTGTTTTGCGATAAGCGTCACATCATAGTACTGTGCATCACACTGACAACAACAATAATGTACATTTGGGACTGAGCTATAGAAGGTTGCGTTATAGTTCTAAGCATCTACCTGGCCGAAACTCTGCGGGAACGTCACAGAGACCGGGCCGCCTTGGTAATCGACCGAACCCTGGCCCCACTGGGACGGGCCAACTGACTTGGAAAATCCAGCTCCACACCCAGATAGACCAATCTGTGGGCCGGAACTCTGCGGGAACGTCGCAGAGACCAGGCCGCCTTGGTAATAAACCGAACTCTGTCCCCACTGGGACGGGCCAACTGACTTGGAAAATCAAGCTCCGCACCCAGATAGACCAACCTGTGGGCCGGAACTCTGCAGGAACTTCGCAGAGACCGGGCCGCCTTGGTAATAAACCGAACTCTGTCCCCACTGGGACGTGCCAACTGACTTGGAAAATCCAGCTCCCCACCCAGATAGACCAACCTGCAGGTGGGTGACAACTCTGATTTGTCCCAGTCCATTAGAAACCCTAGTTCCTGCGTGAACTGCAGTAGAAGACTCAAATGCTCCCGAAGGCGAAGCTCTGAACTGGCCACCAGAAGCCAATCGTCCAGATAGGCGAATAGCCTGAGACCCTGTCTCCGAAGGAACGCCGTGAGCGGCTGATTCTGCGAATCCTTCTCGTCGAATTTCACTTTAAGTCTTCAGTAGTAATTTCTTCAATCAGTCTTTACTCATGTTTTCTCCATCTCCAATATGCCTCCATTTTCAGCAATTATGAGTGAAATTAAGGGTGAAATATATGTCCTGCTATGTTCCGCCGATCATGTTGGATCCAGCAGGTACTGGTAACTAAAATTTCAAATTTCAAATTTATTCATGTTTCCAACAAAACATTACAAATCAAATATAAGCATTTAAAACAAATTTAAAATAATGATAGACAGTTATCAATTACAAAAACAAACAACAACACATCTTTCAGAATTATGACCAAAATATGTAATCAGTGTTTCACTACACCAAAACATTTGAATCATTAACTTTAAGACATTGCAAATGCCCAAAGTGTATAAACTGGATAAATAATAAATTCCTTACAGATATTAATCAAACTGAATAGATCATAATTCTTCGTTAATCAGGTTTCTCTCCATCAAAACCTAATACAAATTCATTAGCGCCCAAATTCCCAACTACAATAGTCACACTCCAAGGCCCAATTGACCGTACACACAAATGCATTCTACACGCACCCAATTCCTCTATGTGTAATCTACTTGTACATTGAGAAGTCACACCCTCTTAACATTACATAACATCTTTCTTGCCTTAATTTACACCTTTCTGTAAACAAATATCATGTTCTTTGAACATATTCATAAGCCTTTATATAGTTATACTAATTTGTTTAAACCAGGATATGAACAAAACATAGCAGCGATTTTATCAAATAACACAATTAAACACACATCAAAACTAAGCCTTGCTTACCTATAAGCGGGGTGGAAGCGGGGTGAAGGTCACGATTCTAAAGCCTGCCACCCACAACCTTCTTGAGGTGGGGGTCTTTCTAAACTATCTATAAATGTAACTGAAGAAAATGCGGGAGAATCGTTTATTTCAAACCCCCATTAAGGGTTAATGGTCGGGTATAAAGGTGTTGGTATAGTTATTTTTGTTAGAAATTACCTTATGGAAGTTGGACCATTTAATGTGGTTTAACTGTGGGAGTTATACCAAATAATGTAAGCCACATCAAATGGAAGGATGCTGCGAAATATGACCGTCCAAGATGTAAATGTAGATTTCAATAAAAAATATTAAGTTTATAAATATTGCATGATACATGTATGTTATGCCTTTGAAATGTCACATCTTTGGAAAATATTTTCTTTTGCCTAGAGGAAGGGGATAACAGAAAATATGGAGTTCTTTGTACAAAGGGGACTTTGCAATCATCTTGGTCCTGTTTCATAAAACTTGTTATCAATAATGAATTTGCTCTTAGCCAATCAGATGCCACGATTTCAGTAGCTTATAATAGTTTTCTTAACTTGTTATTGATATCAAGTTTTATGAAACAGACCCCTGAAATTTTTCTCTTTTGCGTCTTGTAGGAAGATGCTCCGTAGCCTCCCGACTTCAGAGATCCTCTACCACGTCGACATCACCTCCACGACTGTCCAAGGACTGCAGCGTGGGGGCGCCCTACTCCTCACCCCTGAAGTTCTGTACGTTGTGAGTTCAAGCGAGGACATGCAGCAGCTAACCCTTCCCCTGTGTGACATAGAGTGTCGACCGATCAGGTTCAATGAGAAAGCGCTGAAGGTTGTGGTCAAGAGCCCTACAGCTGTTATGAAAGAAAAGGTAAAAAACTTTGTGTTTTTTAGGGTGGGGGCTATTTCTCAATATTTGAATAACATGTGTAGCATTGAATGCTTGAACATTATATCATGACAATTTGGCTATGAAGGAGAGCTAATGATGTATGTAGCATCATATGTCCCTCAGCGAAGGTTCTCCATAAATCTGATCATAATGATAACAACAATAGATGCATGCAAAATGTGCTATTTTTTCTGTAGGATACGAAGTAGCGAATAATATTCCATTATTATTTGTTGCATTCTTTTGAGAATCATTACTAAGAAAAATCAATCAAAGTAATGTAATGAAATACAGCACACAATGCCTGCATTAATGGGCATAGGCTCACAAAAATGAAATCCATTGTAGTTATTCAGAAATATTCATATGGACCCTAGTGTGCTCCTTCAGTCCTCTAAGAGATGCAATATTATAAATACTTTAGCAAACTGGTACTAAAAAATTGAAGTAGTTAAAACCTTAGTGTAATAGTACTTTCAGTTGTTGAATGCTTAGTTTTTTTTCAATGTTTTTTTTTTTTTGTCGGATTAGGCTTCTATACCCTCTTTGAGAATGAAGATCACTATGAAAATACTCATTTCTCTTTTAGAAAGAAAGTTGAGCTATTCTTGGTCCAGCATACAGTTCACCATAGGTGTTTTGGCACAAGATTTTTTACCATTGGCACTGAATGAGTTGAAATTATTGATTGATGAAGGAGTATTGTACAAATGTTTCTACAGACCCCTCCGACAGCAGACCGCGTGGCAGACTACGTGGCTGCAACCTCCGACACCTCTGGCCACGAGGACGAACCGGCGACCCCCAACTCCGACAGCCCGTCCGAAGCATCAGGTCAAGGGTCGCAGGAAGTCCAGCGCTCGTACCAGTACAGCATGCAGATGGCCCACAGGGAAACCTTTCTGGCGATGTACTGCGTGGCCAAGAATCGGCTGGAAGGAGTTGGGTTCTGTTACGACGAGGGTGACAACATAGAGTATAGACAGTGGCAGCTGGCGGCAGAGAAGGCCAAGGCGACCGAGATGTAGTGTGTGTGTGTGAGTGATAACGGTGATGACGGTATCCTTTTCATTTTTCCAAGCTTATGAGTTAACTTTGAATAAATTTCATGAAAGATCTTAATATTTGGGGGATGTATTTCATGAGTGATAACAGTATTGAAGATATCCCATTGTTCATTTTCAAAATTTGTTTGCGAAAGCATTTACATACAAACATAGATCTACATATTTGGGACTGTAGAATTGAATGTTATATCCAACAGCCATGAGAGTTTCAGTAGTGATTCAAGAAACTCTATAAAAAAAATTCTAATCATTTAACTGTCATCTTTTTTACTGTCAGTCAAGTTGCAGGAGTGGAAAACTTGATGACGGTAACAGAGAAAATGATAAAGTAGCATGTTATGTTTTGGGGTTGTTTTTTTTTAACCTTCATTTGTTTGTCAGTCTTTGGATGGTTCTTGGCTGCACATATTTCATTGGTCACCGTCTTATCTGAGAAAAACACATGCATTATGGTTGGATATAGATTGTGGATCATTACATAATTTCATGTGGCACGATTGATGTACATGTATTAATTATCACTTTACAGATATATTAGAGTGAAAACCCACCTTGAATTGCTTTGATTGATAAATGTCTGTCTTATTGATTAATGTCTGTCTGATTGAGTTCAATGAAAAAATAAAAAAAATCATGAAGAAGAGAGATTTGAAGAGTTGAAAACTATATGTGATGACTGGACTATTTGATAGAACACTAGGTCATGTGATAGATGATTACCATTATGGAATGAAATTCCAAGTGTATATAAGAAACAAAAATATTTATTTCTCTATAATTTATTTGCATTCTAACATGTTGGTGTAGATCACCGTAATATATTCCAGCGAAAGGAATCTGGATGAAAAAAGTGATTTTATTTCAAATGAAACTTCATTTTTTTAATAATTTTCTATGTTTTGTACGGTACTCAAAAGGAGGATTAGTATATCTTCAACATACATGTTTGGGGTTGTATTAATATTTAAAGGCTCTAAATGACAACGAATTTTGATATTTCTTTTCTTACTTGTGTCATCATTTTATATTTTACTGAAGTATTTTAGCGGTGTGATGTGCTAGCTATGTTCAATGAAGGTTGTTTTTGTTAGAGATATATTGCTTTTACTGAACAAATATTTCAGGTTTATTATGAAATAACAGGTTAATACTAAAAAGAGCTTGATGAAAGAATACAATTTGAAGGCCTTACAGTGTAAAGATACATATGAACAACTCAGAAGAAGGAAGTTTAATTGAAATAATTGAATATGTAGTATGTTTTTCTTTGACTTTGGTTTTGCATTACAGTTTTTAAAGTCATGCTTACATTTACTTTTTTTTAAACAGCGAGAAACCTCATTTACATAATGATTGCCAATGTAAAACATGGCTGTTTGATGTATGTTTTGAATCGTGTGAACTACAGTGTATTACAATCATTCATACTTTAAGTTGGTACTGTACATTTATCGTCACTATTGGACATTTTTGCAATAAGTTTGTTTATATTTCTAAAAGACAGATCGTTTATTATTTAATACATGAGCAAATGCTTATGATTAAGATTAACATGTGAATGAGCTTTGGAAAATGTTCATTTGATTTAATAGGCAAAGATTTATCCATGCCAAAATAAATGAAAATGAGATTTAAGCATTCACAAGATTACGTAGTGTGGAAATGCAGGAATCTGTTGCAGAAATGTTATGAAATATTTTTGTTCTTTTTTGTTGTTGTTGATATGGTGTTGGTGGATCCTTTTTTTTTTGCTTGGGGGGGGGGGGGGGGTGAAACCCTTGCCCATTTATTTTCCATTTATGACATTCCACAATAAAGCATTTTATATATCTAATGTCAAATTCATTTAATTTTTTTAGTTCAAATTAAATATCTTTATAATAAAGACTTTATTTTATTAATTTCCTTATCTACGTAATATTGCAATTTAAAGTAATTGCTAAATGTTTTTGGAAATTCTCTCTTGCTGAATTGGGCATGAATATATCTCAAGAATATTAAGAGAAAAAACGAATATGCTTCAAAAAGGTACCTTACATATCATGTAGATGTTGGCCATGTTAGTGCATAATATATTTATTTGAAAATTAATTTAGATGTCTTTCAGTTCGTCATCATGCGACAGATATTGATTTTTCCAAAGTTCAGTTGTGAATTTCTGCCAAATCAGCATTTTCATTTTGTGATAAGTTTATAAGCTTATTTTATGTATGACCTTGATGGTAAATTGGAAAGAAATGGTTTTGTTCTACTATATGTATAAGAAGATAAAACAATTATAAACTACCAGCACGTTTCTTTCTCTTTCGTGAAAAAATATGGTTTGCCAAGAGAACGAGATGATATGAATGAGTTTGATGAAGGTATGAAAAGACAGGTGTTGAAAAGGAGAAAGTATGGAAGAAAAAGAAAGCATGACTTGCAGGAGGTGGCATAATTTTTTATAGAAAAGGAGAAATTTGGGGAGAAAAGAGGGATGAGGTATATGGGAAGAGGTGTGTGAGAGGGAGAGACAGAAGGACACTTGGGGTAACTGATCAGTTCCTTTTCATTGTCAATTTATTAACGCTCAAACATAATCAATTGAACTTACAATATTATTTCCTCAATCAACAATACATACAAAAAAGTACACATATAAAACACAAGTGAACTCGCACAAAAATGAGGAGGATCGAGGGTTGCATCTTTGTTGCAAATAAACACAGCTCACATGTGATATAAAAGATTGCCACAGTAGCAAAGAACCTCGGTGCACTGCCTTATTTCTTCAAGTTTTGGGCTGGAGTGGAGTGCTAGCTCCAAACTTGCAATGATAGATCTCACACCATCCCTAGTGAATGTACATGTTTTGAACATCTCAGAGTCATTGAACATGGTGAATGGGTGAGATCTATCACAGAATACTCTTTGTTTCCTCGGTGTATTCACCTCCAGCATAGCTAGCAGTGCCGCCATATTGATGCTGAGTGGTTTCTATAACACTTACCGCACCTAACGGAGCTACGGTAAGTGCTTGATGAAACGGGGCCCCTGCCCAACATACATGCATGGGCACATTTGTGTGATGGGGGGGGGGGGGGCAATGGCTTCACTACTAACACTCTACTTTCATATTCATATAATGCTTATGCCTTCTAATGTTCAGTCTAAATTTAATCATGGCAAAATTTTATCAACATTTTAGCAATAATGAGGTCATTTTCAAAAGAAAAGGCAGCTCTATCATGTGGATAGTAATACAGTACAAAACAAATGGTTCCATGTTTGATCAATCATTAAGTATACATTAAGTTTACATGAAAGATAACATATCGTGAATAGTACCGGTAAATAGAACTGTGTAGATTAGACCCTTTACACATTGCAACAAATAAGAAAGACAAAAGAATCATACATTTTTATGTATTTGCAAACAAGGTTGCTACATCAACACTGGGCCATTAATCATAAATGTAATTTACAATAAGAAAGCATATGAGGTCCGAGGAGAAGGAATGCAACTTTGAATTCCAGAGTATTTTCTTCTTTACTGAAAATGTTGTCAAGGAATAGTACATGTATATTTTGCACAGTAGAGTAGAAACTTGTTATAACAAGGGCATTGGCACCTTGAAAATTACCTTGTTATATCTGGTGTCTTGTTAATTTGGGGTAAACAAACAAAATTAGAAAGCTAGCAACAGCAAACCATTTGATATGAAGTATCTCGCTATATTACAGCTCTTTACATCGAGTTTACACTGTATACTGGTAACAAAGTAGGGCAGGGTTTTAAGTAAAATAAGACAATACAAAATTTGCTTTAAACCATTCTATCACTTTAAATCATGATTAAATCATTGTTATGATCCAAACTTCTCTGCAACACCGTTGTACAGTCTGATATCTTGAACAGTATCAAAATTAATAAGTATTTGTCTATGACATCATTTATTGCAATTTATCAAAATTATTCTATAAACAACTTCCCTTTATATTGGTATAATTGAGCTAATGATTACTACACAGGTTTAAAAGTGAGATTCAATATATTTAACTGTTATGATGCCCTAGCTTCATGATGAAATCAGATGTAATAGACTTAGGGCATTATTGTGAATAGGAAATCACCATTCGCACTGCATAATGCTTCATTGCGTCACAAGAACTGGTCTCCTGTTTCCCACTCGATAGATTCTACACAAAGTGGCTTTGAAAAACCATGGTGTAGCCACACTTATACTTATAGAAAGCATGAACACAAGCTTAAAAAGAAGACATAAACCTGTATTCAAATTTCAATACTGAACATGATTTCTTGTTAATATATCCAATATGTACATATTTAGCATATTTAAGACCTCTGTTGCATAACACCAGGGGGGTGTTTCACAAAGATCCTAAGTTATCTCTAAGAACTTATCTCAAAGTTGGACATTACAATTTGCAAAAGTTATTTTAAAAGGCATAAAATGTTGATTCAAATCATTCATATTTTCTTTTGTCAAGGAGATTTCATGTTCTTGATGTGGATTTTATGAAAAGTATAAATACTTGAGCTTTTGCTTTTGAATAACTATTTTATTCTAAGGCTACAAATGGCTCTCCATAAATTTTAAGTCGAACTTAGAGTTAAGTTCGACTTAGGATCTTTGTGAAACACTCCACTGGTGTCCCAAAACCTCCCAGAAGCCATTAGTCTCAGTGAACATGAGCCCCAATCACACCCTGACATGCAGGCACAAATACATACCGGTATATGTTTTAATATATTGACCAGGGGCTGCTTTGCCTTTTTAACCAATCACAACTAACCGATCAGATCACTTTGAAAATGGTCTGCCGGTCACGTCACTGATTTGCCAGACATCTTGACACTCCATTCTCAATTTGACACCATACGGTGAAGCGAATCAAGTGAACAAAAATGGTCTCGGGCAGGTCAAGGGTCACTTTCGATTTTGGTGCAACAGAGGTCTCATATCTCTTTGCATCAGAAAAAAAAGCCTACATTAAATCAAATAGTGTGGTCGGATTCTTAAGGTGGTTCTTCCATGTATCTCTTGGATGTGAACGGCTCTTTAATCAATCTTAGAATACATCAGATCTGTGTCCGGCTTGTTTTCTGGTGAAGAGAAAGAAAAAGAAAATAAAATGATAACAGTACAGAATGATTGTGTGGGTAAGAGACAATAATAGAGAAAGAGAGAGAGAAAAAGAGAAGAGAGAGGGGGTGAGAAAGAGAAGAGAGAGAAAGAAAGGGGAGGGAGAGAGAAAAGAGAGAGAGATAGAAAAGAGAGAGAGAGAGAAAAGAGAGAGAGAAAAGAGAGAGAGAGAAGAGGAGAAAGAGAGAGAGAGAGAAGAGAGAGAGAGAGAGAGAGAGAGAGAGGGGGGGGAGGCATGTTATATAAATAACTGATACTGCATGAGCTTCCATTCCAATCATTTCTTCATCCATGCATTAATAAAGCATTTGAAACCCTGTCAAAGAAAGGCTTTTTAAAAAAGACTGAAAAATACCCATACTGGTATTCGCCAACATTGTTTGCAATGAAAATGGCTGCCATCAACCATTGAGAAGCGTTTAAAGGGGCATTCTCTCTGTGGTGTTAAAAAATCAAAATATCCATTCTTAGAGGATGCTAAATCTTGATACTCACTCCCAAGGGCCAAGTTGCATCGCTCAGATATGAAGTACAAGCCCGCTAGGAACAGAGCGGTGACGACCACAAAGATCCCAAAGTAGATGCCTTCTAAGACTTGGAGGAAAGGGTACACCCATAAATCTTTCACAAAGCCAAGATACAGCATCCTGCAAGGAGAATTAGTGAAATATAGAACATCAGGGAGGTGTTTCACAAAGATCCTAAGTTGGACTTAACAATCATGGAAAGCTGTTAGCATCTTTGAAAATATTTTGTAAAAGTTATTTTAAAAGGCATAAAATATTGATTCAAGTCATTCATATTTTCTATCATCATTGGAGATTTCATGTTCTAGATAGAGAATTTATAAAAAGTCCAAAATACTTGAAATTTGCTTTTGAATATATTTTATTTTAAGGCTACAAATGGCTCTCCATAATTTTTAAGTCCAACTTAGAGTTAAGTTCAACTTAGAATCTTTGTGAAACACACCCTGGTTGGTCAACAGGAAAGTCCACCCTGATTTTAAGTTGGTTTCAATTTAATTTAATTTAATACAATCCCTGTATGAAACAAGTATATTCTGTCATCAATTACTAAGAAAAATGAAAGTTGATGAAAGCGTCTAGGTACAGAGCAAATTGGAGAGGAGCTTTTGCCAGATGCATCACAGTGTTGCCAATTTATGTTTCACAGATGAAAACTTCAAAAGTTGATAACTTTCCTATTTTTCATCGGATATTGCTCAAACTTTCACTTATTTGTTTCTCTCATTTCCTGTTTTTTATTAAAACATATATCCTATCCGGGTGGACTTCCCCTTTAAGGATGTGGTAGGTGCAAAGTCTGGTGCCTTTGAATGTATTTTCAACAGGAGTATGACACCAAATACATGCTGTGAATCATCATCATCACATGATATGCAATCATTTTCTTTCTTTTTATTACTTGTGTAGGGAAGTATCTTGGAAATGTTGTTGTAGCCAAGCATGTGTATAAGCCAGTTCATAGTTGCAGTCTGAGCATGAGCAGATAAAGGTTATTGCAGACCAAATTGTGAAATATACAGAGACAAAATACTGGATACATGCTCATGAAAGTTATATACCGTAAACATTATTTATTTATGCACAAGCAGTTCACTCCATGATACACAGGTGGAAGTATTCTTTGGAAAGGGGAAACCAAGGCTCTAATATGTAGCACCTCCATTGCTGTAGGAGTGATTATTTAAAAATGTACAAAGTGGGACCTCTTCATGTTTTGAAGATCTGTGGATATTAGGGGTCATTTGGGATACGTGCTAATCGTGAACTGGTCTATTGTATGGTTCGCAGTAGCCTTGAACCTTGAAAATCTGAGAAAGTCATTATTAAAAGGATATTGAAATGAGATATCTTACCATAATAAATAAGACAAACCAACGAACAGTAATCCCATCATCCCAGACTTCCTTGATGGCTGTGTATGCTTCAACAGGTATGCCTCTATCAGTAGAATGAAAACTATGTATGTGTGCTGAAAACAGAAGAAAATACAGACAAGATGCAATAATAAGCAAATGAACTGTTTTGCTTTCCAAATAGCAGAACCAGCATTCAACACTACCCACCAACCCTTACTACTTACAAAAGGACAAATGCGACTGCTTCTCCAATATGCCTCTGCAAAAATTCAGTCCCAAATTCATGGCTTAAATTATTCTTGGAATATCACAAGGAGAACCAAAAGCATAAACTTACATGTCAAATAATCTTTAAGACCTTTGACCTTAAAATCTGCAAAACTGATCATTTGTCGTCCTACAGTGATGCATACTAATTATAAGTTTTAAGTTTGCAGCTAAGATAGCTAAAAATAGTCATTGATTTTGTCATAACAAGGTTTTTAATAAAGCCCTGTTTTTTCAAAAATTAACCTCTATGACCTTTGGCCTTTGACCTACTTACCTCAATATCATCACGTTTAAAGCTCATACATTTAGTGGTTCCTGAGATATTGCAATAACGAGACTAAAACATGTAATTTCATAAATTGCCCATTATGACCTTTGACCTTAGACCCAATTTCTCCAAAATCTGATCAGATCGTCTTCCTATCGTGATACATACTATCACTGAGTGTAAAAACTCATAGCTCAAGTGGTTCTTGAGATCTTGTGATGAGAATGTGGAACTGACAGACATCCAGAAAACAATACCTTCACGGGCGGAGGCATACAAATTAATTCTACTCTCCATCATCACACTAATAATCTCCGCTTATATAAAATCATTCCCACTACTTACCATACAATGACTGAGCCACATTGGGTAGATGCCTTGGATTCGTTCAGGGTAGATCAACTCTCTGTCCACAGCATAGATCCCCCAGTACATCAGTGCTACAAGCTGAACAGGATGAAAAAGACAGTGGGCTGTATTCTGAGCATGATTTGATCTCTAAAATAGTTATTTTATCTTTATAAAACAATTGGTATTCTGATAACAGTTTTTATCTCAGATTTTATCTTTCATTTGATCTCAATCTCTCACTTCTTGTTTACCCATTACAGTTATACACATCATACACGCAGCTTTAACACTACGCCCATCTTAGTTGCTACCTCTCTATAAAGGCCAACTGTGAATAGTGGCAGTGATTTATTTTTTTTGGGTCTCCCTTGAGAAAGTCTAGAAAGGCCACCTGTCTACAATGGCCACTTCCTCTGTTTCACTTAGGTGACCTTGATAGACAGGTTTGACTAAATATATTCCCTAGAATGGACCTATGGGAGAGAATCACAGTAATAATAACAGGGCAAGTTCAAAGTATTTTTTAATTCCCCCCCCCCCCCCCCATTTAACTAGTAGAAAATTTATAGAATGTCCAGTGAGCATACCCGTATATATATCAAAGGTATCATTTTACTCAAGTTTGATATTGGCATGAACAGAGCTATCAACTTGATACATTATAAAATGAAATCAATCAATCAATCAATCAATCAATCACCATCTGTGACACAATACATTTATAAAAGGTCACAAGATAGATGAGGAGAGAGCAAGCAAGGAGAAAGACAGACAGAGAAAAAAAGATCGTTCATATAAAAAATAAGTATGGTTCATATGAAGAAAAAGATTGGTATCATTTCTGTGACGAAGACCATCGATGCACTATTGTACTTACCAATGTGATTGGAAATGCAATAGAGCAGAAGAACCAATCTCTAAGTCCCATGAAGGTCTGCCCTATTCTAGTTCTGCTGCCCGAGGTAAGGATAAGGTCCGTCACACAGCATATAAAGAAATACAATATCTGGAAAAGCTGTAAACAAACATGGAAAAAAAACATGTAGTTTGTAAGATGAAGATAAAAATTGTAAAAACAAACATAAGAAGCCCAGTGAGGAGTGGTTTTAAAGCCACACTGTGCTATTTGTAGCTACTTGCTCCCTCTATATAGAAAACCATGCCTAATCTGTGACCATTGGTCTGTATCTGTATCTGTATCTGTATGATTTGGTCAGCAAAATGTCCTTTCCAGACACATCCACGCTAACGTATTTGTAGACAGAGCACGCTGTGTGTGGGTTGACTCAAATCAAATTATTGGGAATGTTTAAGTAGATTGTTCTTAAAAGTGGTTAATGATGGGCTGTTTACTATGGAGGTTGGGAGGTTATTCCAGTCCTTGACGGTTGACACAAAAAAGGAATCCTGGTAGGCTCTAGCTTTGTGGCGAAGTTGTAGGAACTTCTGGTTGTTCCCCCTGGTTTCTCTGGGATTCGGTTGTACATAGTCATACAAAGGAATGTCGACCAGTCCATTCTTCATTTTGTATAACATGCCGAGTCTCTGGTTTCTCCTTCTAGTTTGAAGCGATTCCCATCCTAGGTCTTTTAGCGCCTTGGTGACTGTGCCTTCTTCTCTACTGTAGTTGCTAGTACAGAATCTGGCTGCTTGTCGTTGGACACGTTCTAGGGACTTGATATTCTGCTTGGTAGAGGGATCCCAAGCTGACGATGCATACTCGAGAAGCGATCTTACTAACGCCAGGTACGCAGTTGATTTCACCTTCTTGTTGCAACTCCACAAGTTCCTGCGGACTACATTCTGTATTCTCTGGGCTTTCTTGGTAGCTGCCTGAGTATGAGTATTCCAGCTCAATGTATTCGATATGTGAACACCCAGGTATGGATGAGAAGACACACTCTCGAGACTATGGTTACAAAAGTTATACTTGTGATGAGGGGGGTTTCTCTTACCAATGGTCATGGTACAGCACTTGGTTGGGTTGAAGTTCATCAGCCATGTGTCTTGCCAGCTTTCCAGTTGTCTAAGATCTTTCTGCAGTACGCTGGTATCTTGATCAGCTGATACGGCTGTATACAGCAGACAGTCGTCTGCGAACAATCTGGTTGTGCAGGCCATGTTGTTTGGTAGATCGTTAATGTACAACAAGAACCATAGTGGGCCGGTCACTGTACCCTGCGGTACGCCAGACAGATGCAGGTAGAGATGAATGACCATTGATGACAACTCGTTGTGTGCGGCCCATCAGAAAACTTCTCACCCAAGAAGTGATTTCTCCCTCAAGACCATAATATTGTAGTTTAGAGATTAGGCGACGATGAGGGACCTTGTCGAAAGCTTTTGTAAAATCAAGCACTGCCATGTCGACTAACTTATTTCTATCCAGTTCTTGGCTAATATCATTGATTGTGAGAATTAGCTGCGTTTCAGTAGATCTTTTAGCACGAAACCCATGTTGGAAGTCTGATAGGATATGTTGATTTTCTAGGTGTTTCATTACGTGGCTATGTATGATGTGTTCCAGGACTTTACTCAATACTGATGTCAACGAGACAGGTCTGTAGTTTGCAGCACTCTTCCTGCTCCCCTTCTTGAAGATGGCGGCTACGTTGGCGTCTCTCCATTCTTGCGGTACTATTCCAGTGTTGATGGAAGATTGGAACAGGTCTTGCAAAGGTGCAGATAGCTGCTCAGCTCCGATCTTCAGGAACCACGGTGGAATGCCGTCCGGCCCTTGTGCTTTGTTGGTCTTCAGCGTGCTGAGCAGCTTTTCGACCCCTTTCCTAGTAATGTTGAGATGTCCAATCTTCTGGTAAGGGCTGTTGCCAAGGGACTGTGCTAATCCAGGAGGCTCGTTGGTGAAAACGCTCCGGAATTGTTCATTCAAAACGTTTGCCTTGTCTATGTCGTTGCTTACAGTCTTCTCCCCTTGCTGGAGATCTGCTACTCCCGAGTTTTCTTGTTTCAGTTGCTTAATATAAGACCAAAACCTTTTTGGCTCTTCTAGAATTGCCGATTCAAGAGTGTCCCTAACATATAAAGAACGGGCTTCTTTAATGAGCTTGTGGGTGCTTTTCCTAAAGGCCTTGAACGATTCCCAGTCATCCGGCTTTCCTGTCCTAACTGCCTTGTTGTATAATCTCTGTTTCTTCTTAATCGTACGACGTAGTGATCTATTGAACCATGGTAAGTTAAATCGGCTAGTGGAAAACTTGTGCGGGACATGTTTTTCCATTGTGTGTAGTATTGCACTTCTAATTTCTTCCCATTTGTCCTCTACACTTTTGTCTTGGTTCGTTTGGAAATAAGTATCTGAAAAGTCCTGAAGTGTCTCCTTGATACCCTGAGTATCTGCTTTACCCCTGAGGTAGATTTTCCTTCTTATCGGACGCTTCCTAGTAGGAGCTACTCTTAAGTCCACTATCACTGAGCTGTGGTCAGCAATGCCATCTGTAACAGATATCTTGTCCACTATTTCAGGGTTATTGGAGAAGATCAAGTCCAAGTTGTTTTCTGTGTTTCCCTGAATTCTTGTAGGTTGGGTGACATGCTGAGTAAGTCCCAATTCTTCCACTAGAGTGACAAGCTTATCAGCTGCTCTGGTGCTGTATCCACTCCTGCTGGAGACAACATGATTATCCCACGAGATGTTGGGTAGATTAAAATCCCCTGTGAGGATGACATTGTGAGAATTGATCTTATTTCCTAACCTTGTAAAGGATTGCGCCAGGTGGTCGATTGCTTCACCATTGCTGTCATTCGGTGGACGGTAGAAGACTCCCACAAGCAAGGGTCTACACCCCCTTATTTTTGTTTCAGTCCATAATATTTCACAATCAGAGTTAAGTTCACTGCAGTGCGTTGTAATCAAATCCCCCTTCACTGCTTGGAAGACTCCACCTCCAGTCTTTAGCTGTTCACGATCTTTCCTGAAGATAGAGTGGTTGTCTGGGAAGATTTCACTGCTATTAACATCTGGGTCAAGCCACGATTCTGTTCCACAAATGAAGTCTGGTTTAACGGAGTCGATGAGCACTTCGATATCACCAGCTTTAGATCTTACACTCTGGCAATTAGTCAATATCAATTTAACTTTGTCTCTCTTCTTGGCATTACACTTTCTATTCTCTTTATTATGTCTCTTATTTCTTTTACTGTTGGGCTTGGGCTGCGATGCACCCACATCCTTCTGGCTTGCCGGCTGGGAGCAGACATCAGCATCAGCATCAGTATCAAGAGCATCAAAAGGGTTTTCAGTTGAGATTTCACCTTCGCTGAAGAATGAGTCTGAAAAGTTTAGTTCACTGCAGAGTGGGCAAACCCACGTACAATTGTTGGTCATAAGTGATGTGTACAACTGGTAATCTATATCACAGCAGGCTGTGTGTAACCATTTATCGCAGCTATCGCACTGGACTGCGTGGTGATCCCTTAATACATTTCCATCGCACATACTACACGGGGCGCAACAATCAGAGCAATACCACTGTGCAGAGTTGGCTCTCAAGTTCGATAATTGCTTTTGTTTGACTCCAACACAACTAGGATGGAATAATAGTTGGCAATCAGAGCATGTAAGTTTGTTCTTGCCGATCACAAGTTTACTGCAAGAGCTGCAAGCCTTCGCTGAGCTCTTCTTTCTGTTGGAAGGTCGAGCTGGTCCAGGGTTGGGTTGTACATCCCCAGCACACATGATTAACCCCAAAATAATAGTTCTAGGTTGGGAACAGCTTAGATCTCTTTGACTAGTCTGGTTATACATGGTAACTACATGATCCAGGAATTTGTTTCTGTTTGATAATCTCGAGTTCCAAATAGGATCAAATACATATCTTGCTGCTAATGCAGTGGTATCCCTTCTCGGCATGCAGAAGGCATAATTGCATACAGCATGGTGGCTAATGATTGTCGATTTAGGTCTTCTTACAGTCTGTAATCCCTTCTCCCCAGCATGAATATCTGTCAGACCTATCAATAACTTGGCAGTCACAAAGATGAGCACGGCCTTGTTGAGGTTGAAGCGGCGTCGTTCGGTCCCCATGACGTACACGTAAGCAATACAAAATGGCGGCAGAAATCCAAGATGGCGGAATCCGCGAAAATTTAAAAAGTTAAAACTACACAAATAAACTCAAAGCGAATACGATTACAAAACTGCGGATAATCAGTCTAAACGATTTATTGCACTCCAGATAAAAAAACGCTATCATAAAATCCATTCATTGAAGCTTGCACATGTAGATATAATGTCGAAATGTCTCGTAGAAGAATTGCGGTGGTAGAGTAGATCTCCGTAGTATACGCTATTGCACTGTAGTATCGCGTAGGTGATCCACTGTGACTCGCGAGCGCGATGCTGGCTACAAATTGCAGGTAAAAATCCTTCCAAAATATAAGTCTAAAATTCGAAATAATCACACAACTTAGGTTTTTAATATTAAAAGAGCATATATTGCTCGGTTAAAAAGCAGAATGGCAGTTTAAAAAGGCAAAATTTTAGCGATTTTGTTGAAAAGCTACGAGCGAAAGTTTTGTTAGCGTCTATCCACACACAGCGCCCTCTCTCCTCATGGTCCCCCATGATCCTCTTTTTCTTATGTTAATTGAGAGCTGAGTTGATGAGATAACCACCTGTCCAGTGACATTGGAGGATGGTCTAATCCCTCCTATATAAACTAGTTCAGAAAAGCTTTAAAAAGAACATTAACCAGATTCAGACTGTATTAATTGGATGATGAAAGTTAATTTCAGAGGCCCCTGTCCCAGTCAATGGGTGGGGCCAAGTTGGTAACACTAGCCCTAGGCCTAGCTAAACTACAGTATCATGCTATCTACAGAAAATGGCTGAAGTAGAGGAAATACATAAGATGCAGAAGAAATGAAAGTACACTACAAGAAATAAAAGAAAGAAAATATAGAAAGTACTAAGTACTAACTTAGGCCTACAAAGTAGCTAGGAGTAGGACTAGGAGTAGGAGTAGGTCTAGGTCTACAAAAAAAGAAATAGAGCATTGACTTACAATTTGTCAACCTTATTCGGTTCAGATGATGTATGACTTTATTTTGGGTATGTTTTAGTAGGGTATCTCCACGCCAGAGTTACGGGTCAAATTTTGGATAGGTTTCTGAACAAGCGCCAAAAATTGTAACTTCTGTACCGGTACCGGTGTCATTACCATACATGGAAATGGATGGGTGGGGCTTAGTAAAGAAAAACTTACCGTGCACCAGACAGTAAGAAACTTCAGATCTCCACCAAACGAGCCATGATGTGGGAGTTTCAAATCAACATTTATCTTATAAAATGCATAGATATAGCAGTAGTATGCAAATGCTACAAAATGAAAAATCGTAGCAACAACTGGAGAAGCCATTGTAGCTGGAGTGGTCGACTAGACTACACAGGTTTTTTAATAATAATATGATATCACCAATTTCCGTAGTGTACGCATGCGCCATCGCCAGTGCTTGTATGAATTTGCTCGGGGGCGTCAATTTTTTCTGCGGCACAGATTGGGTTTTTTTTTTTTTTTGAAGAGGTCTTGATTTAACCCTAACCCTAACCCTAACCCTAACCCTAACCCTAAACCCTAACCCTAACCCTAAACCTAAACTTTCCCATAGGCTCAACACGCACCTAACCCCAATCTGTGCCGCAAAAAAAAAATAACGCCTCGCGGGGGGGGGGGGGGCGGGGTACTCCGATTTGGTTTGGACGGGGGTGTGCCGCACTCAAGCCTCAAAACCCCTACCCAATATTTGGGATCATTTTGAGACATTTTCTCTAAAAAAAATACCAATTTGCATAGCAATAAATGTTTGTCCTAATATGTGAGTACCCCCCCCCCCCCCCCCCCGGATAAATTTGTTATGTTGTATATAATTGTTAGAGTTTGTTTGTTTGTTGAAGGCCCCAGTTGTATTAGGCCTTTATTTGCTTCCAATATAAATCAAGTTCAAGTTCGAGATATTGATTATAATGAAGAAAAAGCTCGACACATTACACTCCTCCCGCTCCCCCCTCACCCCCAACCCCCTCACCCCCCCCCCCAGCGTTTTATTTGTTTTTGTTAATTCTGTTTTCTTTTTTGCGTTTAGTTTTAATTTTTAGTTTTTCTTGTCAGTGACTTATGTCAAGACCTGGGCGCCCTGCCGAAACTTAATCATTATGACGGAGGAAAATATCCGACTCGATTTCGATTGTAAATTTTTGTAAATCTTTAAGCGATTCTTGAAAAAATGAGACACGGAAAATAATAAGGTAGTACATTTTGACGAGATGAACCAATCTCTTAATTCAGCTGCCCATTGGGTCTACACATCATTTTGCGAACTTATCCCGTAGGCATATGCCCGCATATGGCCTCAGTGTCTAAAGGGGGGGGGGGGGGGGTTGTAATCGTTGCACGGTTGTACCCTCTAAATATGCCATTGTGTAGACTACCAGCCTGTTCCATCGCTTCACATTTGAAATAATTTGCACTAAAGCAAGGGTGGTTTACTCGAAAACCATTTTTAAACAGCGGTTTTCCCGGGGTTTTTCCGAGAAAAAGACCGGGGAAAAAACCTACCACCATGACGTACATACTGCAGAGTGTTTTATCCCAAAACAGAAACTAAGTAGGCCTACATGTATTATCTTTTGAATACATGGAAACTGAAACTATGAAAATTGTTACAATTCTCTAAGAAGGGCCTATGTCCGGGGGGGGGGGTACTCGCATTTAAGGACATACGGTGTGCCGGTCTAATGGATCACTTTTTCACACAAAATTTCCCAAACATAGGTCCCCCTTTTAACAAAAATACCATTAAAGATGGGTCCATTTTTTCAAAATTTGCAACACCCGAAAATTGTGAAAAAATGGGTCTTTTTTTTCTCGAGAAAAATGACCCAAAATGAACCCTTAAAAGGGTAGGGGATTCGAGGCTTGAGCGGCACACCCTCCCGCCTATGCTTTTTACCAGAACAAAAAAATAAAAAATAAAAGATCACAAAAAGTTGATGCATTTTAAAAAGACCGGTTGGAAATGGAGCTTTCGACGGAGGTAAACGAAAATCGAGCTCTCAGGGAGAATAGTGTCCTGCCCCCCCCCCCCCCCTGCGCGAAGCGCGGAAGCTTTTACGTTTTTTAAAATCATTAGAGAAAGAAGACGATTCGTTGAACCGTTCTCGACTTTTAATAATATTATTGTCTGAATTCAGCCCCCCCCCCCTCTTGTGCGAGGCGCGGAAGCTTTGACCTTTTCACCTTTGACATTTGAATTTTACTTTTGGGGGGATCATTTTATTTTCGGACCACGTAATACTTCGTTCTCAAGTTCGCATCCTCAGGTTGACTTTTAGAGGTAGTTACGTTCGTGTCATTATTATTACATTTACAAGGATTATGAAAAGGGATAATAAGGGTAATTGAGATCGTTGAATTTGGATCACTGCGACAGTGGTCAGTGTAAAGGATCTTCTTTTTTTCTTCTTTTCAATGACATTTTATTTTCTCCATTGCTTTTCACAAACAATAACAAAAATAACAATAACAAAATCAATACATAAAATAATCTACATGTTAATATTATCATATAGAATAAGATTTTACATTCACATCTATATAATACAAATGAACTTTTACTATATACATCAAATAAAGCATGAAACATTCATGCGTGAAGAAGGCATGAACATAAAAAGACATTTAAGAAGAAAAAACAAACAAAAGGAAAAACAAACACACACACACAAACACACGCATACAAACACTTTCATACACACATACATACATGTGCACAGACATCCACACAAACACCCACTAAAAACATGCCTACATTTTGTGAGATTCTCGACCATTATATCAGCCATGTCCATTTCATTGCTTCTATTCGCCTTCCTTATTTTATTTGTTCTGCACGTAGCTATTCTAAATTGTCCCACTTTCTAAAATGATATGTGAGTGTACCTCGGTCCCCAGCTAATTTCTTCTCCTCCTTTCTAATTTCTAATAATCTTTTCTTAATCTCCAAATAAGTTGGTGGTTTTTTGTCTATTTTTACTATCTATAAATATCATATATTTTATCAAAATTATGATATGATTTAATAACTGTTCCTTCCCTTTCTAGCAAGTCTAGCAAGCCAACATTATGGATCTTACCGTTGATGGCGTTAACAGATGGGGAAAAGTAGAGTAGGTACTCTAGGGAAAAGTGGACGTACTGAACCGGCGCCCAATCACCTTCACTTTTTTTTCTTATTCTCCCCGCTCGGTCGCTCCGTGCGTAACGAAGTGCAACCCCACCCAGGGGCGGATCCAGCCGGCGGCAGGGGAGGGGGCCCAATTCGTGAGAAAATATTATATATAGCGGCAAAGCAGCCAGCCGATCTCTCAGTGTTGGGGGGGGGGGGGGTGGGGAAGCAAACACTAATTTTTTTTTTTTTTGAGGGGGGGGGGGGCTCGAAAATTTGAAAAATCGCAACCTTCCCTTGAGCGCCAGGCTAAGGGGCCCATCTCCGAAAAAAAGGTAAAATTCAAGTGTTTTTACACGTTTTTTTTTGGGGGGGGGCGGCCCCCGCCCCCTGGATCCGCCACTTGTTAGTACCGCACCTTCACAAACACAATATTCAGCATTGGCGTAATAAGCAAAAACTTGTTTTGTTGTTGTTGGGCGGGGGGGGGGGGGAAGGGGCAGAAACAAATCCGCATCACCACCAGGTTGCATATTGGGCAATTTTTTTTTTGTCAGGGGTTCGGATGCGGATATTGACGATAACGGTTAAGATGTGGCCCTAAAAACTACGTTTGAGCTATGGAGTACTGTTTTTTTGTCATGTTGATTATTCTTGAGGCTAGAGTACTCTGCTTCATCACGTGATTACTTTTGACCAATCGTAGAGCAAGATTCTTAGTATGTGGAATATAAAACAAAATACTTGATTGCCTACGTTAAAGATAGTATGTCCCATTTGCAGCCAACATCAAATTCTGTAGAACTTTGCAGGAATTATGAATATGTCATATGCTATCTGTTAAATTTATACCTGTACGTTAGCAGTGTCCTAATATTCAAATTATGCAAAGAAACTCGTTTACTTGCTAGACTTTCCTGTCAGACACTATTGAATGACTGACTGGCTTTTTATATTTTGTCTTGTTTGGTAATAACATAGCCTACATAAAATGAGCTGTAAAGGGTACATGATCATTTTGTATACATCAATAACCCACTTCTTGTAATGGCCAAAATTAAACTGATTGAATATTTGCGCAGCACAAAACGTACGACCATTCGGTACAGTGGTCTGAAAATCAGACTATTTCTTACTGACTTGGTAGCACTTAAGTCGATTCGACAACTAATAGTCGTTATTTTCCCACTTAAAGACATTTCAAGCCCCCTTTTTAAGGGGAAGTTCTAAATTAGTATTATCTTTCAAATGCCGTTGGAATTTAACCTTTTCATTTTTGGGGCTTGCAAATGGGACATACACTTTGAGCAATGAGATGAAAAGTTAATATCCCACCCATTGCCCATTGTCCAGGGGAGGTGGAGCGTCTCACAAAGTGGAGGGGGCATCAACAAAAAAGGAGCACCTACAAAGGGAAATCTCAAAGTGAAAATATGCAATTTTTAGACACTGGTATATACCCCTATATTCTGATTACATTATCAGGGATGATTTCAATTCTTGCTTTTCTCTTATTTACATGGCCTAAGATACTGCTTATGCGTCATACTTGGTCGTTCAAAAAGAGACCTACCTTTGGAGGGACTGAAGCTTTTGGCCAATGCATTAATTTTGCCTTTATTTGAATATTGTTTCACAAAATGTCTGAGATTTAATTATTAAACAACACAAGAAAATGGTCAGAGTAATCTTGGGGCCAATATAAGAACCCCGACTCAAGAAAAATTTAATAGATTCAAGTGGGTCAGCATTCAAAATAAGTGGAATGATTTCAAATGCAAAATGATTTATTCTGTTTGTGAAAATCAAACTCCGGTCTATATTTTACAACAAAAAAAACCCAATCTGTATATAACATTAGAACGCGTAGTGCACAAAACGCAGGATTAAACTTACCCGAAATGAGAACACAGATGGAAAACAATTTTTTTCATTTGATGTTGCAAATCTTTGGAATAGTTTACCTTTTTTTAAGAAATGCTCCATTCTAATTCTTTATTTACTCTTTTGTTTTTGGCGTTTTGATAATCTTAATCATTGGAATGGTCCATTGTGTTTTTTTTCTTTTGTTCGAAAATGAAGTAACTAAATTTATTGTGTCTCGATTTGTATTATTTATATCAATATGTTTGTAAATTTTGTATTTATGTTGTAGGGCATCCACGGAAACAGTATTGAACTACTGATGGAGCCACACTACTAAAACAAGACTAGTAAATGAATATATACTTTGCAGTTGGGTTTCATGGTCTGAATATATTTATTTGCGAGCGAGCGGGCAAACAAATTGTGAGGTTGCAGTGCGAAAAAAACTACCTCTTATAAAGAGGGAAAAACATATCTGAAGGGGTTTTAAGCACAATCTAATAATGAAAGACTGAAAAGATATTTGATAAGAAACATAATTAGGCCTACATCAAATTTAAATGCGAGCTGGCGGAGCAAGCGAGCTTTGAGCGAAATTAATGAAAACAATGCTCTTAGTTGCTTTAAATAATGAGCACAAATTATGGTGAAAGGAAAAGGGGCACACATCAAAATTAAAAGGGGTGTTGTCAGAGTTTAAAATGGGACACTTCTCGCACCTTATAAAAGGCACTCACCAGAGATGAAAAAGGCACTTAAGAGACGGAAAGGGGCATTCATTACAAAGGAGAATTAGGGGCAATTATCAGAAGGAAAATGGCACTAATTAAGAACGATTAGGGGCCACGTGCCAAAATAACAGGGGCACCTAACAGAAATGAAAAAGGGACACTTAATACAATATAAAGGGGGCATCTCTCAAATTTGAATTAGGGCACTCACTGGGGATAAAAAGGAGCACTTATTAGAATAAAAAAGAGGCACTTGTCAAAATATAAGGAGAACCTCTCAGATTCGAAAAGCGGCAATTATAAGAGGTTAATGGGAACTTATTAGAGGTGGTAAGGGGCATTTTTTGGTATCGAAAAGTGGGCAACCACCTGAGATGAATAGGGGCACTTGTGAGAATAGAATTGGGGACTTATTACAAAGGAAAATTGGCACTTTTCGTAGGAAAAGGGGATTTTAATAGAAGTAATTACCGGAGGTGTGGGTAGGGGCATTCATCAGAAGGAAAAAGGGCACTTATAAGAAGGAAAGGGGAGTTGTACGTGTCAAAATAAAAGGGGCACTTATCAGAGGTGAGAAGGGGCACTCCTCAAAGATAACAAGGGGCATTTATCTGAAGAGGAAGGGGCACTTATTACAAAAGAAAAAGTCACTTCTTAAAGTAAAATGGGCACCTCTATAAGAATGTGGACCGGGCACTTATTTGAAATAAAAGGGGACACCTTTCCTATGTGAAAAGGGGCACTTTTAATTTTTGGGGGGCCAGATTATAATTTTAAGAATTTGTCGTCCAACAAACACATAAAAAAGTAAAATTTACAAAAATTGAGAAAATCCCCTGGGAAATCATGTTATTTCAGCAACAATTGTAAATCACTGGTTTAGAATTAGAAACAAACCAAGTTTTAATCAGTACGCCAGTGTTGATTTTCAGAGAAGATAGAAAATGATGTCAGTCCCAAATTCCTCGCCGATGGTGGCACAGATTTATCCACAAAATGGGTATGGGTTTAGACGCTTTAGCCCCTCACCCCCGTCATAATCAAATCTGAGTACCCCCCCCCCCCCCCGGTGTCAGTCTCGTGTGACATCACTCGTCAGTAGGATTATAGTTGATTTTTGCAAAAAGTTGTCAGAGGGGCAACGAGACCGACATTGAAATGGATAGAAAGGAATTAAATGTTTCATTAAATTATTAGAAAAAGAGGTAAATTCGTTCTACTGTTTTCGATTCTTAATCCTTGTCTGAATTCAGTTTCCCTCTCCCTTTATCGATCATTAAATTATTAGAGAAAGAAGACGATTCATTGTACTGTTTTCGACTCTTAATCCTTGTCTGAATGTAGTTTCCCCCCTCTCGCGTGAAGCGCGGAAGCTTTGCCAATCATTAAATTATTAGAGAAAGAAGACGGTTCGTTGTACTTTTCTTTACTCTTAATCCTTGTCTTAATTTAGTCTACCCCTTCCCGCGCGAAGCGCAGAAGCTTTGACGTGTCATTAAAATATTAGAGAAAGAAGACGATTCGTTGTACCGACTCTTAATCATTGTCTGAATTTTCAAAAATGTTTCTTTGTCCGGGGAAAGTCACAATTTGTAGGGTGAAAAAATTGCCAGCCGGCCAACCGACGTAATACATCTCACCGACTTCAAACTTCTGCATTGATATAGTACACGAGGATCGAGCAAGAATACCGACACAGTAATAGCGTATCTTTCTTGCTCCCTCGACGTGGCGACTTCATCCAACATACCCCTCTCTCTCTTACTCCCACCCCTGTTCTCTCAGGCTCTTACCGCCCTCTCTCTCTCCTCTGTTTCATCCACCGTTTCTTTTGTTTTTTTCTTCCCCCTTTTCTTTCTTTTCCTTTCTTTCTTCTCCTTCCTCTTTTTCTTTTTTTCTCTTTCTTTCTTCTCTTCTCTTTCCTTTCTTTTCCTTTTCCTCTTCTTTTTCTTAGGCTCCCTTTCCCTCCCTTTCCCTCCCTTTCCCTCCCATTTCCCCCTCCCCCTGTTCACATTTTCCCGACAGCACCGCAATTTTACCGACAATATCCTGACAGGTGGGGGAGGGGGGGGGGGTGTCGCACCACAAAACTCCCATCCGAGCGACGCCCCTGAGCATCAGTAACAAATTAAAAAACCAATATCAATTCATCAGTTTTCAATAAATATTTGAAAAGATATGGGATGATAAATCAATATCATTTATATCAAAACGTAACATGTATTTTGGTAAGCGATTCGGTTCAAGTTAGACAGTGATGAATGCTGTTCATGCTTTGATTGACTTTACAGAAAAAATAGCCAGGGCTTTTGAAGATAAAACTATAACCATATAGGGGCATTTTTAGATTCATATCTCGGCGTTCGATTGCGTTAATCACAATACATTGAAATAAAAGTTGTTTTCATATGGCTTTAGATTTAGGCCTACAGTATAGAGTTAGTTAAGCAACCGAAAACAGCACGTAATTATATATTATTATGCATGGGTAGAATTCTTGTAGAACTATGATTATTACCACATTATATTGCAGTATTATATGGGGCGATTGTACAACTTATCTAATTCAAGTTATATCAAAGAGATTTGGGTTATATGCAACAATTCTTTCGCTTATAAAATGGGCAATACGAATTATCATTAATTCTCCATATTCAGCTCATTCTTACGGTTCATAAAGTTTAAAAATTCTTAAGATGAATACTAATATGAAGAAGAAACTCTGGTAAATTTCCATTTCTTGTTACAGCTTCTCAAAATCGGTTATAATGGACTAATAATAATTTTCCATCCGAATTTTAACATTGTCCCGCGCTGCTGCAATCTTTTAAAAGAAAATACAAATTTACGTTTGGAATTAGCATTTACCTGACCACCGAGCTTGCCCGTAATTATTTATGATTTTGTGCTATTTTCGTCTTTCTTAAAAAAAGCTTCTTTGAAGCATTTATTTTTTATTCTCATATCCATTCCAACTGTAACTGTAACTCTGCTAAGTGCATGGTAGCTCGGCTTCAAGATTCAGTTGTGATGTTGCGGCCGAACATTAACATTTTGATGAAACTTTCATAATTTTAAAAGGATTTTATTATTATTTGTTTATCTTGGAATTAATTTTCTCTCTTTTTGTCAATTTTTATTTTATTTGGAAATTGGTTAGGGCCGTACAACTTGTTTCTTTACCCCCCCCCCCCTTATTATAAACTCTTTTAATAAACAGGTTATCCCCTATACTAAAGTGTATATACTCTCGATTCAGGGCCCTAGACTCGAACACGTCACTGCGAATAATTTATACATCTTGATTACAATTAATTAAGAGGCTGTTACGTTTTGAAACGTAACAGTCTCCTGTTACGCCGCGCACTCGGTTTCCATGTTATGTGCCGTAACCATGATTTAGTGCAAAAAGGTCGGTTCGTGCGAAAGACACTTTTTCTTGAAAAAAAAGTGACAGATTACGATGAAATGTCACGGATTTGTGATCATTTTTTTTTGTACACACCCAAGTTACCTTCAAATGCATAATTGCATATGTACACTGTTTTCCGTATACATTTAGAAATGCGGAGAATTGCTGGAATCATACGAATAAAAGAGACAGAAAATGTATCATCCCGTCAAAAAGTTTTCGATTACTGAAGTCTCCTATACTGCCCCTACTTTGATTGCATTTAATAATCTGTTTTGTGTTAGTTACACATTTATTTCAACGTTTCTATTCTTATTTTACGTAGGCTATCACATGTTGCAAAATAAATTTTATATCATAGTAACTAAGTTCCGCTTTATATAGTTTTGAAGGGTTATTATCATCCTCACTATTATAATCGGAGATATGCCGAGCGTGCTGACGTTGCAATCACGTGACATGAAAGCGCGACTACGAGCCAGCGCTAGGTCTTTCTGCAAGCAAGGCACATGTACTTCTTGGGAATCCACCATTGTTATTGGGATCGGCCGACGTAAATTAGCGTTGTTTTGCAATACGATTTTCCGTCAAGAGGAAGGAATTACGATCGTGTGAAAAAAAATTATTTACCCGTGGACATTTGGACTGTCAGTGAAGACTTTATTTTGGTGGAATCAGGGGTTATTATTGGATTTATAAGGCAATGTCTGCGGCGGCAGGAGTTGAACAGGTTCGTTTCACCGTCTGTTTCTCTATCACCAAATTATGCATTGATGTGTACGTACATGACATGGCACACTCGCCGGCCATGTACACCTCTATGTGCCCAAAGGTTTTACGTTGTGGAGCATTGCTTTCGCAGTGTGTGTATCTGTGTGTGTGAGGAATGGGAGCTCCACACTGTACGAACGTAATGCAGGCTCTGTGTTGACATGCCTGTATGTAACAAATGCGTACAATGTACATGACAGTCGCGGATTTTATCATGTCAGGCGATAATCGGAACCAAATGTAACCCGCCCTTTTAATGAAACTGTAATCTTTTTCGCGTCTAATTATCATCGAGTTGAATCTATATAAAATTTCAGTTTCTTTATTGCCTGAAATGTTTTGTAGATCTAATCATCTTCAGGCTTTTGAGGTTCAGCAACTCCAACTCTTCAATCCTATTCTTGCATGCACTTCGCATTGGCATTGCAGTTGCACTGGCCATTGCTGCATGATTTGCATTCGAACTCATGAAATGAAGTCACAATCATTCAACAAATTATATTGTGTAGTGTTTGTAGATTGCCGACTTTATAATTGACAAGATGTAATTAAATTCTCTCTTAATTAAACAAAGGTTTCCATTATAATATAGACTCTAGATCTGCATCATGTAGTTGTAAATTGGGAGTCCCATCATCCATGACCATGGCCAGTGTCAGATCACATGAAAACTGAATGAAGTCTGGGCTGCTGGAGGCTGAACATTTTTAATATTTGACATGAATTTGATTAGAATTTTCTTTCACATTCCCCTATTGTTATTAATATGATATTAGTCCTAAAGAATATAAAGTGTGACACAAAATGAATAAACAATTTGAGCAAGAACGAGGTAATTTTCATGAGAGAAGGCGGCCATGTAATTTTGACATTGTTAAAAAAAAGGTTTCCATGTCTACACACTCATTCATATTTTTTGTCTTGTATTTTTCCATGAATGCCCACAATCAAGGGAGGTGAATGTTTGTGGCATTTTACTTCCAGTTTAGGATATTTTACTCGAAAAGCAGCATTTTGAGGCTAGTTTCACTTATTCTAGATCTACATCATACATGTAATTCCTAATTTAGCTTTTTTGTTTCAATATTCTTATAATTTTTCAATCTAATTATGTAAAATTATGGAGGAGAAACACATTTTTGATGCATGTTTTGTTTTATTAGAATTGCAAAGTTACATGTTTATGTATATGTACAGGTGTAAGACTGTACGTACATGTACTTAATGTGTACACACAGACATGTGCACTTTAGTCTGGCCATACTAAAGATACAAATGTACATGTAGCTTGAGACAGTTACAAATCAACTTGTATTATCTACCTCAGTTTGCTTGAAAGTTGAAATACTGTTTAGTAAATTGTCATTTTACGTTTGCAGCTCATTATGGTTTGCAATACATGTAACAAAGTCAAGTAAGCGTATGATACTGCTACTATATTGATATCACTTAACCTAATTGGCACCCATATGCCTTCGTGAAGGGTGATGGAATCATAAATAAATAATTTTTAATAAAACTTTATTCAAGAATATTACATCTTTCATTACCTAATGTGTCAAAATAATGTTGTACATCTATCTAGAAGAATGTGACAAAAGTGCATACCGGTAAGATCATAATGGTGCATAAAATAAGGGCTGGTCATCATTAACCTTAATTACATTGAGTCCTGCCTCTAAGATAAGGCCATGACTAATTTTTAGTTGCCCAAGTGCCCAAGTTGTAACTCGATTTTGTTTTGCCCAGGCACCCGCAGATGGTGAGCCCTGGGTCTTGACAATTGTTGTGAACTTGTGATTTTTGTTTTTCTGAAAGTCAAACCACACCAACCACCATGTAATTTACATTGCATACATGAACATTCAGGTATTCAAAAATACTTTGAAGGTCTGCCAAACTACTCATAGATGTTTATTGATGCATTGGCAGTCGCTCAATTTGAACCGGTACAGTTGCAGATGTTTGTTTGCTTATGGGCCCTACATGTACATGTAAGATATTTTATTTTATGTGGTACTACTACACATGTTCACGTACAAATGTAGGCCTACATCCACTTGTACATGTACTAAATGTAACTGACATACTGTACATGTATGTGTACAGTATGTCCTACACTTTTGCATAAATGTTAGACCATACATGTCTGTATCTGTTACTATAGAGTTGTTAGCGGTTTGTAGACCTACATGTACATTTAGAGCGGGGTCTCCATGTATCATGAGTAGTAGAGTACAGTATTGTTTTCTAGAAGGTCCCTTCATACAATTAATTAAATACAGTTGTACATTGTTTGTGCTTGCTAAGAAGTAAGAACTAAGAAGTAAATGTGTCTTTTTTTTCAATTTTTTATTTTAAAAAAGCAATCAATATTTGTTAATTGTTTTTCTTCTTTACATGTGCAGTGTGAACATGTACAATTTTACATTCTATGTGCATGCTAAGAAGTAAATGTTGTCTTTTTCCCGTCTTTTATTTTTAAAAAGCAGTCAATATTGATCTGTATTTTTGTTCTTTACATTTTTTTCTCCAGAAACCAAGAAGCCAGAGGAGTCAAGGTAAGACCTTTTTTGCCATCCGGCGCAGTTTGGTATATTCTCCCATTTAACATTATTTTCATCCATGTTTGGTGATATTATCATGCCTCTCAAAGTGAGGGAAAAAAAGATGGGGGTAAAGATTGATAGAGAACATGCGAGCTAAATTGCGAGCCACCATTTTTATTTGTACAGGGTGAACAAAAATCAGGCTGCAAAACTATGATAATGTTGGAAAAATAAAACCACTTTCTAAAAGTTTCTTACTCGTAATAATCGATCAATGATTTTTTTAGGATTATTTTTTATATTTTTTTATCACTGCATGCTTCTTTTAAAAGCTAATGTTTACTTTGTAATCATTACAAGTTTCAACTTTCAATACTCCTCACTGTTGCAAGGCAAGTTTGGACTAGTCATGTAAGGTGTGCAAAGTATATTCAGATAAATTTTATTGGTCCATTTGGAAATTCAGTTGGCGTTGACGTTATTAAATGGTGTTAGCTGTAATTTCAGCCCTAAAAATCATGCTTGTCGGGTTTTGTCTACAGCAAAGTTTGACATTCAAAATATTTCATGCTGAATTCATTAGTTAAGAGTTTTGCTTTGAATATTTTTATTTTTTGGGGGTGTGGCCTGGGGTGGGGTAAGTTTCCAAGCTTCTATCTTTTGATATACAGGTACATGTAAAGTACATGCACATGTACTGCTGACATTCAGCCTGATTCAGGCAAAAATAAGGTTTGTATCTTAAAGCATGCTCCAATAAACAGGGTTCCACTTTAAAAAATATAATGTGTTTTTCATTTTGTTAAATTTTATATATGATCTATCATTATTATTTAAAATAATTTTTATAATTTTTAGGTTTTTACCAGAACAATTTAAAGGTCTTCATAGCTAAACAACTCACAGCTGTTGTCACTCCAATGTACATGTGTATGTACATTGTAGAAGTATTACTTCCCATTTTGTTGTTCAAAATGAGTAATTTCTATGACAATGCATTGCATTTATTTTATTCCACTTGTACATGTGAGAATTTGATGTTTGACTGAACTCTAAAAAAAAGTCTTACATCATGTTCTGTACATGGTCTGTAGTATCTGTACATGTTCCCCTGCTGCGCTCACAGTAAGCTGGGTGATCACAAGTTTTGCTCCTCTTGGTTTGAATAATTGCTAATGTTTACATGTACATGTAAGTAAATCCTGTGTGCAAATGCAGTTGTTAGGGAGCTACAATGTACTTTACTGAAGATGTACATGTACATTGTACATTTACACTGTTTCCCTTGTTTTTGGGGAGACAATTTAATTTCTCTTTTCTTTATTCATGGGAAGCCTTTCATTTTTTTTTTTACTCCAACAGTCATATCATTCATCATTCTTAGGGCACTGGAATTTTAAAGATAAATATGAATCAGAATTTTATTATTTGCCCCAGGGCCTGGCTGGATCAAAGCTAAAATCTGTTTTTGATCTGTTCATTATACAATTTATGCCAAAGAGTTGTTCACTTGACTCATCTACTGTACAGTACCAAAGCTTTTTTTTTTCTTTTTCAAATGTCCAGAGAACTCTATAAACTAAGTTTGCTGTGCTCACTGCTCTCACATTTAGATTTTTTTTTTAAAGGGGAGGGGGCAAAGTGTGAGTGAGCTTTCATAATTTTGTTGGTTCATTACACATGTGTAGGGCTCCCACTATAAATTTTGTCCAGGGTGGCTGCATACATGTACAGTACATGTATAGCTACATGTGTACAAGACATGTATGTTAAAAGTTAAAAGATAGACTGATGAAGTGAAACAATGCTGTCTGTGTCATGAACTTGAGACATATAAAAATTAAAAATATTATTCTGAGTTAACTGTGTACAGTAATGATTAAAAGGGAAAAAAAAATCACAGGGCTCTTTGTGTTGTGCATGTGTCCACTTCAAGCCCTTCACTTCATATATGTAAGTACATGTATTTAAATGGCTGCTCGAATTACCTAGATTTTAGTTCATAACTTCATATACATGTAGTCATTGATTATATTTAGATACATCATGCATGAATATGAATATGTACCGGTAAATGTAAATTGCAAGATGTGCTGAGCAAAGTGAGTCACACATGTATTTGCATGTCGCTGTATTAAACCATGATGCTTATATTTTTCTCCATCACCCATCTTCCCCTCAGTACAAAATGGACCGATAAACCCCAAGGAGAATGTTGGTGAAGGAGAACTAGAACGCTACATGCAGTCCAACCAGCCCGCCCATCAGGTAAGAATTCACTATTTTCCCTCAAGAAATGAGGAGGAAATGAATTAGCAATTTCCCTGTATTGTTTTGTTATTAACTGAAATGCTGTTATGACAATTTCTTAAATTTTGTGATGTGTTACCACATGTGAAAGTGAAAACAGAATATATTGGGGTAGTTTGTTTTTATTCCCTTTTCTGATAGTCTTCTCATATAAATTTAAACGTATGTTGAATTGCCAAAGTAGCCAAATGGTTATTATTTGGTCCCAGAAAACACTACACATGTACAGTATGTATCTATTTGTGTTGAATTTACTTGGTACATCAAGTTTTAAAATAGGATTTTGAGTTATGGGGTAGAAAAAGAAAGATTTAGAACCATTTTCATTCCTTTTGTGTTAGTGTATAAGAGCATTATTAAAAAAATGTCCCCTGAAAAGGATGCCCTCATATTTGAAATACGATATAATTAAAGGCTAAACTAAAGGTTGTTATTTCTGTGTACAGTGCATGTGACTTTTACCAAGACTGGGCCAATTTCATATTGTTTTGTTGATTCCAAAGCCTCGCAGTATTCACCAATACGCCCTGCATGTAGTGCTACGTGATCGACCTTTTCCAATCACTTCCTCCGTTTTTTTCTCACAATGCAATCACATGATCAGAACTCAGTTTATGTTTAAAGGGATAGTTGAGTTCTTGTTAAAAGACTGCAAATGCCTTCAAAGAACATGGTTATTGCTCTTATTCTTATTTATGACACTGTGTTTCTCTGGATTTGTTGTTTGCAGGGGTACTCGTCAGCGCCCAGTATGGCTGCACAGGATTCCTACATGCCAGCAACGTACTACCAGTCACCTTACTCCTTCCCTTCGTACTCTATCCCTGGAACTGAAACGACCTGGTCGACAGGTGGAGACACCTTTAACAATTTTAACTACACAAACTATGAGTCGAACTATGCTGCCCCAACGGACTACTACAACCAACCTGGCACAACCCCTCCCTACTTGAACCAGACCTTCAACTTTTTCCCTCCCAATGCAGACTTTATGCCGGGGACCTGGGCTAATAATTCTGCACCTGCTGCCCAGCCCCAGGGAACAGCTCGCACCCAGCCCCAGGCCCAGGCACCGACTGCCTCTTATTATGACTACCCCAGGTATCAGGCTAATCCGAACTCGATGACCGGTCAGCGGAACTACAGCCAGGGTTTGAATGGACTTGACGCGCAGGATGGTAAAGCCCATGGGATGAAGGCAATGGAACTGGGAATGTCTGGACTGAACATCGGTGCTCCCATGGATAAGACTGCTATGAATGTTGCTGGACGGGAAGTTCTGAAGCAGGATGTGATTCCTCCCAAGCCCCAAGCGCCCAGCTTCTCTCAGGCTCTGGCTGGGGCAGGAGGAACTGCACAGCCCCCTCCTCAGAACACAGCAGTGCCAAAGCAAACATCGTGGGCCTCTATCGTTAGTAAGCCTGCAAAGCCGCAGCCCAAGAAGACGACAAAGACCGGATCCCATGCTCCTGTACCTACTCAGCTTCCAACAATGAAGCCCCCTATGACTATTGGAACTTGGAACAATGGCGACAAGACTGGTAATCCTCCTAAGCCAGCCGGCACTGCTACCACCATGCCCTCTCCCCCTCAAAACCAAGCCCAACCGCAACCTCCTGCTGCCATCCCTCCTCAGCAGCATGCCCAGTTGCAACCCCAGCAACCTCCCATGCAACCCCCGCAGCAGCAGATCCCTGTTCACCCTCAACCACAAGTGCAACATGTCCAGCCTCAGCCAGTTGCCAAGATTGAGGTTTCTCAGCCTCCTCTCACTGCGGCTCAGACTGTGTCCCAGCAAAAGCCGGTGCTGCCGACGAGTGACGTTCCACGAAGGGGACCTCAGGCTGTTGTGCAACCCCAACCCCAGCAACCGAGAGTGTGGGACTCAAACGGACAGAATCGCGGCTATGGACAGAGATCTACTAACCAAAGCAGTACCGCGGGTCTGGCACCCATTACTGGTGTGCCGGGCCAGAAAAGTGATACGGATCACCCGGTGTTGGAGAAATTACGTTCTATCAATGACTATAACCCAACTGACTTTACACTTGACCTTAAGAACTCACGAATCTTCATCATCAAAAGCTACTCAGAAGACGACATCCATCGCTCCATCAAGTACGGTATCTGGTGCAGCACCGAGCATGGCAACAAGCGCTTGGATGCTGCTATGCGGGAACGCCAAAGTAAAGGTCCTGTGTACCTAATTTACAGTGTAAACGGTAGTGGGCATTTCTGTGGCGTGGCAGAAATGATGTCTGAGGTGGACTACACAACCAACACTGGTGTGTGGGCCCAGGACAAGTGGAAGGGTCGCTTTGATGTGCGGTGGGTATATGTGAAGGACGTTCCGAACAGCCAGCTTCGGCACATACGGCTGGAGAACAATGATAACAAGCCTGTGACCAACTCGCGTGACACTCAGGAAGTGTTATTGGACAAAGCCAAGCAGGTGATGAAGATCATTCACAATTTCAAGCACACCACCTCCATCTTCGATGATTTCAGCCACTATGAGAAACGGCAAGAGGAGGACTCTAACCGAAGGGTATGTCTTAAATATGTCTTAGTTCGAAACATATTACAGGAGGAGGATAGTTTGAATACTTGTTATTCTTATTCTATGACTTCTATTCATATTGCACTGGATATGATGGATTAATTTCTCTTTACTAAACTTGCTTGTATATAATACATTTACATGTATATGGTAGATATTGAAATATATTTCTTAACATTGGAGACATTTCACCCAAGAGTTATGGCAAGATTTGACACTCTTTTAAACAAGACTTCTTTGTGTTTCCTTTGTGGAATTACTCATGATACATTCCCTCTTTGAGGCTCTTTCTGTTTCTTTTTCTGCACCCAAGTCTTGCCATGAAAGGAGTAAAGTAGCCCTGTAACCAATCACCGGATCGGATAATAATTGATCGCCAATCAATAAAAATGATTTAAAAAAAAAAATTTGGCTATCAAATGCTAAAACACATGCATACCCTGGTAGCTGGAATTATTTTGTCATTTAGAGTTGTTGTCGACCATTTTTGTTGATAATAAGTGCCTTTTCATGATTTTGAAATTAATAATATTGGTCTAAGAGAAGAGGAAAACATGCAAGCAGCCATCTTGGATTATAATGCAGGCATGCGTTTGTCCGTTGTCATTAAAATCCAAGATGGCGGCTCGCATGTTTGTTTGTTTTTGTTTTTTTTACTGTTGTTACCGTACTTGAAATTTTGAGCAGTTTAATACAAGTACCTAAATTCACTCATACCTTGGATAATTCTGTCAATTGAAGTTGTTGTAGTCCATGTTTAAAACAATTTTATACCGTTAGATGTCAAAAATTGAACAAATGATCAAAAGAAGAACAAAAAATGAACAAAAAATGCAATTTTTTTCAAGTTTTGGCTATCAAATAACAAAAGACATGCTAAGCTTGGATTATTTTGTCATTTGACAATGGACAAAAAATGTGTGCCTACATTATAATCCAAAATGGCTGCTCGCATGTTTTACCTCTTCTCTCGGACTAACATTATTAATTTAAACTAACTTAAAAGTCATGAAAAGACACTTAATATCAACAAACATGGTCTTCAACAACTCCAAATGACAAAATAGTCCTAGCCATGGATTTTTTTAATAGTAATTGATAGCCCAAACTTTTTTCTTCTTCTACGGTTCCAGTTTTCCACACAAAATTTGATTAATTTTGCATAATATTTTCCAAAAAGTTAAAGTTCTAACTTTCAGATAATTGAGTTTTACATTGTACATGTACATGTACTACATGTGCATGTATACAGTACATGTAAGTACAAGGATCATAATCCTAAAAGTGACACTGAACATGTACATGTAGCAGTGAATACATGTATGTTTCACATGAGTTCTTGTAAATGTACATGTACAATGTACAGTAGCTCTAAGGGTCCTAGCCTAGCCACACAAGTGCTTGTCCTTGTGAATGAAGCTTGTCTAATATGTCTGGCTTTTCACCCAAGTCGATTCCTTCATTCTAAAATCTGAATACATTTTTTTTTAATGGTATCGGGACAATTTCCAAAGGCCAAAAGGCATTGACTTGTACTTCTGTAAACAAGAAAAACTATTCACTTCAGGCTTGAGACTTTCTCTGTCGTTCGTAGATCTTTTTGGGCTTCTATCCTTTCTGGTTTTCCTTTTCTCTCCCCCCCCCCCCCCCCCCTCTCTCTCTCTCTCTCCCTCTCCCTCTCCTCTCTCTCTCTCTCTCTCTCTCTCTTTTTAAATTTCACAGGTGTATGAGTATTTCAATTTAAAAGGTTGTAGAAAAAAAGAAACTATCCATGTTATAAGATGATTATTACAAAAGTACCTTGCTAATTAGGTCTGCCTACCTTAATGTATGTTAATGTAGGGTTTTCTCATATTTTTTTCTCAAATTTCTGATTAGGCAGTGACAATTTAAGCTATAGGTTGTTAAACAGGTGAATTTAGTGATAGAATACTTTATTTCTGTGTTGGCTCATTTCTGTATGTCAGTTTTCTTGCAGTCCAGTCAACACTTTTGCTTCATACACCCGGGTCTGTATACATACTACATGTAGCTCCCTGTTTGTATTATGAAATTTTGTCTTTTGGGGGGGGGGGGGGATCTGTAAGGTACCCTTGTTATGTTAGTGTCAATCCCCATCATGTTTTCAGCTTCTAGTTGTAAAAATCCCAAATCTTTTTCTAACAGTTGTTTCATTTTCTCTCCTGACAGGTTGACACCCGTAGCAGCCGACGTGGAGGGCACCGAAACTAAATCCCCTTGGAGAGCGAGGTTTGTAATGATGACTGTCAGCTAATTTTTGCAGAGTCGTCATGGAATACGTCATGCTTAAAAGGAAAATTATTATAAAAAAAACAACCTATCATCTAGGGTTTAGAAATCTGCTACACTTGTAATTGCTAAGAAAAAAATTATTGAAAATTATCTGATGCGCAGGAAAACATTGAATAAAGTCCGGTCTGTATTTTGCTTTCAGTGATATGGAAAGGCTTATGCTATTGGCCCCCGTTCATAAAGGAGGAAGGATATGTTTATTTGCCATTGTGAAAGGAAGATGCGGATGCAAAGCTTTGAGATGCATAATTTGGAGGAAGTTTGGTTCTGAAGAAAGGTGCTAGATTGTGGAGACTCTGTCCAAGATGGCTGTCGAGTTCCTTTCAGAAAACCGCGATATTTAATGCCAATTGATGTATTTGGGACTACGGGGTTCTCATATGAGATGGTGGTTTAAAAAAACAGCAATGTTTGGAAATTTCAGCACGGAGAAGAGCATGCGAGGGAGCGATCACTTCAATGAACTACAAAGAGTCGGCTATTTCATATATTTGACAATTACAAGGAATCGTGTTACTTCTGCTGTTGCGTCTCGGAAGCTTCTTTGGAAAGAATAAAGCGAAAAAAACAAAACGTATCATATATCCAGTCATTCTGGTAGAACCAGTACCTTGGCTACATTGTGACAAAAAAGACATTTTAAAAGAGGCACCACTTGATTTTTCAGTTTTATTTTCTTGTGAAACTTGTACCCAAATATCAGTAGCCAGTGTTGATGTTGGTGGTGTCCACTCTTATATTCGACCTGAACGTTTGTGTCAGTTATGCCGAACAAGAACTAGACATTGTACTTACGAAATGGACAGTACATTAACAGACCTTGTTTTAAAAGACAATTGATGTTTAAGAGACACTTTGCAACGACAAAAAACACAAAAAGACCAACGTGACATGGATTGGATGAAGCATCGAGGAAAAGAAATGGTGTGACGATATTTACTGCAATGGCTTTGTGCAAGATTCACATGATAGTGTTGGAAGTGTGACGCTCTGAACAACCAGTACCGGGCTACTTCATCTGTAGAATACACTCCTTGTCTTGTTTTCTCCGTTTGTCCATGATATGTTCCAAGTAATTTTCTGTTTTTTGTTCACTGTCAAATGAGGAAATTTGATGCATTAGCTGTGTTATAATCACTCTTGGTCACCTGGTGTTTCTCCATAATGAATATTTTTTCCAAATCACAGATTCCTAAATTGTTAATTAAACCATGAAAGGGTTTACATTAACCCTGTAGCTACTCACGTAAGTCCAGCCATACCTAGAAAATAAAAAGAAAAGATCCTTTTTCAGTCGTTAATTTGAAATTTTGAATAATGAATTGTAATGAATATTTCTTTAAGAAATTGATTCCAATTGAATTGTATGATTTCACCTTGTCTTTAGGTTCTTGTAGTGCAATGGAATTCCACTAACCACCAATTTCAATTTCAAATTCTTCTGAAGAATTTTTATTCTTAAAAAGAATTTTCAAAGCCTAGTGGAAGTATTTGTGATGAGTTTTGGGGATTTATACCACGAGGGATCTCTAATTTCAGGTGTCTTTCATCTCTGGTGTGAGCCTTGTATCACCCATAACTAAAACTGCACGCTGGTCATTGCTTTATGTAATTACATGTATGTCTTTGTTTTTAAAGTAGGTGGGGATGATGGAGCATTTCAAAAGAATCTCTGTAAAATAAAAACTGATCACTCAATACTTTCATATGTCACTTACTTGGGATAGACAAAATTGCAAGAAGATACATGTACCTGTTGCCCTCCCCCCCCCCCCCCACAACAAAAATCATCTCTGTTTCACAAGGGATTTTGGGATGGCGATATCTTATTGAAATGGAGAACATTGTGTCTCAGGCATTATCTTCCTGCCTGTTCAGTAATTTGGTTGGGTATCCCACTACTATCCCTTGAAAAAACTGTGTTTACTTTTTTGGAATGTTGTAGAGACAGGTTTCTTATTTGATGACGGCAAATATTGTTTTCAACTCCAATGCTTTGCTCCTTGCACTTTTAAGTAATTTATGGTAAAAATGTTGTGTCTTGGTACTCTGGAACTTGCATTATTGTTTTCGGTGTTCTAAGTTCTGAAAAATAGACTTTCATGAATTGATATTCTCAATCTGATCTTTATCAGGGACACATTAATTGTGTGAATTGATATTTTTTGTACATTTACCTACCTTTAAGTTGAAAGAAAAAACCCAGAATTATAACAAGTTGAACCCCAGATGTTTGATTGTAATCTTTATGGCTATGTGTGTAGGAAATGAGAAGGCAATGTTTTAATTTTTTAAATTTACAAGATATATTTACAAATACTAGAAACATCTGAAAGGTATAAAAATTATAAATTACAGATTTTCATTTTACTCATATTGTTATCATGTTTCATTTTGCATAACCTGAAATGATGAAAATGAATTCCCCTGAATAATACTTTGGTGGTATGTTATTGTATTTTATTTTTTTCATTTTTATTTTTCATCTTTCATCTACATATCTCATCTATAATTGGCAATTTTAAATAGAAAGTTAATTGGTTCTTTATAGCAGTGAAAAAACCAGTGATATTCAGCATTCTTTCACTGATGTTCCTTTATAAATGTGAAATTTGACCGACAATAATGAATCTTCCACTCTACATGTTTGTGTTCTTAAATCCATAGACAACCTGTTTGTACTAGGTTGGATGTAGTTTTGTCATTTCTAGTTTGCTTTATAGTTTTGTTCTGTTTTGATACATAATGCTAGAAATACATTGCCAGGAGGTTGACCTTTCATGCAAACATGACCTTTGACCTCTAGACTCCCATTTTGCACACCAAGTACCACTATTATTCACTAATACATGTACATTCTTTTTTTGCGAAACTTGTGAAGTGGGAGATAAAAACTACCAAACGTATACTTGAAGGGACTTTTAGGATTGACTTTGATTTTAACGGGAACTTACCTACACGAAACAATTTAACTGGACTGACTTTCACCTAGTCAATCTGTTAAATGATGTGGCCATAATTTAATAAAAAGTGTGATGATGTTTTTAAATTTGATCTTGGTACTTTTATTTATATCTCTGTCTGATCAATTATGAGTGATTAAATGTATTTCATAACTTTAAAAAGTAAGTGGTCGTAGTTTAACTATAATTATTATGTTAACTGTTTTAGAGGAAAGTGAGATTACAAAAGTTGCAAAAATAATGTGTTTTACTGTTAAGGCAGTTTCTTATACATGTACTCTCTATTGGAAGGGTGACTTTGCACCAATGGGTCTACAATTAATTGCACACGTTATAGTAGAGCTTTATCTAGTATTTTCATTATGTGTAACTGCATTGCAAGACTACAGTATATCTGCAATGCATGTCTGTCATTGAAAGTGAGCCCATTGTTTTTATAATTTGTCACAAGTTGAAAAGAATCTGGCAATTTTAACTAGAAAATTGATATTTGTGATATGGACTAAAAAAAAGTCTTTGTGTTTTACATTGTTGTAGTCTTGTTTCAGACTGTAACCTGTATAAACCATAATTGTGAATCCAATTGAGTTCTGGAGAAAAGACTACTACTTTCATGAAAGAGTTACAGTCGTATGTACTGTATTAAAATCTAGCTTTTAATCTTGCAGTTGGCAACCATTTTGTGATTTTGTATCCGGTGTTGCATAGGATCTGAAGGTCGAGACATTTTAAAATCTACACTATATGTGAAACAACAAAAAAGATTGATTAGATATGAATAAAACCACATTGGAATCAGAAAGTAATGTATGAGGTCTTTGTGTAATATATATATTTTTTTTGTTGTTGTCGTAATATCCTGTGAATGAATTACCGTTCAAAAGTAATGTAACAGATAGGCCAGGGCCCTCTTGCATCCTAGTTGTATTTACTTTAGATGCAATGAAGTGCACAATATAGATTGGTTGAAAATCAAGTTGTGTTTTTACTTTTTAGTTATTTATGCAACTCTTTTATGCAAGAGGCTCCTGGACAGTCAAACAGGAATGCCAGTTTTTGGAATTTGGTCTGAATTGAGACCAATATATCGTCCTTGTTTTCACGAAGTGACGGTAGTGAGGAAAATCGTAACGCAAAGTGAATGCATTTTTTTTTCACTACCGTCACTTCGTGAAAACAGCGACGATATTTCTCTGTTTCAACTCTTTTCAGGATTTAAATTGTACAGATCATACATTTTGGACTCCCAATTGAGTATTGAAACCAAATGATATCCCAGAGTCGAAGAATATTTATGGAGATGATAGTGTAAAGTGATATATTGTCGAATAAGTATTGTCATTCTGGACAGGCTTCAAGAAGAGGGAGATACCAAGGGGGAGAGAGAGAGAGATAGAGAGAGTCGGACAGAAAGACTGAAGTGAGGGTCAGATACAAAGACGAGAGAGTCGGACAGAAAGACTAAAGAGAGGGAGATTAGATACTAAGACAAGAGAGAGAGTCGGACAGAAAGACTGAAGTGAGGGTCAGATAAAAAGACAGAGAGAGAGAGAGAGAGTCGGACAGAAAGACTAAATAGAGAGAGATTAAAGACGAGAGAGGGTCAGATAGAAAGACAAGAGAGAGAGAGTCGGACAGAAAGACTAAATAGAGGGAGATTAGATACTAAGACAAGAGAGAGAGAGAGAGAGAGAGAGAGAGAGTCGGATAGAAAGATGGAGAGAGTGAGATAGACTTGCCTTCTGTATGGGGTACGCTTAGGCCTAGCAAAAAAAGTTGTTGTATTGCCCTTTAGATGCCAGAACCTGGGTTGGTCGGTCAATTATTTTTAAATGTTTTTTTTCCCCTCTTCACATAATACATCATTTTTGATTCATTAAAACATTTTTTATCTAAAAAATGTTATTAAAAAAAAAAAAATTATAAAAAGCCAACCACAGATTTTAGATTTTTGGGTTGGCCGCAAAGGGCAATACAACAACTTTTTGTAAAGCCTAATCAGGAGATGGTTAGGCCTACGGATCAAACCAAGGGGCCAATTTCCTGAATGCCGGGCCTCAGTGCCCCTTCTCTTGATGTTCAGTTTTTTTCATTTCATGCTCATACTTTCATTTCCAACAAAATAAAATACATACTAACGAAGAGACCTACAATGCAAAATATATACAAAATAATAGTTACAAATCTTAACAGTAATTTATACATTTGAGGAAGACAAAAATCGAATTATAAATTTAACTGCATTTATATTTTGAGGACATTCGGTGGAGAGGTTCACTGAACAGCAGAGCTTGTAAATTGTGGACCCTTCCGATAATAATGAGTGTGAAAAGAGTATAGAATACATAAACAATCCTGGTAATGTTTCCTGTTCCTGTTACTGCTAAATTTGAGGCCAAATGCAGAAACGGGAGAAGGGAGATATAAAAAAATTGATGAGGGATGGGATGAAAAAGAGAGGGAATTTGAGAGGGGGTAACCTGAGGCTAATCCCCCCCCCCCCCCCACTCTGTGAACGGAGGGATACCATGTGTGTTCCCAAACTCTTGTAACAAAAGAAAAAGGTCGACCCGTATTGACTTTACACACCGGACTTTTGCTGAAAAGGGGGGTCACTGGGAACACGCATATGGGTACCCTAAAGGGGGGCCGGGGGCTCATCAAACCTCTTTCGTTCTCTTCTTCTTCTCCTCCTCCTTCTTCTTCTTCTCCTTCTCCTCCTCCTTCTTCTTCTTCTCCTTCTCCTTCTCTTTCTCCCTCTCCCTTTTCTCCTCCTTCTCCTCCTCCTCATTTTTTCTCCTTCTTCTCCTTTTTGTTTTGTTTTCAATGATATTTTATTTTCTCCATTGCTTTTCACAAACAATAACCAAAATAACAATAACAAACAATAACAAAATCAATACATAAAAAAATCTGCATGTTAATAGTATTATATAGAATATGATTTTACATTCACATCTAAAAAATACAAATGAACTTTTACTATTTACATCAAATAAAGCATGAAACCTGCATGCATGAAGAAGGCATGAACATAAAAAGACATTAGTGAATTTATCCACTATAGAGGGCGTTGTTAAAAAATCTAGGAATTCTCACGCAGACTGCCATCGCCGATTGTAGGCTGTCCTGCTGCTGGTCTTTCTGTCATAGATTTCTAGTTTGTTGTTATTCATAATGGCATCGAAGAAGCTGATAAATCTACACTTCATCGCAGGGCAGTTGTGTGTTTGGCATGCTGATGGTAAGAACATGTTTTATTTTGTATTTTTTGTAAAACGGATAGTGTAAATGTGGGTGATTCGTACCAAATTCAGCGAACCCGCGATTCAATTTCCCCCGTGTGTACCGGGTCGCGGTGTCTTTGCACATTGCCATGCTTGGCGGCAGTCCAACGACATGCTGTATGCTGCACGCTTTGTTTTACTATCGAAATTTCTGTCTCTTTTGTTCGTTAGCCTCTGATTTGGGTAGGGTAGGCTCCTCTCTAAAATAGGGCCTCTGATTTGGGTAGTGTCTGCTCCTCTCTATATCAGAGGCTAAAGGAGGAGGAGGAGGAGGGAGAGAGAGAGAGAGAGGGAGGAGGAGGTCGTCTACTTAATGCTACTTGCGCACTCTAATGCCTAATCGTTTATCAGCTCAGTGACCATTGGTACCCTATCTTCCCCTTTTTGTTAGGTTTATTTGAGAGCTGATCTGATGAGATAACCACATGTCAGTGACCATGTACGGAGGTATAATCCCCCTGCTATAAGTAGTGCAGTGAGGCGATATCTCAAGTACAACGCATCAAGATCAAGCATGTCAGCCATATGAATCAAAGAACTGCAGTGGTCATCACTGGAAGATTGTCGTAGAACTAGGGTCGACCAACTCCAATAGACCCTCCTGAGCCATGAATTTTTGAAAATTTTTAGTCATTTTATATGTTGGAACAGATAGGAAAGTCCCGGTGGTGTCACTCAATGTGACTTAGGGGTCGCATGACCGTTTACAAAATAACAGAAAAAGGGGTCAATTTCAAGCAATGTCCACGGACAAAATATTCCTTGAAATATAGAAAAGAGGGGTGCACAGGTGTCCTCGGAATTGATAAATAGGGGTCAGACAAAGGGAAAAGAGAAAACCGGGAAGAAAATTCTCGGAGACGAGTCGAGTCAAAAAGGAAAAAAGGCTTGTCCTTGAAATATGGTAAAATAGGGGTAAATTTGTGAAAGTGTCCTTACAATCATATAAATAAGGGTATTCCCAAGTACGATTTTGTCTTTGTATTGACGTAAAAAAGGGGGTTAAATTTCACAAAATGTCCTTGAAATTGACCGCAAAAGGGGGTTATTTGCATTTGTGGTAACGGTCATACGTGTCACCCTCTGTGGGGGAGTGACCCCACCGGGAGGAAAGTAGTCCGGCACTACATCACATTGACATAACAGCTTCAGCCAATTTGAAGTGCCCATACGTATAGTGATTACAACTTTCAAAAATTCATAAATTTCTTATATTTAGTCAGATTTAATTAAAACTTTGATCAATTTGCTTCTCTTATTTTTCTGCTTTCTTTTCGAGTAGTTGTCTATTTGGGTTGGATTTCCCTTTAAAGTATCTGATGTTTTCTTTTTTTCTTTGATTGTTTTGATACAGAAGTGGAAATACTCCGGAGTGAACACCACATAGTAGGTTCGTTGATCGGTGCCTTGCCAGGAGCCCCCCGACAGAATACCCAGCTTGGTCTGCCTCTTCAGCTCATGCCTGAAGAAGCTGCAGTTCTCCTTCAACATGGTATGTAGATCAGTCTTGAAGATTAGACAAATGAAATTCTTTAAAGCCCGTCTGCACTAGTTTGGCCAGGATGGATAAGACCTCCCTGCATGGTCACTAACAGGTGGTTATCTCATCAAATCAGCTCTCAATTAACATAAGAAAAAGGGGATCATGGGGGACCAATGGTCACCGCTTAGGCATTGTTTGCTATTAGGGCGCAAGTAGCTATACATAGTGTAGTGGTGCTTTAAATGACAAATTCAGCTTTGAAAAGTCTTAGTTACCCTGTATATCAAATAAGCACCAATTTAAGGGGGGAGGGGGGAATTTAACTTCAGCTTTAACAGCCTAGTTACCCCTCATTCAAAATTAAGGCCAATTTGAAGAGGGTCAAGTTTTTATTGTAAAAAGATTAGGGGTGATTCGACGTGGAATGAACCTGATCAATTTACTTCCTCCACCTTTGGAATGAGAGCCAAATGTGGTATGTATTGGTGAGAACCATGTCTCTGAGTAGAAGGGGTCCATTAGAGTAGGCAAAACATAATATATCTTGCACTATTTTTTGGATTTCATGTTTTGTTTTCTTTTATACTAGTTGAGGCATACAAACATGTGAAGGTACATTTATTTTCCCCTTGTATTTGCAGGAGTTGCCAGACTTGTGACTATGTCTGTAGCCAAGCCCAGTAAGCTTCAGGTTAAGGAATTCAACCAGCAGAGAATGGAATCCATGAAAGAACAGGTGAAACATATTTTCATTTGAGAACATTTTTGTCAATCTCAAGGAGTTATATATGCTGCATTATTTGGTACACTTCATTGAATGATTGCAGGCTGTCTCATATGGATACTAGTTATTGTGTACCCAATATGAAGAACAAAAATTGTAGTTGGGAGGAAAAAGAAATTTCTACACTTTATCCAACTAACTGTTACACTGTCTTTTGTTAGATTATGATATCAAATTTTAATCATCATACTCAGAATCTTAAAGATAAAGTTGAGTTCTGGTCATGCAATTGCATTGTGAAAGAAACAATGTGGAATCAAACAGTAAAGTTTGATCGTCTAGCATATACGTATTGGTGTGTACTGCATGGATCTGGAATTATCAAAATGATAAGAAATTGGCCCAGTCTTGGTAAAGTTACAAGCACTGTACACAGAAAGATGTATATGGGGCTACACAAACATGTGGTATAAAAATCTGTCCCAATTTTTATGTTGTTGCATGCCATATTTAGAATATGAGAGCATTTGAAGGGCCATGCTTTTCAAGGAACATTTTTTTTATCTAATGTTCTTCCACACTTGCATAATAACAATGATAATGCTCACAAATTTTGTTTCACCTCTTCCCAAAACTCAACCTTTTCTTTAACCTTTCATTTATCAGAAACATTTGTGGCAGGAGCAAGTTGTTGAACAGAGAGAAAATCTAAAGGAAGTGATTGAGGAAGGAAGGAGGAAAAAGAAGGAGAGAAAGAAACAATTGCGCCAAAAGTTGTCTAGTACAAAAGGGAAAGATGAAAGAGACGTTCCTTCGATAAAGGAAGATAATGATTCAGAGGAAAGAGAAAAAAGGACCCAAGAATCAATGTGTCCTGGAGAGATGTCGATTGAAAGTAGGATAGAAGAAGGAAAGAATCACACAATGGGAGGAGAGGAAGACATTGATGGAAGACTCTGTGCCTCGGATGTGCAGGGGATCGAAGGAGAGAGTATTTTGAAAGGGAAAGAAGGAATGAGCAAAATGTAGGATCTGGAAACCAACCTGATGGACATGATCGGAGAAGAATGGAGGATGAAGAAGCCAAAGGAAATGAAACTCTTGAGGGTCAAGACACAGAGACTATCAGGAAGGCTTGTGGTGCGGTTAGGCTTCATGAAGATGAATCAAATGTACCAAGAACTAAATCTTCATTAAATCATGATGATGGAATAGGAGTCACTGAGGAGTGTACCAATGCTGAGTTAAAGAGAAAGAAATCCCCAACAGAGTGCGAAAGTGAAGCGGTCTTAGCGTCTCCTCATGTTGGGAACGAGTGCTTCGCTGACGAGGAGAATGATGAAGATGGGAAAAGGAGATCGATTGAGGAGGAAGAGGATACTGTCAAGGAGGATGGGTGCTCAGTCCAGCTTTGTACAGGTATTATGATTATTTTGATTTTTCCTACTTTTGACTCTCAGATTTATCCATCTAAAGGATTCATCAATCACATTAAACATATTATTCTTACAAAACTAAAAAAAATGTTTGAGATCCCAAAAATGGTTAACATTAAAAGAACATTCTTGAAGAAAAAAGAGGGATATAATAATGTGGCTCACACAGAAGTCAACTTAGGGTTGACTTTCATGATAATGCATAGACCAGGAGGGCATTTCACAAAACTTGTCATCAGTGACAAATGACAGTTTTTGTTATAAGCTACTGAAATCCTTGCTTCTGATTGGTTATAAGCAGATTTGTCACTGATTTTTGTCATTTTTTATTGATAAAAGGCTTTGTGAAACGGGCCCCAGATTATTTAGAGAGCAATTGCATTCTCTGTACAGATGTATTAGTTAAAGCTAATACTTTTGTTAGTAGAACTCCAGAAAAAGAAGAGCGATAACAATCTGGTGTTAGTCTTCCTACTGCCCTTTGGTAAGGCATTTATCCTCATTACCAGGTCCCTCGGAGAGGACCTAAAGCCGTCGGCCGTCTGGTTGCTTACTAACAAGCATTTATGCCTTCTTAGCAGTCAGGTAAAATAGCTACCGCCACACTTTGGATAATGTCATTTCATTTTATGGAACAAAGACCCAGAGAGATTTTTCTTCAAACAAAGACATGTCATATGAAGTGGGTTGATCCCTGTTTGTTTTTTTCTTTGATAGCTGAACCAGTGGACAGCAAGTTCATCTTGGAGGCACCTCCTAGTGCTTGGCGCTACCCCTCTACGGAGAGGGAGAAGCTCAAGTGCAGGGTGTTCCAACATTTCTGGGAGATGGGGTACTACATGACGTCGGGCACCAAGTTTGGAGGAGACTTCCTGGTGTATCCTGGTAATAAAAACTTGTGGTTACAGAGAAAATAAGAGAGGAGGAGGGTGGGACAGATGTACAGAAATATGAAGAGGAGAGAGAAGAAATGAGAAGGAAAAAGGGGGAGAAAAGGGGAGAAAAGACAGTAGTCGGAGAGAGAAAGAAAGAGGAGAGGGAGAGGAAGGTGGGACAGGTGTAAAGGAAGATGAAGAGGAGAAAGAAGAAATGAGCAGAAAAATGAAATAAAACTCAGTAGTCCAGTCCTTGGTGTCTGCATTGCGATATGGAGACTTTGAACAAGTCCCCTCTTCAGATTTCCAAATATAGGGAGTCCAGAGATTTGGGGGCTCCAAATCACTGGATCTGTTTATGTTGAGCTCTCTTTTACTGGTAAATTGTGCATCATGGTATTAGGTGCAATTTATGCTTGCAAATATTACAAGCAAAGAATTTGTAAAGATTACATGTTATGTCATATACCTTAATATATTGATGTTAGGTATAAGGACAAAAAGGTTTTTAGAATGTAATTATGTTAGATGCAATTATATGGCTTTTAATATTCAATTATACCAGATCAAACTTATGGTTATATTTAGTTCACTGCTGTTATCACCATCATGGTAAGCTTTGTATGACGATGACTTAACTTTACATTTTCTGTCTGTTGACAGGTGACCCTTTTCTCTTCCACTCCTACTTCATCGTTGTATGCATACCTCACCACAAACAACTGTCACCACTCGAGCTGGTCAGCCATGGCAGGTTAGGGACGTTTGTGAAGAAGGCTGTGGTCTTGTGTTCCGTCAATAGCCAGAAAGAAGTCATCTGTACGTCAATTCAGTGGGCTGGAATAAGTTAGAGTGTACTGAACAGTACGCTGAAGCGCTCATGAAGATGGTAGCCCTAGAGGGTTCTGCCCTCGGTAGTGAATGTGTTTTCCGGGATCGTACAAATCCTCTATAGTTATATGAGGATGCAGATATGTTCAATAAATACAGATTTAATAGGGAAGGAGTGTTATTCATAATAAACGAGTTATAGGGGATATAGCATGGCAAATACTGGTTAACGCCATCTACGACATCTTTTGGACAACTGCACGTAACGAATGGACTTGTTTAACGGTCAGCGCACCCTATAGCGTTCATGAAACAGACCGAAGTACTCCTCACGCTTCGGTTTCGTGTATGTTGCACGCACGTGAATACTGCAGTCGCGTCGTCCATAGTCGTATTATACCCGATTGGCCCCCGAGTCGGGGCACGGGAAAGACACGTAGTCTCATCATGCTACACTCCCTTTAAACGATGAGTTAGAGCATGCCACAAAGAGGAGCAAGGCTCTACCTGCCCATCTGCAAGAAAAATGGTCTTTACAGATAGGTGGTCTTTATGTACACGTTTCAATGAGAAACCATTTTCAAGGGAAGCAAAAAATGGGGTCTTTGTAGACAGGTGGTGGCTAAACCAGGTTTGACTGTATATCTAAGTATTTGTACTGCTTGAATGTTATATGTGCTGTTGAACTTTGACCCTTTTAGGGTCTGGTCTATCCAGTGTTGAGGTGTACCAATCACCAAACATGTTTTTTTCTCTTGTTGCAAGGGTTCCATGTGGCTGAACTGTTTCAAAAATATGAGATTCAAATATCACTTTTACAATTAGAGAGATGTTGCATTTGAAATGCATTCTCAGTGAACAGTAAAATGTCTTGTCGAGTAGACTAGTTAAGGCATTGGCGGATCCAGGCCCCCCCCCCCCCCCTGGGGAAAAAACATGTTAATTTTAACTCTCTTTTTTTGGAAATAGACCCCCCCCCCCCCCCTGGCGCTCAAGGGGGAGGGTGTGCGATTTTTCAAATTTTTGAGGGCCAAAAAAAAATTAGTGCTCACCCCCCCCCCCCCCCCCCCCCCCCCCCCCCCCCCCCCCCTGAACGAATTATCAGCTGGTGCAATTTTCAAATTTTAGGGAGAAAAACAAAAAATTTGTGCTCACTACTAACAATCAAATAACCTTGAATTATCATTCCAAAGAGAATTATGTATACATTTGCTTTTCATGAAATTTTTGTTCTTGCCTTTTCCAGTGTTTGATATGCTCTTAGTATGTGGAAAAAATGTCCTTTGGTTTCATTAATGAATTTGCTCTTTATACAGAACCCTCCCCCACACATTGATCTGCTTCTTTCTTGACCTGAAGACTGCTTATGCAAGTTGTTACTTGTTCCCAGGGACCTATAGTTGTGATTATTTGTCACACACTTTGACAACATTTGCTCTGCAATCAAACTAACTAAATTCTAACCCTTGACCCAACTCTGTATCTAACCCTAAGCCTTGCCCACTTTAGAACAGGCATGCAATTGAACAATTGCACTGATATTAATCTGATTATTAATGCTGATATTAATCACGGGGTTAAATTCTTTTTCTTGGAAAATGATCATACTGAGGTCATAAGTATTAAACTTTTCAAGTGTTATGTGTTTCGCGACTTTCATGAAATTTAAGGAAATCAAACCTTGTGCAAATTAAAAGAGAGTACTTTGAAACCCATTAATATTGTCTTGACCAAATATTTTTGTGTGTCAGATTAATAATTGTAACTTGCGTGAGTTCAAGCAATGTATACTTTGTCCGTTGGAAGCTTTGTTTATACCACAAAAAAGAAGATTAATCTATGAATATTATTCAAGGGTTGTCACCATATAGGTGGGGATATGAAAGATTCATCTTCTGAATTGAAATTGATGGTTTGTCACCATGTGGATGAAGTAATAGTATCATTGAACATCGGTGAATTGTATTATTTCATCACATTTTGACTGTATGAATTTGTACAATGCATAAATTAGTTGAATAACGGTCAACTATTTGTTTGATTTTAAGAATTTACCTTTGAGGTATATTTTACCAGGGTGGCCTAACAGTTCATGGATCACTGCTTTGTGAGAGTTGTGTGTTGAAATGGAAAATCCTCAGAAGGGAATATTTTGCTCAATTTTATTTTTAAAATATTTTGCAAGTCCAACCCATATGACACATTTAGTTGACCCATAGCTACAGTGTTACTTTAGAAATTCACTTGGATAACAGGTCCATCCATTAATGAAGCACTTGCACCAAGGAGGAGGGAAGAGGCGCTAGTCCTACCATGAGGATAAAGTGTGAATTTCATTAGCTTTAATATGTAGGCCACTGGTTGGGGAGATGTGTGGGAGGGGTTATGTCCTCTCTATCCATATTCCCTTCCTTCCATCCCTCTCTTTATCACCCCCCCCCCCTGTTATTCCCATTTGATGGGGGAGGGAGGTACACTCCTCATGTACCCCTGTAGCTATAACACTGTATATATATTATAATTTATATGGTGTGGTTAACAGTTGCAGGTTACATCTGGTGTTACTTAAAAACTATTGGACTTTCGATAATTGTTGAGTGTTTAAGTGCAATATTATTGTTTCCACAAATATATATTTTAAAAAAAATATTTCATTTGTTATTTACCCCAAAACTAATTGTCAAACAATATGAGAAAATAAGCAATTTCCATTTTTAGTTGTTCAAGCTTACTAAAAATTTTACTTGATCGACATATATAATGTAGCTCCCAATTTCAGACATTAGATAGAGATATTGGTCCCCTATGTGAAATTAGTGGATGAGTTTTGCTTTTCAGTAAATCTTATTTCCGGCAAGTTTTTGTATTAAGAACAGTTTAGCTAAATATTATTGCTCCAAAAGCTCCATCTATTAGTTGATTAACAAGTTTGAATTACTTAGATTAAAGTGAATCACTCTCAAATAGCAAAACACTAAGATTAGCTCTGTGTAAAAGAGATGTAGTAAATCGAGCTTGTTGAGCGTGATTGAAAAAACAAAGAAATTGGGAAGTATATATATATATTATGCAAGAGAGTTGAAATGGTGCCTATTTTCTTCTTCTTGTCTTATTTCACCTGTTTATACAAGCTGGGTATGTGTGCAAAAGACTTTGTAATGAATATGACAACTTCCTGAGAGCTAGAAGGGAGTTTACATTTTGTAAAATGAAAAGTGTTATATCCTTTCTGGCTTTTGACAGTCAATTATAATGTACATGTATATCCCCTTTTGTCCTGAATACAAATTGTATGTTGTATGTGATAAAGACTGAAAAAAAGTCATTTTAGCATCGCGTTGCCTCTTGTTTTTTATGCTAACATTTTGGTAGTGATACATTGAGTGCAGGTATCCAGATGAACTTGAAATTATTTGAATATGAGAGTATGAACAGGCATTGGCAATTCATTGTTTTACATGTTGTTGCTTTTGTTGTTGAGGGGGATGGTTAGATCTGGGTGCGTTTCATGAAACAATTAGTCAGTGGTTTTCACCGACTGATATCATGTTCACCGACAATTTGTAACCGACTATTTTCCAGGCCTGTGATTGGTCAAATTTAGTCGTCTCCCCTCCATTAACATATTTCCTATAAAAATATTGTTACTTTCTTATAGAGAAAAGGAGAGAGAGAGAGAGAGAGAGAGAGAATCAGAGAGTGCAAGAAGATCAAAGCTAGAAAGTAAAAAAAGAAAAAGATGAAGCCCAACAAAAGTATGATCCCTCACCATAGCTTTGTATAGTTCCCTTTTGCAACATGCATCTTCAAGATGGGGGCAAATGCATACATTGTAAAATTTCAGCCCATATGTGATACATAGATGATCCCAAAGTTTGGATGACCAATTAACTCCTCCGTCCGTCCGCCCCCCCCCCCCCCCTCCCCCTCCTCCTCCCCTGCTCCTCAACCACTGCACAACCAATCGACACTCCTTGCGCCTTCATGGAAGAAGAAGAGAAGGGCGTAACCGGGGGCGTGGTCATGGGCGACCCCTTTCCCAACTGGCCGCGCCGCAAACTGATCGGGCGGGCGGCACGCTCTAGTTCGACGCCCCATCCACGCCCACGAGCTCACGCACTCAGCAGGTAATTCGATTTCGTGCCGTTTCGATCTTGTAATTACCTGGCGCACAACTTCGTTGATCCAGTGCCAAAGACAACAGATCACACTGATTTTGTGATTGTTTATTCATTCGAAATAAAATAGGAGGTAAGTTGTAATCACTTTGTCGTTCACATTTCAGAGAATTTGGGCAATTTACGTTTAAGGGAGTATTTAATGAGTGTCTATTGTTTTTCGAGGTCAGTTTGTTATGTACGCGATTGATGCTCAGTGCAGCCAGCGCCAGACAGAGCTCAGAGCCAGGGCCAGCGCCAGGGCCAGGGAGGAAGGGCGAGCCAGCGCCAGGGAGGCTACCGACCCGCGCAAACACGATTGTACAAGCTTGTAAGTTGTAGTAACCTGCCGAGTTTCGAGAAGTCGAGGGCATAGCCCTCTTCTATCTACTCTAGCTCTTACAGCATCTTTTCTTTGCTGCTTGTTTTCACCGTGAACTGTATAGAGCCATTAGAGGGTATAATTGTGGCATAATCCAAAGTAGTAATAAAAAATTATATTCCAAAGAAGACAGGAATGAGAGGTCTAGACTATGGGAGGATCCAGGATTTTCCAAGGGGGGGGGGGGGGGGGGGGGGGGGGGTTACATTCTGACTCGGGCATTTCTGAATGCGTAAACTGAACATTTATGTGAATACTTCTTAGCTTTTTTCCTGGTATTTTTTTAGGGGGAAGGAAAAAGAAGGTGCGGTGTGTGCCCCCCCCCCCCCACGCACCCCCTTGACCCGCCCCTGGGTGGGAAGGGAAGAAAGGGGATAGGGGAGTTGGAGGAGTTCGGTCTGACTTTAAATGAGCTTTAGATAGAGCGACTACATGCAATGCAATGTTAGGCAGGAATTTCAAGAATCGTAACCCAATATGCCATCTGCATAAATTTGTTCAAAATCAATACCGGTATCTTTTATTTAAATAATATGCCTAAATGTTGACTATTTAAAGGTAAAGACCAGTTATGGTCATGCGATTGCATTGTGAAAGAAACATTGTGGAATCGATCAGAAAAGGTTGATCATCTAGCATCAGCTAGCATCTGCAAGGTTCTGGAATCATCAAAATGATAAGAAATTTGGCCCATTCTTCGTAAAGTTACAAGCACTATACACAGAAAGATGTATATGGGACTACCCTATATCTCTCACAGACCATGAGAGAAACAAATTTACCAAATGTATGAATTAGTAGGCGGTTTCCCGGCAAATTTTTTATCATCATGTATTATTCAAAACGTATTCTTTCACATGATTGGTAATGAGAGCTTCCATTTCATTTTTTGAAATTGGGGCGTTTCCAATACTGGTCTTTACCTTTAAAATATAATAATATTCAAAATCAAACTCTGTATAGAAAGGACTTCAAGTTCACCAGAATTTTAAGATATTTAAATGTTCATGCAAACAGATCTAGGATCACCTAAACAATTGAAAGAAAACACAAAAGTGGTCATTGGCTTTGTTGATCGAAGGGTACCTGATATTAAGTTGGCTTTGATAAAACCAGGAAAATGAGAGGAACAGGTCTGTGAAAGTTTAAGCAAATTGCAATTAAAAATAAGTAAGTTATGAATGTATGAAGTTGCGTTCAATAAAAAACAATCAGCATCTATGGGACGTATCTTGCAAGGTAACCCTGTAAGTTGGGGCTCTGATCGGATCGGAAGATCGGAGCGACACCCTCACACCTTTGATCGGTATCGGATCAGCAAAACATGCAGGCCGCCATCTTGGATTATAATGCATACCTACATTATAATCCAAGATCCAATCGCATGTTTTGCCTCTGCTCTTACACCAAATTGACCAATATTATTAATTTCAAAGTTATGAAAAGGCACTAAATATCAACAAACATGGTCTACACCAACTCCAAATGACAAAATAATCCCAGCCGTGAATTTTTTTGAGCATTTGATAGCCAAAAACTTGAAAATTTTCAGCATTAAAAAAAAAAAATTTGCCAATTTTTTTCCGATCATCTTAATTGATCGGCGATCGGAAATTATTATCCGATCACCCCTGATCGGATCAGTATCGGCGGCCAATCCGATGATCGTTTACAGGGTTATTGCAAGGTCCCCTCCCAATTTCTCTTTATTAAAAAGGGGAAATTTCAATTTTTCTTCGAGCAAACCTTCAATCATACATGCAGTGTTCTGCATGCCACATACCCTAATTGCGTAAATATAATTAATGCAAATACATTAGAACTATACTACCCCGTGATGGAAGGAAAAAAGTTATACCTTGAATACCAAACCTTCTGGAAGAAAGCCATCTCCAGCTGCCAAGCTTCCAGGTCTAACTTCAAGGGGGGGGGGGGTGTCCCAGCTTCCGGGTCTTGCACCATAGTCGTTTTACATCTATATCTTGCTTGCTGGGGCATATCAGGAATGTCATAATTGGAGTGTCTACTGGGAGAATGGTGAATTATGTTGCTCCTTCTTCCAGTGTTTGTCAAATCTGGCTTTAAAGCTGTTTACCGAGGTTGCAGATACCACCAACTCAGGGAGGGAGTTCCAGTTGTTGAGGACCCTGTGGCTAAATGAGTCTTGCCTGAGTTTGGAGTTGCACCTGGGTTTAGTCAGTTTGAATGCATGCCCTCTAGTTGTGGAATTGCAGATTGCAGGTGTAAAGAATTGGGTAGAAACCTTCACAAAGCGAGGGTGCCAGATAACATTGCCATATTCCGATATGGGACGAACAAGACCTTTGTCATCAATAACTAAGAAAAGTAAGTACATGTATCTAAAATTTAGAAGCTTTACATTGATGGCAGCGGTGGGATCACTCCACACACAGAACTAAAAATCAGTCAAACCTCAGTTAAAATCAGAAGACAGAAATTCCTTTAGGATAATAGGAATGACTCCATTTGATTCACAGACAGGTGATGATCGGCCTGATTATTCTCAATTATGTCTCTATGCCAAAGATTAATTACAGTAATTGCTGAATAGGAAGATTCCTTTATCAAAGGATGTTATCAATGAATTACACATAACAATTTTACTGTAATATAATTATTGGGTTTGTTGCAGCTCTGCTACATCGGAGTGATATTTTGTTAGGACGGATGCATGGTTGTAATACATTTTGGTAGTTAGCTAGCTTGTTCATTGCCTAGCAGGCCTAGAGACATGTTGTTGTGGTACTTGTCTTAAAGCCAGTAGTGTAAGGGACGAGTAAGGGGCACTGCTTCTTGGGAAGTGCGAGTCTCTCCTGTTAACGTTTAGACTGGGTTTTACTGTTGTATGCAACGTGCGGTTTGATAAAGCTCATGAAACACACATCTGGGGGGTGTTTCACAAAGATCCTAAGTTGGACTTAAAAATTATGGAGAGCCATTTGTAGCCTTAAAATTAAATATATTCAAAAGCTAAAATTCAAGTATTTTAGACTTTTTATAAATTCCATATTGAGATCATGAAATATCCTTGATAATAGAAAATATGAATGATTTGAATCAACATCCTATGCCTTTTAAAAATACTTTCATAAAATACTTTCATAGATGCTAATGGCTTTCCATAAATGTTAAGTCCAACTTAGAGATAAGTTCAACTTAGGATCTTTGTGAAACACCCCCCTGGTGTTCATGAACTTCTATCAGAGTTCACACTGTTCCCTCACATGGTCCATCCTGGGCATGTAATCCAATGCACCACTGTCTAGCCCATGACACTCCACGACACAAGCAATGACAAATAATTAGTAAAGTAAATTCAAAGTCAGTAGCTCAAAGAGAGCCAGAATTAAAACAAATCTATTAGTTGAAGTCCTGGGACCCTATTCTCAAAGCCTTTTTTCAATGACAAATGACAAAAACCAGTGACAAATCTGGTGATTTCCAATCAGGAGCAAGGATTTCACTGACTGGCTTATAACATAAATTGTCATTTGTCACCGATGACAAGTTTTGTGAAATGGGGCCCTGTCGTGTGCTCTGGTTTTTCTGTACTATACAGATTGCTCTCTGCAGAACATTCAGAAAATTAACATTTTAAACATCTAACCAATCAGATAATAGAAAAATGGACAAGTCCACAATAATAGCATAGCCTGAGAGATAAAGAGAACCAATGGAAATGATTTAGAGTGAATATAACTTTACATAAGGGAACTTAATATCTTGATGGACTTCCCCCCATTATAAAGCTGTTAAAATGGGAATCAAGTCAATAATATTTGTTTTTGCTATAGATGTGTCATCGTGTAAACACAAAGCTCATAAACTCTTAGCGTTTAGTGTCCAATTATGTTTTATAAAATATTGTTTTCATTGTAAGGTGTAAATTGTTTACTTTAATTACACATGTCGACAGTTATTAATACCCTAAAATGCATCTTTTGCAAGTCATTATGCTTTAAAAATCATGGATCTCAGACTCCGGCATTAATAATAGTATTTACACAACCAGGGACTATGTAAATACTGCATGTATACCTACCATGGCGTGACCTTACAAACAAGACTGTGTAAATAGTGGGTTTTTTTGTATCAATAGGATGATCTTGTAACCCGGTTACAGTGGCTTTGCTTGTTTCCTGGTGGTGCATGCATGTGCATTCAGGGATACTGAAAATGACCCCTTTTTGCCTAAAACAGGTACAAAATGAGGTCTAAATACAGCCCTTTCAGGCACATCGAGTACTAAATTTGCAAAACTTATTCAATTATTTGTGGAATGTGCCTTATGTACTTTGAGTAGGAGGACCCAATATCATACAAAAATGAAAATTGATGCAAAAATACATACATTTTTGTAAATATGTAATGTTAAACTTTTGGCTTCAAGGTTGAGTTGTTGTTTTCTCCTCCCCCATAAAAATAAGTCAAGAGTTTTTAGCTGCAACACTTCAAGTTCTGTGAGGCTTGTGCTAGAAATATATGCGAAGATATTGATATATTTGCCAGATAGACTGCTGAACCATTCCCCCTTAAAGGCCGGCTGTACTAGTTAAGCCAGAAGGGATTAGACCACCCAGCCAGGTCACTGACAAGTGGCTATCTCATTTACTCAGCTCTCAATTAACATAAGAAAAAGAGGATCATGGGAGACCAACAGGCACCGATCTGGGAAGTTTCCTATATAGAGG